GGTCTCTCGGAAACTTCCAAGGCCTGGTACACGAAGTCGAATCTCTGACGGAAATCTTCGAGTGCCTTAATGTCGGTGCCGCTCATCTTGAGGCCTAAGAGATGGGTTTGAGTCAAGGCAATTCCCCTATCCTTCTCCATCTTAAACCTCTCAAAGATGACCCACAACAACTTCCGCCCCTTTGGCTGCTTGAAGACCCGTTGCTCTTGCTCCTGAATGGATTGGAAAAGCATGGCAAACTTGGTGTTCTTCGACAGCTCAAGCAGCTTTGAACCCAACACTCGATCAAGAATTGGAAACGGAAGGCTCGACTCGAGATCGGCTTTGGGATTAGTGCTTTCGGCGATCCAGCTATGGACTAAGGATTCGTCACCCTTTGCAAGCCTACACACAAGGTTGAAAACCGAGTTCCTGAATAGGCGAGCGTCTGCCGCCGTTTTGGGCAGCTGAGGCAACTTCATCTCATCATATGCCTTCACACGCATGAGTTTCTTTTCCCTTGAGTAGGCATCGATTGCCGCGTCAATTTGGGCCATTCCCTGATTTCCTTGAGGGGGAATTGAGGGGCCCTGAGGAGGTCTTTGCGAGCCTCCTGGCGAACCTCCTGGTCTCCCGCCGCCTCCACCCTTGTTGGATTCGCTTGATGAGCTATCCGAGTGATCTGGCGACCCAGGATTTGAACCATGCTGTGAACCATTTTGCGATCCACCCCCCGACTGCCCTCCCACAGATCCTATGTTGAAAATCTGAGGTACCTGCCCTGTTCCTGCCTGATGGATTTGCGGCACAGTTTGAGCGGCGGCAGTCTGGGATGCAAATAGCTCAAAGGCTGATGTGAGTTGATCCAAACGCCTTTCTAATGCACTTAATCCCGGATTCGGTGCAACTGGAGAAGAATCCCCAAAAATGTTTCTCACAGCACCTGATAAGTCCCATGATGAAGCATTTTGTGCACTGATTCCGGTGCCCTGAGGCATCACGGGGCTTGCCTGATGTGAACCATTGCCATGCGCTATCGGTTGGGGGTTTCCGGTGCCCTGCGGCATCACGGACCCGTCCTGCACTGGCTGGCTGGTGCCCGAAGGCATCACAGCAGGATGCCCACTCGCCTGCAGTGGCTGATTATCCGCGCCATTATGGATGCATGCCAATTCCCTTTTTAAGGATTGATTTTCGGCCTGCCAACTGTTGCGCCCTCTGCGTTGCTTCGGCCTCTCTAAGTTGGTGTTCCCTAATCTGGTCACTTGTGCCATGCTGGGTCCTCGTCAAGGCATCTTGGAGTGCCTGAACCTGTGCGTTGGCTTGTGATTCCAAATAAAGGACTCGCTCCTGGGCTTGTCTCAATTGGTCCCCCGATTCATGCTTGGTCCTTTCAAGTGATTCCTGAAGGGCATGAACTTGATTGAAGGATTGGCTTTCCAATTGATTTACCCTATCCCTAGCCTCGGCCATTAAGCATTGAGCTTGGGCTTCAGTGACAACCAACCTCCTATCATTCTCTCTCAAATGCGCTTCAGCTCTTTCGACCAGTTGTTGATCCAATGATTGAACAACCATGGTCGGCTGGTACACTTGGGTGTGATGAGCTTGAGCGTGCATTTCAACATTTGGTGAGAAATGATGATGCTGATGCAACTGAGCACTTTGCATGTTGATCCTACTACCCATCGGTTGGGATGATGCCGTGGACATGCTAGTGTCTTCATTACTATTACTGGAGTCTGCGACCTGCGGGGGTGAAAACATCTGTACAGATCCCTGAGCAGCTGGAACTATTTCTGATGGCTCCATTGCTTCTTGAAATTGGTCGGACAGGAAAAGCTACTGACGCAATGCCTGCTTGCACCTTGCGGCGCACTCCGGCCAATGGGCCACACAATCCTCAAGAAATCCGACTGGCCTAAACAAATTGTTGGCCGGTGGCTTTCTGCGAAGCTTGATGTGAATGCCCGAGACCTTGTCCTGTACCTGGCGATCGATGATACTGTTGATGACCTCGTCACTGTCGTCAACGATGAATGCCGAGCGGAATCCAACTGACAGCAGATCCTGAAGGACTAGCACCTTCCCACCTTTCTGGGTCCTGGGATTGAAACTGGCCCTCTCAGAAGTTGTAACGATGAAGTCAAAAACTGATGAGATATCCGGAGTGCGATTGAACGCAGCAACCAATGCGTCTCGGCGTTCTTGGCTATGGAGGTAGGATAGGCAGATTGTCACAACGTGGATACCTTCGCGAAAGAAAGCGGCTTTCAGCTGCCTAATCGCTTCGAGGTTGTCGTGGCAAATACCTTCGTAATCCCACTCTGTGCGTCCGCAACGGGCTCTGTCAAGAACCTGGTGATAGTCGATTGCAACCACGCAACTGTCCCGAAAGTCAATGCCGTAGCGCGGCTCGTAGACAAAGGACAATCCTTGATCTTCCCAATTGCTGTTCACACACTTGAATACTCCTGTGGCAAGAGTCAAATCACAAATCACCGCAGCGAAGTGATGCCCGGAAGGCTCAGCGCGCCTCGGCGTACGTGAAGTGCTCTCTGGCCTCGACGCAGCTTTGCTGGTCGCCTGGAGCAATCTGTGCTGCACAGGCTCCGCAGATGACGATGCAGGCTCTTCGGCTCGGAGCGACTCGCGCTGCACAAGCCTAAGAGGAGCAGACCGATCCGCTGCCTTCACAACCCGAAAAGACACCCGATGATTCTGGGGCTCCTCAGTCAGACGCTGTTGCTCGTTCCAAAAGGCCTGTTCGTAGAGCTGTAGCTGTTCCCAGTTGACTTTTGCACGTGCAAGCCTGTCCCAGGTGCTATCCAGCACAAACGGAGGTTCGTTTGATAAAACCCCCTCGGCCAATCCGTCACGTAGTACACCAAGTTTCTGTGACTTGCCTCTTCGTCCGGCTCGATGCCAACCGAAGAGATTCCACAGTTCCGGTGCCACTCCCGGATGCTCGACGCCCTCACCCGCCGTAGCTATCGGTCGCAGCTCAAAAGCTACGGCTGATAACCAGTCGAAATACGAATCAAGACAATTCAAGTAAAGAGTATGCCCAAAAGTGCTATGGCGGCACCGGAAGCTTCACTCGCACAACCTGTTTTGCCTTGAGCCAAAATGTACAAGTCATCCAAGGCGAACTGACTGTTTCTCATCAGTGTCAACCCTGGAAACCTGATTCAAAGGAAAGTTCAAGCAAACATGAATTCCGGGGGCAAGGTTGAATTAGACATGCATGCACCACCTACCATCAGGAAAATGTGGATTCCAGCAGGGGGCATTCTTCTACAAATGAGAAAATATGTCCAGTGATTCCCTTAACCAAAGAGGGAAAATCAGCAAATGGAAGAGGGTCAACCACCTTCTTCCTTACTTCCAAGATTTCGAGGGTTCCAAGTAGGGGGGCAAGTTTGAAACTGTGGTTGGTTCCCTTGAAAAAATTAGAGAATCCTCGTAACTTACCGCAAAATAAGCAAGGGCGTGGTGGTGGGATGTACCGACTAGGGGGCTCCTTTGCCAAGACATGCCAATGACATACCCTCTACCCAGTAGAATCAACCAGCTCTCATATGGCTTCTCGCATTCATGATCCTTTGCTCTTGGTATTGGAGAGCCCGCCACGAATTTTCCCGTCATCTGATGGTGTGACCAAGTGGCTGACACCTTTTCTGGTACAGTACCTCATTGAATGGCCAAATTTGCCAATTGAAAAGTACCTCTGTGTCAACTCCCATAGCTTCGTTTGCCTTGCAAAGCACGTCTTGGTCAGCATTGAACGCTGCCGCCATACGATGAGTCTCCTCAAAACTTGGGGGCCCGATTTCCCTGACTTCGCTCAAGCCAGCCCCAAAAAACATCCTGAGCCAAAACCCCTTGCAAGAAGAAGTTGAACTTGTCCTTTGCCTTTCCTTTGGTATTTTCCAAAGTTGCATAGCATGTGTCTTGGCTTGCCCACCCGCCTCTCCCCCCAAAACCAAAGATGGGCGTGGGTCAAAATTTAAGCCCCCAGAGGACCGCAGAGTTCAGTCCATGTTTCCATTTACCAGGGTGCGATTTGAGGTGCCTATTTTTTGACCCACAGCCACATGTGTTTTGGTTTGCCCACCCCCCTCTCCCCCCAAAACAACAGATGGCACCAAGGGAGGCGAAAAATCAAACCCCAACCTCCACCTCCACGCGCGTCTCCACCTCCGTCTTCAACGGCTCCATGCCTGCAGGGCTGGGGGGGGGAGATGGGCGCCTTAAAACCAATCTGCAGAAGGCGGAGTTGTGGCTTGGTCGGGAAACTTCTCAGTTTTTGTTTTCTGTAGTAGTGGCTTGGAGTAGGGAAACGGGAAGCTGAAAGAACGAACTGCTGAAAGGTTGCCCGCCCAACTTTAAGAGGGTGTTATTCGCGCGGTAATTGGGAGGAACTGTGGCACCCACCTTGTTAAGTTATGTGGGTTTATCTTTTTGACGCCGTTGTTTCCCTGCCACGGCACCTGCTTCCTCGAATGCCTGCACCACGTTGTGGAAGTTCTCCGGCAGAGTCAGCGCCTGCCGCTGAAGCGCGGAGCGCCGCTCGCGGAGCGCCAGGTGAGTCGCCGCATCAAGACTGGTGGAGTTCGGCCCCACCCCGCTAGAAGGAACCTCCTGTTGACATGCCCCAAAAGAATGTTTCAAGCCACGCTGCGATAGAAGTTCCCTGGACGCCAAACCGTCCGCGCACGCACGCCCTTTGCTGGCGCTGCATCACGCCCGCGCCACGGAGCAAACGCAGGAATGTGGGCTTGTCTTAAAATGAGAGATTCCGAAGACGAAGACTTGTGGTCTTCCCTTTGGCTTTCCCCCCCGAAACATCCGCAAAGCTTGTGGCTAGGTCCCCAGTAGAGAGGTTCGACTAAGGGTACCCTTTTTAGTAGGGGAACCCTCCCCCGAAAAAGGGGGGAGAAAGGGCACCTAGCTGGGGGACCTAGGTGGTCTTCCTGTTCCCGAACCGCGCCGGCGAAGAAAAACATCGCAAACCCCGCTCACTGGAGCCCAGGCCCTGCTGCACAGCCAGACTCCAGGCCGCTCAGCCACTCAAGGGCGCCCCGCTTGGAGAGGAAGCCTTGGGGGGGGTGGGCGGGGGGGGGGGAATCAGAATTCCGGATTTTCCTTGCTCCCCAAAAGAATGGCAAGGACCCAACTTTAGATGACAATTGCTGGGCAACAGTGGTGGTACAATTAACCCAACCCTTGGTTTTCATGTTCCCACGTTGTCATGGACCAGTCAGGCTCCATGTTTGCGGATGGGAGGGTAGTGCTCCACGACTTGCAGCCAGTGTTTGGACATGTTTGGACATCTCGTTTTCGTCACCTGAACTTATTTCAGTAGTTGTTGGATGTTTTCGGAAACGAAGACTTCATCAGTGGCAACCCAAAGCGAGTTGCCTGAGCCCACTCCACGTGCTACCCTCTTCGCATTGGTCGGAGTGATGCTTGAAATGGCCCCAGGGGGGGGGGTTGGCACGGGGATGAGCCGCTGGGTTCAGCATTGACGAAGCATCCGTATCAAATCCCAGCATGCCATGAATCCGAAAGGGAGGGTCAATACTGGATGTTACAAAGGATGTCAGGCCGTAGGTTCTCTTCAAAAGTTGCAGCATCCGCAATTCTAGCCTGGCTTGGTTGACAAGCTTTGGCGCCGCGGCAACCACGGAAGAAGCAACCTGGCAGATCATTCCGGCGGCCGTTTTTTACATTTGATCCAAATGAATATTGAACCCCTAGGAATCAATGCGCCTATCACGAAACTGGGCCCCCGCGACCCGAAGGCGAACTCGGGCTGGTCTCTAAATGGCTTCCCTTGGAGCTTTGACGGGGCGGCAAAGCAACCAAAACCACTCGATTCTGTTGTTGTTGTTTTGTTTTGTTTTTTCCCGGAAGCATTGCGAAGGGTTCTTCTTCTAAAAGCGGCTGCCAACTTCACCTGCCAACTTCTCATGCCAACTTGTCGAGAGTTACTTCACCTGCCAACTTCTCATGCCAACTTGTCGAGAGTTACTTCACCTGCCAACTTCTCATGCCAACTTGTCGAGAGTTACTTCACCTGCCTACTTCTCATGTCAACTTTTTGAGAGTTACTTCACCTGCCAACTTCTCATGTCAACTTTTCGGCTGTTATCTCATTCTACTAAAAGCACAAGCTAATTTGTCGGGTGTTACTTCACTATCCTAAAAACACAAGCTAACTTTTTCTGTTCCTTCTTCTCGACTCTCTTCTTCTTCTTTTTATGGCGGGGGTTACGAAACGCACCCCTGCGGAGATCGTGCGTGTCGAAGCAACGTGCAACCCTCTGCGGATCGTGCGTGTCGAAGCGCTCTCGCTGTGGCGCCGTGTGAACCCTCTGCGCGATCCGCCGTGCCGGCGAACCCTCTGCGGAAGCGCTCTCGCTGTGGCGCCGTGCGAATTTGTCTTGACCTGAACCCTCTGCGGAGATCGTGCGTGTCGAAGCGCTCTCGCTGTGGCGCCGTGCGAATTTGTCTTGACCTTGGCGAACCCTCTGCGGAGATCGTGCGTGTCGAAGCGCTCTCGCTGTGGCGCCGTGCGAATTTGTCTTGACCTTGGCGAACCCTCTGCGGAGATCGTGCGTGTCGAAGCGCTCTCGCTGTGGCGCCGTGCGAATTTGTCTTGACCTTGGCGAACCCTCTGCGGAGATCGTGCGTGTCGAAGCGCTCTCGCTGTGGCGCCGTGCGAATTTGTCTTGACCTTGGCGAACCCTCTGCGGAGATCGTGCGTGTCGAAGCGCTCTCGCTGTGGCGCCGTGCGAATTTGTCTTGACCTTGGCGAACCCTCTGCGGAGATCCTGCGTGTCGAAGCGCTCTCGCTGTGGCGCCGTGCGAATTTGTCTTGAGCCCGATGAACCCTCTGCGGAGATCGTGCGTGTCGAAGCGCTCTCGCTGTGGCGCCGTGCGATTTTCTTGCTCGCGAAACGGCTTTTGGAAGTTGTCTCGTGGTGTGCGCGCCTGCTTTCGCAATCCCGCGGTCCCGGGTTCGATTCCCCCCTGGTCCGCGGCAGCTCCGGCTTGAAAATCGCAGCTTTTAAGTACAAACGTAGTACGCGGAGCGTGCTCCTGCAGCTCCGGCTGGAAAATCGCAACTTTTAAGTACAGACGTAGTACGCGGAGGCTGCTGCAGCTCCGGCTGGAAAATCGCACTTTTTAAGTACAGACGTAGTACGCGGAGCGTGCTCCCGCAGCTCCGGCTGGAAAATCGCAACTTTTAGATACAAATGGCTGGAAAATCGCAACTGTAAATTGCAAATGTAGCACGCGGAGCGCCTCCGCCGCTCCAGCTTTTTGAGGGTTAATTACTTCACCTGCCAGTTTCTCATGCCGAAACTTCGAGAATTACTTCACCTGCCAGCTTCTCATGCCACCTTTTCGAGAGTTACTTCACCTGCCAACTTCTCGTGCCAACTTTTCGAGGAGTTACTTCACCTGCGAGCTTATCATGCCAACTTTTCGAGAGTTACTACACCTGCGAGCTTCTCATGCCAACTTTTCGAGAATTACTTTACCTGCCAACTTCTCATGCCAACTTTTCGAGAAATACTTTACCTGCCAACCTCTCGTGGCAACTTCACCTGCCAACTTTTCGAGAATTACTTCACCTGCCAACTTCTCATGCCAACTTTTCGAGAAATACTTTATCTGCCAACCTCTCGTGGCAACTTTTCGCAAAATTACTTCACCTGCCAGCTTCTCATGCCAACTTTTCGAGAGGTACTTCACCTGCCAACATCGCCTGCCAACTTTTCGAGAGTTACTTCGCCTGCCAACTTCTCGCGCCAACTTTTCGAGAATTACTTCGCCTGCCAACTTCTCATGCTAACTTTTCGAAAGTTACTTCACCTGCCGGCTTCTCACGCCAACTTTTCGAGAGTTACTTCACGCGCCATCTTCTCGTGCCAACTTTTCGAGAATTACTTCACCTGCCAGCTTCTCACGCCAACTTTTCGAGAGTTACTTCACCTGCCAACTTCTCATGCCAACTCTTTGAGAGTTATTTCACCTGCCAACTTCTCATGCCAACTTTTCTCTTGAGTTACTTCGCCTGCCAACTTCTCATGTCAACTTTGCGAGAATTACTTCACCCGCCAACTTTGCCAGCCAACTATTCGAGAGTTACTTAACCTGCCAGCTTCTCATGCCAACTTTTTGAGAATTGCTTCGCCTGCCAACTCCTCATGCTAACTTTGCGAGAGTTACCTCACCTGCATCAACTTGCCTCTATGCTTCCGGGCCACTCGTCGTCTAGTTTTTTTTGGGGGGGGGCCACTCATTTCAAGACACCTCACAAAAAGGGGGAGGAGTAGCCTCAACTCCAGTTGCCTTCCCTTTGGTTTCCATTTGCAGCCCCCAAAACGGCTCCCCGAACCCCTCCCCCAACCCCCCCAACTCAGCCAAGTGGCGGTTGTACTCCCGGCATCGGGAGTCCACGATGCACTGAGGGCACCCACTCTCGCAGGCACAGTCTTCCACCAAGCGCCGCGCCTGGCAGGGAGGAGAACCCAAAGGCCCAAAGGCCCCCCCCCCCGCCCCCCCCCCGAAGCCCCCCCAGGCGCAATCAAGCAGGCAGGGAAAAACAGAAAAACAAACGACTCTTGGGGGATGTGTGGTGGGGAACGGCGGCTTCTTGGCCTGAAAAGCATGGGGAGCGGAGGGAAGAGCCAAAAGCCGAAAGCAAAGCAAGCAGGGACGAGGAAAGCGACTTTTGAGGGATGTGTGGTGCTGTTGTCAGTTCTGGTTGTTGGAGCATTGACTTGTCCTCAGTTCCAATGAGCATCACCCTTGCGAAAACATAGAGGTGAATGAATGGAGCCAAGCTGAAACCCGCGCCACTTCTTGTCATCATGGCTCCATTTGGTTAAGACCCCTGTAAAAAATATGAAAAAAAAACATTCATTCATTTCAGCAAATGGAAGCATGGCTCCCAACCTCCTTGGCCCCAGCCTCCCGCAGCAGGGCAAAGCCATGAGGGAAGGCTGCGTCGCAAAGGCCCAAGCCTCCCTCCTGGCAGATGGGGCAGCGGCCGGGACCAAGTCTACTGGGGCCAGACATGGACCCACTGCAAAGCCGGGATGGGGTGTGGGATGGAACCAGCAGTTCCTTATAAGGATCGGTTTGGGACAAAATCCTTGATGAAAACTTAGGATTTATATACCCCTGCTTGATTTTGAATTAGTGTTCCACTTGAAGAAAAAAAATCGTTGTAAGGGAAACACCCCGGTGCCTTTCCAAAAAGTATGCGGTTGCATTGAATAGTTGGGCCCGCGAGGGCCTCACCTTCCCAGAGAGCAAATGGCAAACTCCCCACACCTTTCAAACACTCCTTGCTTTCCGCAAAAATGTTGCCCAAGTGGGTGGCTTGCTTTGGGTGTTCGCGAAACGGGGGCAGCAGCAAGTGTTTCGGTGCGCCCACTGACTTTGCGGGCTTCCATGCATGCCCTGTGTGCTTCCCAACGGCTCAACATTGGGAGACCTCACTTCGCGTCTACCCAAAAAATCCTGTCAGCGCATGCCTATGTGTTCTAGCGACAAGTGAAGTTCCTTGTTAGATCTCATCTGCAAAGTCTGCGTTGCTCACTTTACTCCTTAGTGATTCCATTTCCCTGGTTTGGTACGTAAAGGGCTTGCCACCCTTTACAAACCAAGCGGAACATGGTTGGTTTCCTACTGTGCAGGTAGCTGGGCTAGGTTTTCTAGGTTAGAATAAGGGTATCCTTTTTCTGTAGTCTACTTTAGTAGGGGAACCCTCCCCCAAAAATGAAACGGTAAAAGGGCACTACTGGGGGACCTAGTGGGGGTGCCAGGCGTGACATCCTTAGGACCCAAAGGCGGCTCCTTGGCGTCGAAGAGCATCAGCCGTGGGTGGTCCATGGGCGGCACCCCATGCTCGTCGATGCAGGCGGCATCCAAGTCCTGAAGCCAAAAGGAAACCGCCAACCGCCCATTGCTGGCTGGCTGGCTGGCTGGCTGGCTGGCTGGCTGGCTGGCTGGCTGGCTGCTTGGCTGCTTGGCTGCTTGGCTGCTTGGCTGCTTGGCTGCTTGGTGGCTTGGTTGCTTGGTTGCTTGGCTGCATGGTTGCTTGGTTGCTTGGCTGCTTGGCTGCTTGGTGGCTTGGTTGCTTGGTTGCTTGGCTGCATGGTTGCTTGGTTGCGTGGTTGCTTGGTTGCTTGGTTGCTTGGTTGCTTGGATGCTTGGCTGCTTGGCTGCTTGGCTGCTTGGTGGCTTGGTTGCTTGGTTGCTTGGCTGCATGGTTGCTTGGTTGCTTGGCTGCTTGGCTGCTTGGTGGCTTGGTTGCTTGGTTGCTTGGCTGCATGGTTGCTTGGTTGCGTGGTTGCTTGGTTGCTTGGTTGCTTGGTTGCTTGGATGCTTGGTTGCTTGGATGCTTGCTTGCTTGGTTGCTTGGTTGCTTGGATGCTTGCTTGCTTGGTTGCTTGGTTGCATGGCTGCTTGCTTGCTTGGTTGCTTGGTTGCATGGCTGCTTGGCTGCTTGGCTGGCTGGCTGGCTCGCTTGGTAGGTTGGTTCCCTAAAAATGGCCCTCTCCGCAAGTGGTTGGTTTTCTACCAGTTCCTGAAATTAGGGCCTGCACCAGCAGTTGCTTCAGCTAGCTTGGCCAGCTTTCCTGACAAACCAACAGAACCAAACAAGCCAAACCAGAAAACAAACTAGAACCCATGCAAGAAGAGCCAAGATAGGGCTTCTTTTAGGACCCCCCCCAACTAGCCAAAAACCCACTCGCAGCAGGATTCAGCAAAGCTTGTTTGAACAAGCCCCTTGCCCCTTTTGAATGGAAACAAAAAGGATGATGTTTCAAAAATCAGCGACTCACCTCCAGGCGATTCCATGAAAGCTCCCAGGACCCACATGGAAGACTCATTTCTTGTGGCCTTTTGGAAACTTCCATGGAACGCCTGGAAAAGGGTAAACCCCTATTCCGAGATGGGCGTCCCCATCCCGCCCCCCAAGACCACGCACCGTGCCTGTCGGTCCGCCAGGACGAACAGGGGGAAAACGTGGAGCAGGGCGTGCATGGCTGCATGCGCGCCCGCCCAGCCACAGCCCCAAGTCCACGCGCCTGCCATCGGAGCGGTCAGCCCCTCTGGGTCCCCTTGTGTAAGGTTCTGCCGAGAGCCTGGCCAAGGCAACCAGAAAGTTGTGGGCCATCGAAAAGTCTTGGTTGGCGGTGGCGGGCCAGAAAATTCTAGTCGACTTCTCGTCAAAGGGTCTCCTTCAACAGACTGTCCCTCCAAACAAAAACTGCTTTCGCCTAAGCAAAACACTGTCCTGCTCCTCGACACTTTGTGATATCTACCTGAGGATGGGCGTGCATGTCCCAGGAAAGTGGCTTGCCGAACCCGGCACTGCAAAACGGTGGAGAAATCTCCCTTCGAGGCGCCTGTTCAATCCTTGGCATGTAGGGCAACCACCCGTGCTTTTTGCAGCCACCCACTAAAAACGAACAGAAGCACACAAATCAAACAACAAAAAGCATAGCTCCGAGAGCAGTGAAGGCACTTGGGGCTCAAGCAATCACATTTTGAGGACGATGCTGGCGCCACTCTCCGCGCCTTCCGGGCCGTCCTGCGCCGTTTCCGGCTGGGTGGGCTGGCGCGCAATGCCCAGAGGGTCCTCGAACCAAAGGCCGCGGCTGCTGTAGCCCCAGCTGGGGAGGTTCAGCTCGATGTCCTCATTTCCTTCCTCCCGAGAAACAGATGCCTGCGCATAGGTGCCCTTTTTGGAAAATAGATGGGTTTCCCCGGTAGATGCGCAAAAACCACCAGGTAATCCAGGACCTTCTATTTTTCTAAGCAAAACAACCAAAAAGGACACCTATGTGCCTGAGACTGATGTTGTTGTTGTGTTGTTGTTGTTTTCCCCGGGACTTTGGGCCACAACTGCCGTCTTGAAAGAGGATCAAGCATTGGTTTTGAGCACTAGGTGGGAGAGGAAACGCCACAAACTTGCAGCCCTTCGCGCTGGGAATCACGGGGGCTTCACACTGCCTTCCAGTGAATGTGGGTGTGTATATATATATATATATGAGTGTGCCTGCGTGTGTCCTTTTAGGGGGCCCCGGCCCCAACCTTTCGGCGCCCCTGTTTAAAACCACGCCCAAAAGCTTTGAGCCTGCTCACGGCACCTTTTTGGGCTTGGTGTTAGTGGCTATACTCCTTAACACGAACCGTCAGCAGCCCTTGAGCAAGTTGAACCTGTCAGGCTGTCACCCGCGCGCCTGGCTTCTCACCACGACTTTTCTCATCAAGTATAACCACTTCTGCGATACTTGCACAAAAGAGATATCACAGAAGTGGGGACCAACCGCTCATTCCAACCCCAAGACCCTCGCAGCAAGTGAAGGGAGCCATTGGAGCACAGTGACTCCACCTGACGAGAGGGGCCAATGACCACCTGCATTGGTCACCCCTCCACTTATTTGTTTGCAAAAAAAACAAATTCGACGGCAACCCGAGCATATATAAAAAAATCGCCGGTCTCCTGGTGGGCCGCCTTCCAAAAGCGTCGGAAGCTCTTCACCCGGCTCTCCAGTCGGATCTGCCCCAGGCACACCGTGGCCTGCCCAGACACGGCCTGCCGCTCCCGCGTGTGGATCCTAGCCGCATCGACCGTCTTTTGGCTGGAACCCCCGGTGCTTGGGATGGGCTTTAAAGGGAAACCGCCAAAAAAAACTGCGCGGACGATTCTTTGGCGGTTCCCCCCAAGAACCCAACTGGAGGGAGGCAGAGAACATGCCCAAATTACTGGAAGAAATGCTAAGGGGGGGGGTTTGACCAGTCAAGGAGATACCTCTAAACCTGGATGGGTTTGTTCAAACCAATCGAAGATCTGAAGGCAACACACGCGGAAAAACAAAAACTCGAGCTCGAACGCACCTGCTGGAATATCGCCCTTCGGGTCAGAGTGGTTGGCCGTTCCTGCGCTTGACCATTGTCATTGCTTCTTTTTTGTGCGCTGCGTTGCCGTTCATGGCTGCCGCCTGTTGGTATGGCAGAATCGCCACGCGCCACGTGCATCTTCAACAGCCTGGCACCAGTCACCAGTCAAAGGGCACCAACCACGGGCCCTTTTCGGTGGCACGCCCTGGCCCTGCCGACGTTGGCTAAGAGACTCCCAAGAAACGGACCTCCAGGAGCTTTTGGTCGCACACCTCCCCAAACTGTTCGGCGAGGCCAAATTCAGCATTCTAAAGGTGCTGGGACTGGACCATGCGCTGTGGAAATGGGTTTGTCTGATTGTTGAACCATTCCTAAGACTCGAAATAACATGCTGGACACTTAGCATATGCGCCACCCAAGTTGCGTGCCTTCAACATGAAGCAGGCTCAAAATGCTTCGCACCTCACCGACAAAACCCAACAATTCGAAGGGGCCCCAGAAACGAGCTGTGGTGTATGAGCAGCTGAGCCTCAGGTAGGGAATTGAGAAATATGCCCAACCCATGTCAAATGTCTTGCCTTTCTATGACTGTTGGACTCCTGGAAAGCTCGCACTACTATCACTGAGGCGATCTTTATTTTTCCCGGATATGGATGACTCCGGGGTTCCTGGATGCAGGTCCCCAAACCAAACGAACACCACTCTGCAGCCTCCGCGGAGAGTTACTGAAAAGACGAATGGTACCAACTGCTTGGGGAGGATGGAGTTTTATTTGCCTTTGCGATTTTGCCGCCAAAACGCGGTTGCCTCAAAAATATGGGTGTGAGTTCTTTGTTCAGGCACCTCCCAAAATGTCCAAAATGGTGGTTTTCCTTTTGGTTTCCCTTCAAAACCGCCTCTGAAAGGTGTGCCAGCAAAAAAAAAAAAAAAAGACACAAAGCGGGTAAGTCCATCTGTCGGTCACAAAACGCAGAGGACTCCACAACTGGACGTGGCCGTGGCTCGAAGGCCTGAAAACTTGCCCACCCCTCATCTACCTCAGGTTCGCCAGCTCAAACTCTTGTTGGGGGGCCCATACCTATGCGCATAGGTGTCCTTCTGGGGGAAATAGATGGCTCTGGTAGATGAGTCAACCACCTGGTAAACCAGTGCCATCTAGTCTTTTGCCAAACAACCAAAAAGGACGCCTATGCCTATGCAGTGAACCTGCAACTTGCCAAATGCCAAAAGAAGGTCCCGGGAGTGTGCTGGCCCCTTTCGATTTCATCCCATCGGCCGTCCTCACCGTGGTGATGTCGAAGGCGCGGGTGTAGTAGGCAAGCGGCGCCTCGCGCTTGTGAGTGGGCGGACAACCGCAGGCCACGTCCCCACACCTTTGGTAACAGAAGGAACTACATGTTCCCCTTCTGGCCATGACTTCTCGCAACCCTCCTTTGGGTATTGTATGGTTCTCCGCGACATTTATTCTTGTTGCTTTCGGTGTCCTTTGCTAGGTCCTCCAGTAGAGAGGGTAGAATAAGGGTACCTTTTTTGCGGTAGTCTATTTTAGTAGGGGAACCCTCCCCCAAAAGAGGGGTAGAGAAGGGCACCTAGCTGGGGGGCCTAGTTTGTGTTGGCAACTCGGGGCTTCGCTCTCCGCGCCTCGCACTTCTGCACCGTGGCCCTGCGCCGTCGCAGGTCGAGGTCCGCCACGTGGTACTCCGCGCCGCGGTAGCGGTACACCGCCCCCGGGTGCAGCGAGTAGAAGGCCTCGGCGCGCTTCGGCGGAGAACGAGAAAACGGGAGGAAGCCCCTGGGTGGCTGAAAAAGCCCCCCAAGAAACACATGGGGCAGGAGGATTGCCTTTTTTGGTGGTTTTTAGAGGAGAACCAAGAGGGAAACCACCGTCTTTTTGGGGTCCCCTATGAAAGGCCGTAATTAAGTGGCTGGTCAGCTTTCTGCTTAGGCCACGTGGGTGATTTCCCCCTTTGACCATCACCTGTCAGGCCGATTAAAGGTAAGTTTCCGTTTCGTGGGGGGGGATAATTTGGAACAAAACCTGGCTCTGAGCTTGAGGGATCCGTTTGTTTTGTGTGCTTGGCATGTGTGGAGGACAACCGAAAAAGACCAACACAGCGACTGTGGGGCCCGTGTTTTGACACATACATTTTGTCCCAGAAATGAGTTGGGACGACCCGAAACTGAGCCCTCCAAGTGGTTGCTAGTGGTAATCATGAGAGGTGTCATGTGGGAATCACATCCAACAAGGCGATGTTCCGATGGATCTTTAAAAATGCATGGGGCGTGTAGCAAAACCCAAAAGACGCCTATGCCCGCAAATGGGGGCAGCTTGGCAAAGAACTGACCAACTTTAAATTTGCTCACAGCTTCCCCTTGGGGGAGAAATCAATCATCGGTCGGGTTGGCTCGGTTTTAGGAGAAAACACCTATCAAGGGTCATAGGTGTCCTTTTGGAAAAATGGATGGCGCTGGTAAACAACAACGAAACCAGATCCATCCAAGTTAAACAAACTGATCTATCAAGGACACCTATGCCAAGGGTGCGATGAACAGAGCGCCAAACGAAACCACAGCCAGTGGGTAGGTGCACGCTCGTTCTTTGACGCATTGCACTGTTTCTCCGATGTGTCACTGCTAGAAGTCTACTTGTGTAGTGGGTTAAATAGAACCTTTCACTAAACCAACTAAAAACTTAAAAACCTAAAGAACCGGATGGCTGGGAATCACCAAGCCTTGCACCCCATTCTGCGAAACTGCGAGGAAGGGTCTAAGTCTTCGACTCATTCCGAACTGACATCATCAGAATTGTTGGGGCAACCACGGCAACCATCTTGGGGACCCTGCTCTTTTTCTCCAATGGGAAGAGGGGCTGATGGTCTGGGTCCAACCCTGAAATGACACGTGGTCACTATGGACCCAGCTTGGCAAAGCCAACTCAGGGGGCAAGCAAATATCTTCAGATTCTGTCAGTCAGCAACCCACAACTTGAAGAATTCGATCGTGAGTTCGGGCAGATGCTTCAGTCATGTCATATAAAATGGTATAAGAGACGTCGGCTAGTGTCTCCATGGCTCCGGCATCTCACATGACGTTGTCTCAAAATTCAAACTGGCGGACCCCAAAAAGGAGTGCACTTCAAATCTTGACCACCCCACCCCCTCTCCCCCCTTCCCCAAAAAGAGCGTCTCGCAACAAACAAGCAAAACCGACACCATCCCCGCCCCCCTCCCCAAACAGGGCCTCCAAAAAAAAAGCGGACAGCATCCCCCCCTCCCTCCAACAGAAAAAGGCTTCAACAAAAACAAAGGGCACCCCCCCCCCCCTCGGCAAACAGGGCCTCCAATAAGCACGCACATCCCCCCCCCTCCCCCCCGCCCGCCGGTCTCAACAACAAACGGACGGACCCAGGCCTTGGACAGTTCGATCTCGTCCAGCTTCCGGAAAGCCATGGCCGCGCCATGGGAGGCCTCCCGCCTGAGTCAGCATAAATTTGAACCATTTTTTGTGACTCCAAACAATAAAACAACAGCTTCTCTCTTTTTTTTTGAACCATTGATCCATACTTTATTTATTTATATTCAAATTCTCAAGTGTAAGCATTGGTGATCATTTACTGATCAACAAAAATGACATGTGTAAGCCCGTTTGGAGCCCTATGTACGACTTGAAACTCATGTTTATAATAATTTATTGGATTAAGTTCCCGTGAATTGCATCCATGATGATATGTTTGAATACATAATGGACATCGATGTAAAAATATGTGCTCATCACCCAAATGGTATTTTATGTGTTTTGTTAATAATGGAATTCATGTTCATCAAGACACCATGCCCCATCACTTGTCGTTGAACGAGAGGAGAGAAACGACTTGCGTTTGAGATGGCTTTTTACCTCGTATCTTGTCATCTCTTTATTTCTGAGACTTTAGAATGAGACAAGATACGAAAGGAAAAGCAAATAAATAAAAAATATTGAAAAGACAGATAAAAGAGTTATTGCGACTATTCCACGGCCAGGCCGGGCAGGTGGTTGAGAAGTATTGGATAGAATGTTGGTAGGCCATGTGACCGCTCTTTTCGCTCGCTCCTGGCCGTCACTTCTACCGCTTCCAGTGGCTCCCGAAAACGGAGGAAGGCCCAAGCCAGGAGGTTTCGAGGCCCTTTTCCCTCGCAAAAAAAAAAAAAAACTCTAGGTTGGTATCATGTGTCTTTTTTTTTTAATGTAGGTTGGTATCAAAAATTGGACACCTAACGAAATCTGTGCCAGTTACGGGTTAACAAATGGGAAACCCCGGAAAAACATATTTTTATGTGTTGCTTTGGGGCTTGGTTTGCAACAAGGTGTCCAAGCCAGTTCCCTGAAAGGGAACCCCGCAACGGTGGATCGGTTTCAAGGGAAACCACCAGATCTAGTGAGCCCTGACGCAGGGAGTAAACACATGGCCCCCTGACGTGCATCTGGCCACGGTGAAACAAAACGTGGATACGCGCGAAATTCGGGCAAGATCTGGTGGAGTCGCTTTTCACAAAAGCAACGTCGCTCGCCCCGCCCTCCCCCACCCCAGTCCCCGCCCCCCCCTCCCAAAGCGAACGCGGCTTTGGCGGAATTGCGGAACCGCGCGCGCGGTGTGTTCGCTTCAACGGCGCCTCTGGAGGAAGCCCCCGTCGCCGTTGCCGACGGCCGATTTCACCTCCTCCACCACCTCAAAGTGATCCTTGGGCGTCGGCTCGGCTGGGAGGTACAAATTACTTGGAGGGTGGCTAACCGCTCACAACGTTTGCATGCTTTGGCTCTAAAACAAAGAGGAAATATCCCCCTTGATCAATATGTAGGAGGCATACCGTCCTTCACTGTTGGGGGAACCCCCCAACCCCCCTTTCTCCACAGGGTTGATCAATCCGAGGCCGACATCATTGAATCATTCTTGGACAACTGACTTGGCCGCATCATCCTGGCCAAGCGCCTATGCGCCACTTTATTTACAGAGGTCATGACATTTCCCACCCATCGCACCAAAGGGAATCCCCGTTTTGCCTAAATCTCCCACGCAAGCCAACTCAAACAAGGGGCATGGGTTGAAACCAACAGGAAACCACATATCTATATATATACATATGCATGTAATGCATCCGCATAATAAGAATAGTATCCCAATACAGCCCTTCGAAACAACGGGTTGGTTTGAGCCCTCCCCTTTTCTTGGATACACTTCGGCCACGTCGAGATTTGCAGCTCGTTCTCCAGGTCTTTTTACCCCCCCCCCCCCCAGTCAAAACTTGACACATGCCCGAATGGAGCTCCACCCCCCGCTCGCCTCCACCGCGCGGATGCTCACTGCGCGGTGGGGCCCCCCGGGCCGCACCGCCCAGCGCCGCGCCGGCACCAGCGCTTCGCGGCCGTCGCTCTCGCCCCGCTCCAGGCTGCCATCCGCCAGGCACTTCCTTATGCCAGCCCAAGCTTGCCCCCCCCCCCCCCCAACCCCACACACCCGCAGCTTTTGATCGATTCCCTTTAACACCAACAGGGGAAACAGTATCTATACAGGTATATATGGTTTAGACTTTCCTTGGGTGCTATTTGCTTGGAGCCAGACAATTCCCTAAAACGAGTGATTTGGATTGATAATTTGCGGAGTAGGAGGCGGCGTTCCATTTCTAACCCGACCGCACGCTGGTTAACATGGACCAATGGAACCAACCAAAACACTCCAGATCTATCTATTTGAGCGCCCATGTCAATTAACCAGCAACCAACACACACACGACACAAACTGGATCTTTTGCGTGTACTTGACTTTGAGCTGGCTGCAGAAAGATCAAAAACAAAAACCGAAAAATGACCCCCCCCCCCGTCGGCTCGGTCCGGTTTCCGCGCCGAGCATCTGCGCCGCCAGCTGAAAGGCGTCCGCTTCTTCCTCCTCGCCGCGCCAGAACCTGACACCATTCCGGGGGTGGCGGGGGGGGCCCGAAGCCTCTGAGCCTTGAGCCAGAAGTGAAGAGGGGCTCAAGAAAGCCCAGGCCCCTTTTGTTTATCGATTTGCATGATGGACAGTTACCTTGCTGGTTTGGTCGTGTTCCCTGGCCATCCCTTTGTCCCAACTTGTCCGCTCTTCTCCTCCAAAGTTGGGACTTCCCCAAAAGCGAGCCTCTTCCATCCCATTCCTATCATATGCTTGGTGGGCAAGCGCCAAATCACGCAACCCCTCACCCCCTCAACCCCCTCAACCCCCTCAACCCCCTCAACCCCCTCAACCCCCCAACCCCCCAACCCCCCAACCCCCCAACCCCCCAACCCCCCAACCCCCCAACCCCCCAACCCTCCAACCCCTCAACCCCTCAAGTCCTCAAGTCCTCAACCCCCCACATGAGTCATAATCAAAACCCGGTATCAATTTGGTCGACCCAGAACCATGTCAAGAATTGAGAAGGCGGCCGCAGCTATTTATGGCCGGACATGTCCCTTAGTAACATTCACTTACCCGGGTTTTGGCTGTGACTCACATGACACCCAACCGCCAGACCTGGCATCGCCCTCCGGCGAGGCGTCGATCGCCCGCTCCGCCGCCAGGCACGGCAGCCTCACCAAAAGCACTTCCTTCGACGACCAAAGAGGAAGCCTTCCAACCCTTGGCCTTGCAACAAAACCCTTGCGGCTACTCAAAATGAAACGAACCAACAACCTAAAAGCAAAAAAAAACATGCCAACGACAGCGAAGGACACCACAAGGGATGGTTCAGTTCGAGGGCATTCCAAGCCCGAAGTGCAAGTAACCCAAGATGTCCCGCCCACGCCTACCATTGGGCGGGGTCCCTGAACAAGCTCATTTGCCCGTTGGCTTTGGTGATGCTTCTGTAAATTCGCAAATCTACTTTCCATGGCTACTCCCCCAAAAACAATGTCCATTTTGCAAGGCAGAAGGCTCTCCTTCTTGAGTTGCCATTTTTGGGCTCTTCCACAAGGGCCAAGTGCACCCTGGTCAAGGGCGACCAGTGGCCCAGCCCTGTTCGCGCCCCTCCGCTGGCTTGCCCGGCCGGGAGCACTGGAAACCTGGTGAATTGTGAGGGGGTAAGGGGTGATCCCCCTCCCAATAGGGAAAAATCACAGGTGCAGGATCCGCTTTTGCCCCCTAGAAAAGTTGACCAAGTTGCCTAATCCGGGGTGTCCAGTAGCAACTCCCCGTACCAGAATATAGTGGTTCGTAGGCGTAGTGGGTGCCTTGCGAAAAGACAAACTTTGCGTGGCTGTCCTCAGATCCAACCGGCCAGCGGGTTAAAGGAAAACTACCACTAAACCCACTAAAACAACTCAAGAACTCCTAAGGAACCGGACGCCTGAAAGCCATCAAGTAAATAGAAGCCCAAAGCCTCTATCAGGCTACGGCTGGGAACAGCCAAGTCGCTGCAGCGCCAGCACTGCCAAGTTCAGCGGCGCCACCGCCACCGACTCCGCGCGACGCGCCTTGGGGCGGTGGAGTTGCAGTGGATTTGGGTTCTCCAAAGATTGAAGACACGAATCCAGGGTGGGGTGGGGTGGAGGGTGGGGTGGGGTGGGGTGGAAGGGAAACCAAGAACTTGGAGAAAAACCGAAATTTCGAGACAAAATAAACCAAGAACTTGGGAGAAGCCCAAGTTGCAAGACACCAAAAGGCTGGTCTCCTTCTGGTTTCTTATTCTTGAAACCCCAAGAAGGAGGCCAAAAGCCGAAAATAGACGAGCCGCCCATGCCGCTGCTTCCCGGAGAGAAGGAAGGGATCGCTCGGTTGTCAACCGTGAGGTCACTCACAGAATCGAGGCCGCAACAAAAAAAAACACACACAGAGAAACAAAAGACGATGCCCTCAAACAATGGATGGAACATACATCATGACTGCTCCAAAATAGCGGCAAATGCGTCTTTAAGAACTTCCGGGCTTGGAGTGCGACTTCGGCAGCTAGCTTCCAGCTTCAAGCGTAGTTGCTTTTCAAACCAGACCTGCAAAGGGAAATCAATTTGGAATGTTTTGTAAAGTAAGGTCAGGTGGTATCCCCAACTTCCGAAACCCTCCGTGCGAACCCTCCCTGAAAGCTGCCCCAAACCACCCCAGAGCTTTTCTGGGCAAAGACCCCATAGCTTTCAGCTGTCAGCTGTTGGGGCAAAATAAGTGATTCAACATGTGTAAACAACCCCGCGCTCCCCGTAAAGGGTTTTCAAAACTGAACAGGCCGGTTTTGGTTTCTCTCAACAAAAAGTTCCCCCGAAAAACCACACACACAACACCGAAACCCCAACCCCACCCACAAACACCGAACCAACCCCACCCACCCACCCCACCCCACCCCACCCCACCCCACCCCACCCCACCCCACCCCATGCACCCACCCACCCACCCTACCCCACCCACAAAAAAAAGACGGAGCGGTGGGCCCGAGCGCCAGCAGCTCGCGGGGCGCCCGCATGAAGTGCTGGTCGATGGGATCCTCGAAGCCCACCTTCCAAACCCCAAATCCGGGGCTCGAGGATCCTTCTCGCGAATGGCGAATGGCGAATGGCCATGGCCAGGGTCAAAGCCTGCCCATGGTCAGATATTTGGAAGGTTCCTAAAAGGGTGATCCTTGGCATGGCTACTGGAACCCTTGCAATGGGCGGGGTTAAGTCTCTGTTAAGGGGTTGATGGCCATCTCTACCAGCCTCCAGTAAAGGGGTGTCTTAGACCATGGAAGCGGAACAGCCCCCTATTTTGGGGCACGCTCAAGCAGGCTTCCCTGCAATTCACACTTTAATGTTACCCCAAGAAGTTGTCATGGCCTTGAAAGGGATGTCTTCGACTACCCCTTGTTTCTAGGGGACTGGGTCCATTCAAGTGACATCCTCAGACTCACCCGCTAATTGGTGGTTTCAAGGCAAACCGCATCAAACATATGTTTCAGACTCCCTCAACATGCAACCACATCATATGCCAGGAAAAAAGCCGCGATGAAAATGAACATAAAACAACAAACCAACATGAAAAGTAAATAGCACAACACGACAAACCAAATAAAACACAAAAACACAACAACAAACCACAAAACATAAAGCACAAACAACAAACAAACAAACCCACACGACAAAAAAAAAAAGAAAAAGCAAAAAAAAACGAAGGAACAAGCACAACCGCAAGCCAACACACCAACCCCCCACACCAAAAAACAACAAACAAACAAAAAGGGGCGGGGCGCCGAGCCGCGAAGAAGGAGATGCCCGGGTGCCCGGCGCGCCCGGCGCGCCCGAACTGCTGCTTCAGGGAGCTGACGGAGCCCGGGAAGCCCAGGGACAGCGTGCAGTCCAGGCCTTCAGAGAACCGGCGGCGCACCGGGAAAAAAGAAAGGACGGGGGGGAGGACACCCGGAAAAATGAGGGGGGATCCGGAGGGGCCTCGAAAAAAAAAGGGGGTACCGGGGGCCCAAAACTGGTGGTTGTCCTGTTGGTTTTCCTTGTATAAGGGAATCCGAGGAATGAGGGCACCCGGAAAAAAAAATGGGGCACCCGGAAAGGCCTTGAACAAATTGGGGGACCCGAAAAAATTGGGGGGGGGGGGGGAGCTGGAACAGTGGAGAAAGAAAAAAACAAACGATAGAAGGCCCGAAATAGAAGCCCCCGAAGGAAAACATGGAGACTCGGAAAACACGGGGGACCCGGAAGAAAAAGGGGGCACCCGAAAAATGAGGGGACCTGGAAAAATGAGGGGCACCCGGGACAAGTGGAAAAAACGATAGGGGGCCCGAAAACAAATGGCGCAGAGGTTGTTCGGTGGGTTTCCCGGCCACCCCAAAGAAAAAAAAGTGTGTGTCAAAATAGGGGGTGCCCCCAAAACTGGTGGTTTTCCTGTTGGTTGCCCTTTAAAACCCACCAAAAGTTTGGTTGGTCCACAGCAATTCTAGAATGCAGGCGGCAGAAGGCATTTGGATGGTCAAAATGCCGCTTCATACAGGTGCTACACAATATGTTCTCTTGGCCTGGTGGCTTAGGTCACCCCTGCTTCTCCTTCGGTGTGGCTGCGCCTGGGACCTTTATGTACATAGTGGCTCTGCAGTCATCACGCCCTCCTCCCCTCCGTTCTTGGAAAACCCTGCGTTTGACTTTGGGCCTGCGCTTTGGGTTCAAAAGCCCCAAGAAAAATGCGCGTGACCACGTGACTCACTCCCGTAATCCATCTCAGAGTTCGAGTTCTGCATGGCACAATTCCGTTCATGTGGGTGATCAAACTACCTGGATCGCCAGTTGCTGTTGTTTTTCTCTCCCCATGCACTTTACCCCAAAAGCGTGAAAAAAAAGCAGCAACTTGGCCATCGAGGTTAAAATTCACACCTCCCTTCACATCCCAGGGGCGGCCGATGTCGATGCCAAGCTCCAGCGCGTTGGTGCAGGCGACCCCCAGGACCTCTCGGCGTTGCCATGTTGCCACGTTGCTCGAGGGATCGCTCGCTGCTGAGTTATCTTTTTGCCTTTGGGTCGTCGGTGTGTGGTGGCGACATAAACATGCTGTAGTAGACCCATAGAAATAGATAAATATACATGTGTATATATAGATATAACTTGAAGAGAACAAAATAGCTTCAGCTTAGCTTCTCCCTCTACAAGAAAAGGTTCAAATCCCACCACCAAGCCAAGCCATTTCCGGGTCATCAAGTCCAAAAAAACAATCAGATACTACCATACTACTACTGCTACTCTACTACCATACTATACTACTCTTTCAACTAAAGCCCTGGTAAAACGGGGATAAGTCCACCTCCTCGCGTGGTTGGTGGGGGGTTGGGATGTTGGGGGAACCGGCGCCGCCCGCCTTCCGCGCGAAGATGTCCTTCTCCAGCTGGCGCCGCAGGTGGGCCGGGTACCCCGCCCGGTAGGACACCACCCGGCGGCTCAGGTCCGCCTCACCGAGGCTCCGCGGAGGCACCGAGCGAGGCGCGGGAGGGACAGATCTTCCCCGAGGTCCATGGTGGGCGTTTTTTTTGCCCCTGGAAAAAAAAGAAACGCAGAGATGCCCAGTAGTGATAGACTTCCTTTAAAAACCAACAGGGGAACAATTCAACTGGCAAATAATATGTAAATAGGTCCAGGAGTTTGAAACCAAGAGGGGACAATGAACAACATATGCTTAAGCAAATGGAGGTAAAACGTCACCCCTACCAAGGGAAATTCACATATGGAACCGAAAAGGTAAAGTTTGAAGCCACCAAAACAAGGGAAGGGAACCTGACTTATGGTTATGCGGCATGACTCTTTCTGGGAGACCAAAATGAGCCCCCCATGACTACAAGTTCACTGCAAAGGGTGCTCCTCGGTATCACAGTCATGCCCCACAACTGGTTGAGGTGGCGGGCAAAGAGGGTGCCCAGTCCCATTTGTCTGGCCTTCCCACGGAAAAAGGCGCAGGCCAACTCACTATTTGCGGGACGTTCCATGATTTGAGCGTGTCTTTTTGATGGGAATTTGTTTTTGGGCCGTTTCAAAGGGAAAAGGGAAACCAACAGGAAACGCACCCACTTGTGGGTTCCAGACCTCCCCAGGCATCCTGACATTATACACCTGAGCATTGCCTTGCAAATGGTGGCTTCCCTGCATATTTGGGTGGAAAAAGCGACATGCTTCAAATGGTTGCAAGATGTAACTTTTTTCAGGAGGCCGATCCGCTCCATTTGTGCAGCACCCCTTTGATCCTTGAACGAAACGAAGGTGCAAGTTCCTTGGATCTCCGGGACCCCGCTTTCGGCCGGGACGGCCTCGTCCGCGAGGGCCTCGCGCACGTCCTCCCGCGAAAAATGAACCAAGAGGGTAAACACGTGAGTTTGAGAACATGAACAAGACATGGGCTGCCATGCCTGAAAAAACGGTTGACCAAAAATAAGGCCAAAAGTGAAAGCAGTGCTGGAAAACTGAACTACAAATGGGTTGCCATGCCTGCAAAACGCTTAACAACAACAAAACATGTGGAACCAAAAGAGTGAACGCTTTAAGGTTTGGTTTTAGCTCTACCATCATGTGCCACGTTACAGCTCTGTTGCAGCCACCGGCGTCCAGACATTTTCGTCATAGCACGGGGGCCCGAATGATGGTAGAACTTAAACCCAATTTTAAGGTCGCTTCGCTCCGGGCAGAGCGAGTCCTGCAGCACAATCTCCACCAGGCTCCGCCACTTGCAGAAGGCGAGCACCGACACCTCGCCTTGAGACGCGGGAGACGTCTGACTTTGGACTTTTCTAGTGGCCCAAAAACCGGAGTGCTTCAGGATACGGGTTCTAGGGGAAGCTTCCCCTAGCTCCCCCAGCTAGGTGCCCTTTCTCACCCCTTTTTCTAAAAGGATTGAAATCTAAATATGGGTATGTCCAAAAATGTGTGGCTTCACTGATTGAAAGCGTTTTGAGCAGAAACCAAGAAGAAGTTGGACTTCTGCCACGAACTTCCCCATTCTTTCCAGGGATCAGAATCTTTCTAGAAAACCACCAAAAACCCTAACAAACAGCTGGTTCTTGAACAGAACGATGGTTGAAAAGAATGGGGAATCAACCCCGGGAACTTTGGATTGGACTCGCCCCAGTACGGATGGAACCCTAGCTACAAACCGCCTCTATCAGTAAAATGGCGGCTGCTGCGCTGGTACCGCAAGGTCCCTGTGGTGGCAGACCCAGAAACATAGGGCGAATGTCAGTGGATCTCACCCCCTTGTGGCTCAAAACCTTGGCACCGTGCCTTTGCCCTCCCCAAACACTTCAAGCCAATGTTCGTTGATGGTCTTCCGACAGATGCGCTGAGCCCGGCCCAAGGCAACAGGTGAAAGCCCACGGGCCGGCCGGAAGTTTTTCACCGCAGCCACAGTAGAAGGCCTTCCCAATCAGCATGCTGGACGAATTGGCCACAAGAAGCCCAAACTCTGGGGTTCTTGGACAGTTGAAGTCCAGGCACTCAGAAGAGGGGTAGCTATAGGAGAGGCTCCCTGCGTTCAAATGTTGGATACCATCGCCAACTGATTTACCAAAGCGTGCTACAAAACAAATAGAGGTTGAGGGTGCCTCAAAGCCATGCCCTTGACCACGACATCGGGGCACCCCCCCCGTGCGATGCCCGGGCACGGGACACCAGCCAGGCGATGAGCCGCGTCACCTCCACGATGGGCGAGGCCCGCGCCCCGTTGATCAGCTCCTGGCGGCTCGCTCCCAGGCTCCCGGGCGGAGTTTTTTCCGCTCACGCGCGCGCGTGCGCGCCCAGCTTTTTCTCAGATGCCCATTGGCCATGGGGAAAAAAGCGGCACCCTTTTTTTGTTGGTTGAGTTTAAAGGGGAACACTTACCCAACAAAAAGAAGGAGAAAGAAAAAGGCACCACTGCGCAACAGGGTTTTCGGGGGCGACCCCTCCCGCCATGGGAGCCGACAGACGTTTTTTGGGGGGGCGGACAGTCAGCCTGAAAAAAGGGAAACGGTCCTGTAGCTTTCATATTTGTTTGTGGGAAGGCCTCCCTCCCACCAACATAGCAAGTGTGAAGAGACATTTGCTCTTGGAGGGATTTTCTGTCGGGTGACATGTTAGTAGGAAAGAGGGTCGCAGCCCAGATTTCCCATGGCAAAATGGGTGGGGGGGGGGAGGGTGGGGGTGCTCGGTTTTCAAGGGAAAAACCCACCCCAGAAAAGGGGAAGGGTGAAACGCTAGGCAATTGGGGTTGGGTAGGGCCCTCTGAGGTCACTTTGGAAATCCCACCCTTGTGAGGCGGCAAAGTGGTTGATTCCCATATGAGTTCACTTGGGATTGTCTTGGTATCACAGAAAGTGGACCTAAAACCAAAGTCTTCAGATCTCTTTTGCTCAGATGTCATGAAGGCTGCTGGGTCACTGAACGGTCATCATGAACTCCGCCTGCAGAAAATGTGAAAACTAACATAAATGACACAAATGGCGAGCACCGGGCCTGGGGCAAGAGGATTCCCCTGTGGCCTTTGGCACAAAAAAACGGTCCATGGCATAGGTATGCTAGAGGCTGCGAAGGATGCCTCACGTTTCTCAAGGCAGGTACCACTGCCTTAGATTCACCCAAACCGATTTGTATGCCCCTGCCAATCTCTCCCATTTCCCAGATCTTTGTGCCTTGGCCGTAGGGGCAAACAGGATACCTTTTTGGGTGGATACTTTTTGCTGGGAAGCAGAAGGGACACTCTTGCGCACTCCAGCCTCGTGTGTGCTCTCGGGCTCGCGCGGCTGGGCCTGCAGGTGCCAGAAGGCCCTTGACACACCAAGCCAGGAGACTCCGCTGCTCTTGGCATCGCGGCATTTGTTTGGCCACACCAGACCCTTACAAGAACCATCCCTTTCAAAGCTATACTAGAAGGGCTCCAGCACGCCTCCGCCACGCTCGCTTCGGCTTCGACGCTGCAGTCCCCGTCCTGGCACAAGAGTGGCACAGGGCGAGAGGCGTGGCGGAGTCGCATCTCCTTTTTTGGTACTTTGCCGAATATTATACGAGTTGTGGTTACAAGTCATACATCAGTAAAAGCCCAAAGTCTAAGGGCATGATCTGGGGAAATTAATCGTTACATGTTGAGTGGCTCATCACAAGGTTCGACATTCACGTCTCACCATGAAAGTCGCCATTGCGGGCGTCTTGTTTTGGGACAGTTCCCGGAGGCCCTGTTTCATCTCGTTTGGCTGGAAGCTGGCGGCCTTGCGCGCAAGGAGGGAACCTACACGACCTGCACCTCTTCTTTGGGAAGTGTGACAAACAGACTCGCCCTTTGTATGGGGTGCTTGGAAAAAATCGTTCCCCATGGCCCCTACTAAGCAAGCTATCACTAGGCGCGACGCGTAATAAGTGAGGTGCTTTTGGGCACGGCTCAGGTGGACCCTGGTGCTCTGGGCAGGTTCTCTGGCCGGAATGCTTTCACTTGCCCGGAGGGAAACGACCTGTTGGCTCTGCCTATGCTGGCAACCGTTTCGCATCAAGCTTCCGAAAGCTGTGCCTTTTGTTTTCGGGTCCTGGCAAGTGGCTTTTCTCCCCGGCAAGCTCAAAAGGTATGCCATGGACAGTTCACACTTTGGCCCTCGGCCGCGAAACCAAAAAAGGCGCATCTCCCCTTCGACGGCTGAAAAAGGGAAGGGAAGGGAAGGGGCCCTTCTTTGCCCTCCGGGCCTTGCGCCGGCGCTTGGCCGTCTGCGAACCTCAGTCTGAAAAGGGGGCCGTGGAAACCGGTATGGGGCGTCTTCCACCGGCTGGATCTTTGATCCCACTTCTGGGATCCATGCGGGCGGGCGCGTCAAACCGCAAGGGAACTAAAAAAAAACGGCAGATTTGCTGGCGGCGAGTCCAATAGTTTGAGAGAAACCCACCCATGGCAGAAGCTTGCTCATTTGTTGGGACCTAGTTGGAGGCTGAAAAAGAACACATTCTGCCCCAAACAAAAAGACAAGCTATACCCCAACATGGCCTTTGGTCTGGCCTATTGGGAAAAATTGGTTTCCCTTGTACCTCGGGATCACAGCGCCTTTGACATAGCCCCCTTTCAATCATGAAAGTCGACCGGCGCCTTTGAAATACTGAAAGGCTTTTCAAAACCCTGCGTCCACTTCCACAGCGGTGGAAAGAGAGTGTCCCCCCGTACCAAGGGGTAACTTAGTCGTTGTTTTGCGGGGTGGGGCCGCAGGGGTCTGCCTGACTCCGTGCCCAAGATTTCGTAACATAAGGGCATAAACATAAGCAATAAGAATGGTGTACTTTAGTCATCATTATAGGTGTAACCGTATCAGACATGGTTTCGCCCCTTACCTCAGCGCCACGTCATTCGCGGCTTTCAAGGAAACCCTTCCCCTTGGCTCAAAAGGAGAACCCGCGCACAGCCGCCAAAAAGTTCCTTTTAGGAAACGCCCGCATCTCAAGTTGAAATACACCCAAGTGTGATATCCTCAACTGCCCGCAACCTGGTGGAAGCCTCCGGAAAGACCCCGTAGCTGTCAGCTGTTGGGGAAGAAATCAAAAGGAGTACAATGCTAGTCAGGGGTGGCAACCCGTTTACTGGCAGCTTGAGCGGATCCCTCGAACCAGTCGTCTGGCTGAAACTCAAAAGCAACACTGCCCTTCGTTTACCATCAAAATGGCCCCAACCCCAACAGTGTACAAACTCCGCGACTCCAATCCACGGCCGCACTGTAGGAACCCAGATGTTTCGAGCCCATCAACAAAGACAAAGAGCTCAAGAAACAGGTGGCTGGGGTTTGAAAAAACCGGGCTCAGCATTCCCCCTTAAAACATCACCCACCAAGGGACACTCACCTTTCATGGGCCAAAAATGTGATGTTTAAAACCCACCAAGAAGGCATTGGATAAACCCCTTGATCCCACAACCCTGGACCAGGCCTCACGGCCTGGCCCTCAACGCAACCGCGGGGGGGGGGGGGGGAGGGAAACGGCCCAAAGAAGTGTGATGTTACAAAAAATTGCGCAACAAGGGGGGAAATCACTAGGAACCCACCCCCCGGCTCCACGAAACCCAAAAAAACCGAGAACCAAAAAAGCGACCAAAACACGCCGCGCGAGGCGCCCTCGACGAGCGCCGCGGGGTTCCACAGCACGTAGACGTGGCCCCCGCTGGGCGAGCCATCCCTGGCGACCACGGAGGGCGCCTGAGGCCTGGGGCCCAGCAGTCGCTCCAAGTGCTCCCCCGGGTTGGCCACCTAAGGAGGCCACCGGGCTTCTTCCAACGGGCTGCAGGGTGGGGGGGGGGGAGTGGAGGGGTGGAGGGGTGGAGGGGTTGGGGGGGAGGGCAGGTGTTTTTTCTTTGGTGGTATCTTTTTTTTCTTGTGAACGGCGGGGGTCAGGGGGGTCGGCGTCTGTTCTGTGTACCCTTTTTGTTTGTAAAGGGAAACTTGGGCCTCCAAACACGCTGAGAATTATGAGTTTGCTTGAAAACCTGGGCCCTGAATCCAAAAAGCCAGAATCTCTCTAAATACATCCCCCCCCCAAAAAAAAAAGAAAAGAAAAAGAACGAAACCCAAACCCTCGACTGTGGAGGAATCGTTTTCGTGTTCAATGCCGAGGCGCGGTGGCGGAGCAGGCGATGAACTGGAGAGGCGCCTCCACGACGCGCCGCAGCCTCGCTCCGAGGAAGCGAGGTCTCATTTGTTCTCTGGGTGTCTACACGTGTTTGGTGGGAGGAGGGTGGACTATGACTACATGTGTTTTTGCAGGGCTCCCCGACCAGGGGATAGTCACCTTTCATGGGCCAACAAGGTGTTCAAAACCCCAAAAAGGGAAATAGAGGAATCAGCTTCTGTGTTATTTGGGTGTCTACATGTGCTTGTTGGTGGGAGGAAGGTGGACTGAGCTGGTCTTTTTGGACTGGGGTGCGGTCTATTTTGTCGATCGGGTTTGTACTGGTTCCTTTGGGGACGTGTTCTCGCCAAGGACTATCTTTGTTTCAAACGTGTGCCTTGTCTTTAGAGGGGGGTCCCAAGGTAAGTGATTGTTAGTCTTGAGAGGGTGACTGAAGGCGAGCATGAAGCGAAGTGTCTCTGGCACTTTTTGACCGAGGGAGGTGATTTTTTCCCCCAGTTGCTGCTTCTTTGTGTTGCTGTGCTTGTGGTTTTGGTAGTTTGTCCCTTCCCAAGATGGCTCAAGACGCCCCGCGGAACGCAGGCATCCCCAGCGTGGCCAGACGCATGGTCTACAGTTGCGCTTTGAGGGAGGTCAATCAAAGATGGACCTCCCTGGAGTCTCCATGACTTGAAAAATCTTGAAACTATGGGGTAATTACCCAAAACCAAGGGGTGAGGGTCATGGATCCAGGTCCTCTTCCCCCCGCCCCTGGCAATGCGAAGCACGAGGCAACAGCGCCCTGAGCCCCACTTTCCCGGGCGCTCGCTCGGGATTCGAGCCGCGCCGCGCCCGGCCCGCGCCCCGCACTGCGCGCCTGCGGATGATGTTGCACACGTGGGCGCCAAAGGCTCCGCGGTACACGTGCACCTCAGGGCCAATGGCTTCACAGACCCCTGATAGACCCCTGATGAGGGAACGAGTGCGACGAATGAGGACCACTACGAAACCAACAGTGATGCCAATTCTCACACACCGGTCCCAGTCGATAGGCCTTCATAATTCCAGATCCTAGCATTCTAATTGCTGCAATGCCAAAGTACAGGGCACGCGCCTGCGCAACGTACCAAGAATGCCGCTCCAGTAATCTTTGTGCTCCCTCCCTACTCTTTCCAGAAATCTGTCTGTTCAGAGGTCCCCGGCCTTGGTCTGGTCCAGAAAATTTAGCACACCCTAAGTTGCAAAGAAATGTGAAGCTCCTCAACCTCCATCTGCCCCCGTGAAGCCACATGAAGCCCTTGGAACGGGTCGAGCCCTTGACTACTGCAAGTGACTCGGGAGCAAGCAGAATGAAGCCCAACAATTTGCTGCGTGTTGTCAAAGTCTTTGTGGATACGGATCCACTCGCTTGCTATTCAGGTCCTCAGGTGCTCCCCTTTTTTTGAGACAAATGGGGAAAGCAGTAGCATCATCCTGGCTTGATGGATTTCAAAGCGAAACCAAAAGGAAACCATCCATTTTTTTGGGGGCCCTCTTTTCAAGCAGTTGATTTTCAAGGGAAACCCTCTCCAGCAGGCAGAACAATGGGTACCCTCAAAACGGCCACCCCCAATTTCGTTGGAATCCGCCCAGGCCATCCTGGCCGCCATCCCGAAAACGGCCTCGTCCAGGACGACATAGTGCAAGTTCTGCAGCAGCCGCGCGTATTCCACGTGCTGCGGCAAGACGTGGCTGTGCAGCATGTCCTTAGGATATGCATCAAACCTGCGACATGGTGAGCTCGGTTGGCTCCTGAATCGATGGGTCGCCAAAATAGGCAGATACGCCGCTGTCTTTTCAAATACCTCCTTTTGGTCCAGCCAGTTCGGAGTGCATCGTGCATCTTCTCAGCAGTGCCCAAGTTTGGCCCAGTCGTAGCCGCAGGGCCTGTAGGGTTCTCTATTTACATCCATCTAAGTAGGGCCAACCAAGTCGCCAAATTTTGGGCGCTGCTCACTGGGCACATCTGAACGGCCGTGCATCAAAAGCACCACAAAAGGCCCAGCTTGCAGCAAACAGGTGTGCACCCGCACACAAGCACGCGACAACGAAGCACGAAGTAAGCCTGCAACACGCACAACGGAGGGAGCAAGAAAGAGACCCCCAAGAAGTCGGCAGCGGTCATGCAGCTACCACACCCAGGAGGGTTGCCACGAGAACTTCCCACCAACAGGAGGACCGGACTAGTCAGGGGCCTACGAAACCAGATTCTGGAGGCCTGCGGATTCCTCTGATTGCAGCAGAAGGCCTCCAGCTGCACATCCCAAGTTCTCTTCTTTGGGAAGGGTCGCGCCGAATCCGGACAGATGCCCAGCGGAATCCGCCGAATTCGAATCGAGGGTCTGGGTTGCTGAGCACCACCTTGGCCTCCCGCCGCACTCGGGTCCTCTCTGCGCCCAAGGTGTCCCCGTCCAAGCCTTAGGGCCCCAATTTCTGGCAAAGTCAATCCGAAATACAAAAAGAAACGAAAAGATCCGTCCCTCATCGGTTTCCACAGAACCTGGAATGCACAGAAACTGGGTCCTCCAGTAGAGAGCTTAGAACAAGGGTACCCGATGTTTTTTTTTTGTTTTCTCTGTAGTCTATTTTAGTAGGGGAACCCTCCCCCAAAAACTGGTAAAAGGGTACTCCTGGGGGACCTGGGAAACACATAAAGCAAGAAACATACCTCGAAATATGTTTTTCTTTGGCGCGCTGTCCCCCCCACCCCCGTTTTGGCCTCCCGCAGGTCCATCCTTTTGGTGCTCATGGGCGTGGGTTCCTGTAGTGACAGGCCCCAAATCAAAGCTCATGGTCGACTGTGGGTGGAAAAAACCCCGTGCAGTTGGATGAAACCCGACAAATCTTTGGCTAAACCACCTCACCAACCCCTCATGCCTGACACAGATTTTTTTCCATCCACAGTACCCTGGTCAAAGCACACTTTTACTTGCGCCTCATTTATCTGCAAACTTTTACCATATCTCCAAAACCTGAAACAAGAATTGGATCCCCAAGTAAAGGCCGACAAGAAAAACAAAAACATGGTGAGCTCGTCATATTTCCGGATGAGCTCCAAAAACTAACGGATACAGTTATGGACGGTGCGTCTGCCAGTTGTCCGACTCTTCGGCGGAATCGCGCCATTTCACGCCCAGCAGCACGCCACCCAGGACTCTGCGTCCGAGGGTAGGGCACCTGTGGCTGCCAGGGCCTTAGTCTCGGAGACTCGGAACTCCGCCCATCTGGACCAAAGATGAGGTCTCCGGAGAGTTCCCGGTTTGGTCCTAAACAACACCTTCCCATTTTCTTGCGCCCCATAGGCGAGTTTTTGTTTGGGGATAAGGTTTGAAGGGGAAAGATTTCGGGCAGGGAAGCCTCGGAAACGAACAGGCGGCGCCCTCCGCCATAGACAAAAGGAACCCGTTTGAGAGGAAAATGATCCAAACAAGGACCCGCCGAAGGTAGGTGCCGTAAAGGACGGGGCTCTGGATTTTCCCTGACGCCTTCCACGACTTCTGGAGGCCCGAGTAGAAATGGGCCTGTCTATTTCTTTAGGTCCATATGTGATGTTGCTCACGAGAACCAAGAAAAACCAAAGGAAAACCAAAGGTTCCCTTTAAAAAAAGTCCCTGTACGAGGGACGGCACCTTCAGACGCCCCACTTGCGCACCTTGGAAACCCCACCAAACAACAACTCACTGAAAAACGGGGAATGGGTCTGTCTCTCACGTCGCTGATCCCTATTTGGCCATGGGTCAAAAGCCCGTACAGCCAGTGAACATCCCACTCCAACCACTAACATAGGTTCTAAAATGGGTGCTGAATTCACCAATCCCAGCCAAAACGGGATCCCAAAACGGTTTTGACCACCACGCGCCATTTCCCCGGTTTTTGCGGCTTTCCCCCTGGGACGCCAGGACGAAAAAAACCCACCCCCGGCCTGCGCGAGGTCCTTCAAGGCCCGCAGCTGGTCCTGCGCTAGCGCCTCGCTGGCAACAAACCCCGGCCCCTAGCGCCAAAAATCACGTGCGGCTGCGATGGCTCGGGAAGGGCGAGTCCAGTTTTGGGGGAATTCCCTTAAAGGAAACCGCAGGGGGATGGGTTTAAGTCGGGGTCATTCCAACTCATTCCCTGCTGAGCACCAGCAATTGCAGCAAGATAAGGCCAAATTCTTCTTTGACGGTTCGGGGGAAAGCTTTTTGGGGGGGTCTCCGATGGTCTCAGTGTCCCTGTGTCCCTGGCATGTGGATGCCGGCTATGCAAGTTGGGAAACAAACCAGGTAACCAACTAGAAGATTACGAAAGGGAGCCCTTTGCAAAACAAATTGGGAGTTGCGGCTGTGCAAGCTACAAACCTGGCCATCTGCCGCAACTTGCTGTACTTACCCCGAAAAAACTCTTAGGACATGTGTAGCCACATCTGTGCATGACGCGTCACCCAGCACATATCTACAATTCAACACGAGATTGGCCGACCCGCAACGTCGGCCTCTGTGTCGTTTGACAGAAACAGTTCCAAGACGCTAAGTATGTGTGCGTGGGTGGGTGTGTGTGTTTTTTGTGTTTAGTGCTCAGTTGCTCTGGTCATCGTCATTCTTGTTGCTCGAAGGTTTCTGCTTGGGCCACTTTGGGGGGAAGGCACGTTTCCCTGGCCTATGCGTTCCGGTTCCCCGCTGCGACGAGGTTCGGGCCACTTTGCCAGGAAGACACGCATGACCCTTTGCAAGCGCGACTGCCAGCGACCAATCCGAAAAAGAAACACGATTTGCGGGAGACTGGGCGTGCCCAGCCTATCTCGTCCCCAAAGTTTTACCAACACCTTTGCGTGCGTCGTTCCTCCCTTGAACTTTTGTAAGTCTGGCTGACACAAAACACGGAACCCCACCCCCCACCCCCCACCCCCCGCCTTCAAACGGAAGCGATGTTTTTGGGAACCGCTTGCTTGGGCCAAGTCGAACCATCAAAAACCGGCATTCCCCTACTCAACTGGCCGGCCCAGGTTCTATCTGCCTAACTGGGCTACGTTGCCAGATGCCCCTTGTTTGGGCCCTTGTCACCCTTGTGTTAGTTGTCTTTTTATTTATTGTTTTAGAGGAGCTCCTTTGTGGGGAAGGGCTCCCTCCGCCAAAGTTTGCGGAAAAGTCGTCCCTTGAGCAGGGTTCCTTAATAAGATACTTTTCAAAGCCACCTGATTTGCAAGCAAAAGAAGAAAATCAGCTGGCAAAGGTGCCCTTTTTGCTGGTCCAAATGACTCACAATCAAAAACCGGTATTAAAATGGTTCACCCCGAAAGATGTAGAGAATCAAAGAAGGCGGCCGCAGCTATTTATGGCAAGCGGATTGTCCCTTACTCATCTGCATCTACCCGGGTTTTGATTGTGGCCCAAATGTGGCAAAAATGGCTCCAAAAACACTTACCAAAATGGCACCTTGGTAAATAGAACCAAGGACTAAAACCTGCGTTTTGCCCTGGCTCTGGAAAATGTTGAGCCACATCCATGTGTCTGGGTGAATTATAAGCCTGAAATAAGGTGGTTTGGGGGCAATTCCCCACATAAACCACCATTTGGGGTGAATTCGGTCGTGTGAGGTCGTTATGATTCACCCAGATGCATTTCTTTCAGCTTCCCTTTGCAAGGTGCGACCTCTCGCCTTGGTGGGGAAGACCAGGATGGCAGTGGCCTCCGGTTCTTTCAGCAGCGCCTCGATCAAAAGACCCGACAGGGACCATGGCAGGCAACCCCACCGGGCAGTGTCATTTTTTGAATCAAGGTGCCGGTTTTTGGTGGCTTTGCAGGGAAACAAACTAAACGGAAAACCGAATCAACAGGGATCCGTACATTATACACCTGAACATTGCCTTGTAAATTGTGGTTTCCCTTGTATCTTTTAAGGAGCTCTGTTGAAGGTACCTATTTTTGGTGGCTGTGGAGGGAAACTTTAAAACAAAAAAACGAATGGAAACAACCCAAAAGGCCCCATTCAAATGGTCGTTTCCCGGGGCTTTCTGTCAGGTTCCACCTTCGTGCGTGGGGGTGGCGGGGGGTTTTGATCTCTTCACTTGGGGTTTTCACGCACCCAGCGACACCAGCTCTGGTGGAATCTTAGGGTGTGCCCGGGTAAGCGACCATTTTCCCTGGGCCCGTCACCTGAATTTGCAGGAAGGGAGCTCAATCCCAGGTTCCATCAAAAACCAAACCATGAGACCGCACAGAAAGGATGCCGTCAGCCAAGAGGACGACGTCAGCATGCCAAGTGGCCGCCGCAAGAAACACACACAATCTGCCTAGCTTGCAACACTCAGGGAAGCAAAGCAAGCAACAAATACACAAACATCCACCAATGGAGGTCATGGAAACAGGCTTTTGATTCCACTAAAGGCCAAAGGCCTCCCCTTTCTGCTAATATTCGACCAACCGAACCCCAGAAAACAAAAAGAAGAAAAAACCTTGCTGGGGCTCAGTAGGGTGTTGGGAATGAACCGGTGTTCGGGGATTCCCTTTAAACCAAAATCGGGGATGGTTTTTTTCTTGGGTTCATTCCAACTCATTCCCTGCCCATCGAACCAGACGATTGGAGCCTCGAAGATGGGGATTTGGTACACCAGGCTCTTGCCGCTGCCCGTAGAGGTGCTCACCACCACGTCCTTCGAGTCACTGAGCGCGTCCAGCGCCTCCGCCTGCGAGCCCCAGTGTCGTGTCAGGGCGAAAGTGGCACGACTGATGGCGGCGAAATCCAGAAACCGCAGCGCGAAATGAAACCGTGGTTGAAAGCATAACGTTCGTTAGCGCAACTACAGGGGAAACTTTGTTCCTATGGTGCAGGCTAAACAGTGGGAACCATTGTTCGTTGGCATTTACGGGGGAATCGAAACATATCCACGATTGCTTCTTAGGTGCTGCGAAATGGATTTCGTCCATCAGTGCCCCCTTGAACTTCGCAAGTGGTGTAGAATCTAAATGGGGAGGTAGATACCTTCTTCCGCGTGCACCAAGTTCAGAGGAGCCGCGCTCCGATTTTCCGTTTCGGCGAAAATAATTCTCCGGAACGCCCAGCCCAAAAGAAAGAACATGGGTGGGAACTCTGGAAAACGCTTTGGATGCTCCTTTTGCAGACGCCCTGCTAGAGATCAAAAAAGCACCTACAGTACCACAACAGAACTAACGAGGGAACTGCAGGAAGCCAAGGAGTCAAGTCCATCGAGTTCTAAGAAATGAGGTACAGTTCTTTTGCTGGGATTGCGCTATTGACCCACCACTTGTGAGGGTTCCCTAAAACAGAACCCCCCCCAAAAAGCACACGCAGAGAGAAACGCGACCTGACCACCTGGCGTTGTCTGGCGCCTGATGGCTGTAGAGCTCCCAGGTGCTTTCGGCACCAGGCCTTCGCAGCTTCAGCTTCTCGGAGAGCACCGACTGACGCGACCGAGACGACTCAGGGCGAAGGAAACGGAGGGGGGCGACCAAAACAACCAGAACTCGGCTGCTTTCTGCGAAGCCCTGCTAAAAGCCAATCACTTTTAGTGGTTTAATACGGAACCCCCCCCCCATTAGTTGGCAAAAAGTTGAAGTCATAACATCCAAGCAAAATGCGCCAAAGAAAAAGGACACCTACGGTCCTCCACTGGGAGTCAGAATCAAAACCTTGATCGCCAAGTTGCGATCAGCTTTTTTCACTCACTGTTGCTGGTTTTTGGGGTAAAGTGGAAGGAAAAAAGCAGCAACTGGCGATCCAGGCATTTGCATTTTCTCCGGTGGATTGGGATTTCGGCCTCCCCTTACACCCAAATTCCTTCGATTTTGGGCATGGAACTTGTACTGCTTGCTGTCGGACCCTCAGGCTACCCAATTTAGCTCCCACAGAGCCTGGAAGAGTTGCCGAGTCAAGCCAGGGATCTCGACACACATATCTGAACAAACAACTCCCACGTGGGAACTCTGATTTCCCCGTCGCCCCGCCCATGTTGAAACACCACCAAATCGTCACTTTCCGCATGGAAGTTGGCCCCAAGAAAGCCTGCGCGAAGCTGATGGCCCATTCTTTGCAGACTCGGTGATGGCCCTTTTTGTGTGGGTTTACGGGTTGCCTTTTTGGAGTGTTCTTTTAGCTTTTGCTGAAGTCAGCCCCCCCCCCCCCTAAAAACAAGTCACGTCCTGTAATTGCCACAAAATCTTGGGGCGAAGTTCTGGGCGTTACCTTCTAGGACCTTGACTGCGAATGGCTCAGCCAGGGTTCCCCCGAAAACATTACGCCCCCCCCCCCCCCCCCCAGGGGTGCAAACTGGTTGTCTTCATGAATCACCCCGAGCTCGACTCGAACTATGGGCAGGCTAAATTCCGCGAAAAGATGGAGAACCCCCAGCCCACCCCACCCCACCATCTGCCCCACCCCACCATCTGCCCACTTCATCTCACTGCGTCCCAAAAGGTGGTTGCGGAAAGCGGTTATCCCCACCCCCCACCCACCCCCCGGAATGACCCCTCGCCTTCAGCGCAGGATGCAGCTCTCGGCGGATCTGCGCGAAGCGCGCCGTGCGCGCCCCGACCTGCGACACGTGGACGGCCTGGCCCACGTACCAGGGCTCTGCTTTCAGGGCGTTGATCAGGGCCTAAAGGCGCACATGGTCATGGACAGAACGAAGGCGCTGGTGGACTCCAACCATTTAAGTTGTAACAGATTTTCTGGGGGCTATGTATAATATAGTTATTTATTTATTTATTTATGTGTTTATATATTGATTTATTTATTTATTTATTTATTTGTTTATTTGTTTATTTACTTATATTGCATTATATGTACATATTTGTATATATCCTGCAATGCTTGCCCTGAAGTCAACAATTTCCCATTTGTTTATCAAACACCAAGTTCCCTTGTGTCTATCTGGAAATAAGGCTCCCTGCCAAGAATGGGGAAGTTATCCTGTCGTAGGACCCAACCCTGCTCCTCCCCGTTCCTCCGGCGATGAGTTGTTGGCACCCAACGAAACGGAGAGTACGCTCCCAGGTTTGTCTCAAAAACAAGCGAGAGCGGTTGCCGGAAAGCACCCACCATTTGGGGGGGGCGTTTGTGCGGTGCGACGCCCACAGCATTCAAAACAGCGCCGGCCATCGTGGCTTATGGGGAAACATCATCGAAGGCGGAGGACTGTTTTCCTTCAAGCAATCTCCAGACCGCAAAATGGAAACACGCGCGGCATCGACATTCAACAAGCTTTGCCCCTGCACAAAGTCTCCACAGACTTCAAACAGAAAGGGAAGTTGCCCTTTAACAACGTGAAGGATCCCGTCTCTCAGATAAAACCTCCATGAGTCGATTCCCAACCTTAAAACGGGGATCCACCCCCACGACTGGGTCACAAGGGCGGCCGGCCGCTTCTATGTATGGCTGGGAAACTGGGTTGCCATTACACCCCACGGGGAGTCACCCCCAAGAGACAAGTGGCTGTTTTTAAGGCTCCATGTCAATCTGCAGGCGCGTAGCCCCCTCTACAACAAAACAAACATTGCAAAAGTATCTTCGTGTGGGTAAGCAAAGCAAATGACTGAAGCAGTGGATTGAAATTCTGCCATCTGCTTTCACCCAACTGCATCAACCATTCGTCTGGTTTTCAAAGGATGGTTCCCTTGGTTGCGGTTTTCCTCTTGCTGTCGCCTCCAAACACACTCTGAGAACCGCAGTGCTCCCACCCCTGCGTGTCCAGTTGCCACTGCAATCAGTGACCAAGGGAAACCATGCAACCAGAGGGGACGAAACATGGGAACCTACAGCCAGACCACATACCAGAAGTAACAAAACATGGGAACCTATAGCCAGACCACATGGAGGCAGCCTGCCAAGACGCCATACCGTCAAGGCTCTTGTCCACCGGCCGCCCCACCGCCGCCGCCGCCCGCGGATTCGGCGGCGCCACGGTTGGCGCCGGCGCCGGATCCTCGGGCGGCGGCAGGCCGCAGGGGTCCAGCGAGACGCCTCTGGGTGACGCCTTGGCCAAAAGGAAGCTTACCCTCCCACCAATCAACTTGGCACCTTACATGGGGTCCCTTTAAAAGGAAAATGTTCTTACCCTCCCACCAATCAACATGGCACCTGACAGGGGTTCCCTTTAAAAAGGAAAATGTTCTTACCCTCCCACCAATCAACATGGCACCTGACAGGGGGTCCCTTTAAATGCAAAATGTTCTTACCCTCCCACCAATCAACATGGCACCTGACAGGGGGTCCCTTTAAAAGCAAAATGTTCTTACCCTCCCACCAATCAACATGGCACCTGACAGGGGTTCCCTTTAAAAGGAAAATGTTCTTACCCTCCCACCAATCAACATGGCACCTGACAGGGGGTCCATTTACAAGGAAAATAGTCTAATCAGGATCCCCCTGTCAGGTTCCAGGTTAATTGGTGTGAGGATACTTAAAACCGTAGTTTTGAGAACACACTTCTGAACAGATTTGAAGTAAACAATCTGAAATTCCCGTCGAAACCACTTGAAGTGACAAAATCAAGCACATCAAGCAACAAGTGGTTGCTTTTTGGAAACAGTCACGCATAATTCAATCTTCTCATGCTGGAAGTCGGCTAAGAGACGGAAACAAATCCTTTGATGGTAGTCAGTTTCTCAGGAAGATGATGTTTCAGCTTGTCTCACATGGTCATTCTTAAACCAGTTGAAATGACAAGACGAAACACATCAAGCACAAAGTTGACCTTTTCTGGAAACGGTCACACAGAATGTCCACGACTCCCTCCCTTCAAGGAGAACCCCCCCCCCACCCCACCCGCTTCAACCAGGGGCCTCCGGCTCCCGAGTTCCCACTGGCATTCCGTGACCACATCCCGTCAAAACCTTCGGAGTTTGTGGGCGGGGGGCGCCAAAGGGGAGGTACTAAACCACTTGGGCCAAGTCCTGGCCCTAATTTATATCACCTTTGGTTATCCTCCCCTGGCTATAAATCCCCTTTTGGCAGGGAAAAAATGCAAAAAAATCTGCACATCCCCGCTCCCCCTTTTACTGCAAACCATGAGGCTCCCCTGGCTATGATTTATATCACCTTTATCAAAGCGCCGACTTGAAGGACGTGACCCCCGCCTGCGCCAGCTCCAGCATCCGCCTCCTCCCCTGCAGCTCGCAGCGGACGATGTCCGCTGGCCGCACCCGGCGCCCCCGGCCGTTGGCTCCTCCTTGGTTGCTGCAACGACCCCCCTGCGAAAGTTTTTGACCTTTTGGGGGTTTAGTGGAAACCCAACTTGATTTCAACCGAAAAGTTGAAGTCTAAAGATCCAACCCAATAGCAGTCAAGTAACTAGGATCTCACTTCCCGGGTGGATGGGCCAAAACACGTCCAATTGTTTGGCGATCTCACTTCCCGAGTTGATGAGTGAATGGGCCAAAAAAAATCCAAACTTCTGCTCACCACTAAAATTGTCTTCCCAAAAGTTTATTAATGTCCAGGAACTCGGGAAGTGAGGCGGATCCATTTACTCTTTCCGGAGCCCAGACCAGGCGCCTTTGTGATGCTGGGTCGAGAGGCAAGGAATGAGGGAGAGACGACCACTTCAGACCACGTCAGTAATTTCCTTCAAAAGCCTTCGGTTCATTCCCAAAATCCTAGGCGATTCCTTGCTGAGAACCAGCAGGTTGCGTTGTTCTAGCATCCCCCCCTTTGACAACGAGTCGAGGGTGTTCGAAAGGCAAGGCACACGTGGCTTTAGGCATATGGCTAAATATACGCAAGAAAAAAAAACAGGAACCAACGAGAGGAACAAACAGGCCCGAGTTGGGAAACAAACAGGACCAAGTGGGGACAGAGTCTGTGGTCGCCCCTGCAATTCCCAGCTCAACTTATGGCCCCAACACGCGGGCCATGTCGTATGTTGAGGCAAGCCGAATTGCGAATTCCCTCCCCCGGCGGCCCCCAAAAAAGAAGCAGGGATGGATCAATCGGCCGAGGCCTTGGCCACAAACCCTTGATGGACCCAGGATTGATTTGAAAAATTGGGTGATTCACAGAGGACGCCCCAGTTCAAGGATCCCACAAATTCTTGGAGAACTAACCCAGCAGTGGCCCAGCAGGCCAACATATCCGGGGGAGATAGTTCCCGTGCCAAGTACAACTAGGAGCAAAACCGCCGGGTGTGAGATTTTGATCGGGCCCTTGACATCAAGAAGACCAGGAATTTGTGTCCACCAACCAAACCCCCAACTGCCTGACTCTCAGCAAAGAGTCACCACCTTGGGTCCCTGACACCAAAGCAGAACCGCCCCCCGTCCCCCCCCCCCCCCCCGCGGATGCCACCACCCCACACGCCCACACCCCGTTTGGCGCGTGCAACCAAAAGGCCCTTGTAGCGCACGCAGAGAAGCGGCGCAGAGGGCGGCCGCAGGCTGCGTAGGCCGCAGGGGTCCTCGCTTCCGCTCTGGGCGCCAAAGGGGGCAAGCAACAATGCAAAGCAAACCAAGCCACCAACCTGCTAACCCACCCATCCACCCACCAACCCCATAACCCACCAACCCAATAACCCACCAACCCAATAACCCACCAACCCACCCACAGAATAACCCGCCACCCCAGCAATCGAATCACCCACCAACCCACCAATGGCAGCTCCGCCCCTCCTCCTCCACATCCACCTGCTGCCAGAAAAGCTCGAAGCTGTCCCTCGCCACCTGCAGAAGCTGCCGGCAGCCCAGCTCTGCGTCCAACAGCCTCCCCCCCAGCGCGCGGCGCCGGGCGGGAAGGGAAGCGGGGGGCAGGAGGGAGTGAGGCTCCGAGCGCATGGGAGTGATGAGGCACAAAGGACATCTGTGACTCCAATAAGGGTCATAAAGCAACCAACATGTTGCCGCCCAACCATAAACCTACCACTCTGATGACCCTGGCGATTCACCAACCCAGAAAAAAAAAAGAGAAAACAACTTTTTCAAGGAACCTTCATTACAGCCGAGATCACAACCCCAATGGTTGCCTAGGCATCCTCAAATCGGATGAATATGTGCATCCAACGGTGAAACTTGCAAAGGGGAGTTGCCTCCCATGGATTTTCCATAGCTGACCGGAGGGCTGTTCGAAAGACTTCCTTCCTTTTGGGAAGCCCCCCTTCTGTGATTCAACAGGGGTCACCTCTTGGATGGTTGTCGAGGGAAACCAAACGGAAACTAGCCACCTGGACGGGTCCCTAATTTTGAGCAACCCCAGTTCAGTGTTGGAAACAACTTCTCTAGAAAGGTCGGGACTTCTCCCCCCTCCCTTTCGGGGTCTATCTTGCAATCAGCTTCTTCGCGATGTGGCATTGATTGTTGTAAGGCCCTTGTCTGACAGACTCGAAGTGTCCATCGAAGCCCTGCACATTCCTCCTATTCCCTTCCCTCCTCTTTAAACATCTCCCTTCCCCATGATTCAGTTCAGTTCAAAATTGCCTATCTCACACGAAAAAACCAGAACCCCAGTTGCATACCCTCACTCTGTCCCAGGGCCAACCCCAGGGCTGGGCCAACTGGTCAAAAAAACCATGGTTTAAACAACTGCTTCAGCAAATTCCTTTGGCCCCTTCTTGAAAGGGGGGCGTTAAGGCCTGGTTGTTTAACCCAATTCGAACAAAACACCGCTCAGGCATTAGGATAACGGATAAAGGATCAATTCACCTACCAACTCCTGAGCGGATGTGTCTCTATCCAACACATGGATTGCTCCATTTTGAGCTTCATGTTCCTCTACCGGCTTTGGGATTGCTCTTTGGGCTTCATGTTCCTCTGGCTTCATTGGGCTGCCCACAGCCCACTTCCCCGAGGGAGAAGAACCGCCTGGGCAGCGCGCCGTGCCCCCGCGCCAGGCCCCAGATCCGCGCGGCGCTCCGCGCCACCAGCGGCATGCTGCGCTCGCAGAGGAAGTAGCTCGAGGCGAACCTCGCGGGGAGAAGCGCGGAGAAGCGCGGAGAAGCGCGGAGGTCGGGGTCGGTTGGTTGGTCGCCGGTTGGGTTGGGGGGAGTAAACCCTGCGGCTCATAAATAAAGAGGGGTTTTACAGGTAGATTCAAAAAAAACTGTTGATGTCTGTGAGTCGTCGGTGGGGTTGGGTGGAGAAAAAAAAGAAGAAAAAAAAGAGGCCATGGTCGCATGAGTGAAAATAGGTGGCAGAGTTCCTATCATGGCTTTTACGGCATGGTTCAGGGTGAAAGTTGGCAGTTCCCCCATGGTTTAGTCATCCCAGAGAATGACATGAAGGCTGCGTTTACCCCGCGGCTTGAACCCCACGGCCCTCGGCCAAACCCTCGCCCCCTTTGAACCCCATGGTTCGCCCGCGCCAGGGCTGTGGGGGAATGGAATCCACTTCTGTGATACAACAAAAAAGGGCTTCCCAAAGGCTATTGTGTTCATATAAAGGAGGATTCCCGAAAGTATCACAGAATAGGGGAGAAACCCCTTGATCCCACAACCCTGGTTCGGGCTTCACCCCATGGTTTGTTGATGGCAAATGCCGACGGGTTACACCAACTGTGAATGGTTCAGGTGGGGGGGGGTTCCCCATCTCCCCTAAACAATGGTTATGCAGCAGGGAATCCACTAAGCGTTCATGCTAACAACGGGGCTCTGTGAAAACATGGCAAGGGGTGAATGCTCTGGAAATACCAATTGTGTCAACGGCAAATCAATCATACCAAGGTTCCCGTTGCTTCCCCTTCAAACCCCTGCTCATGACTGGAGAACCCGCCTTCTTGAAAGGCAGAATGTTCTCTACAGTTTGCCTGTTAAACCCATGGCTAGCTTCGGCTTGGCGGTTCAAAAACACTTCGAGCAACGTTAGGGCATGAGCCTATCGCTTGCATTATATCTGCGTATTTGTACGCCATTCGGGAAGCGTTTGGTACCATAGGGGAGCACGTCGGGAAGCCGGCAACCCTCCTTCCCTTTGACCAGCACCGTGGTTGGCCCATGTTGCTCCTTGCTGGCAGATGCTGAGGGTCTGGTTGTCATGTGGTTTTGTGTCTCTGCCCTCTGGGCTGCGGTTGCAAGGAGCGGTTGCTTGAAGGGTTGGCTCTGGCCGTTTGGGACAGGGGCGGATAGAGCGTGCCACAGATCCACTGCGCCTTAAAGCCTGTCCCGTTTGAATTCCGTTTCAACCATGACCTTTGCTCCAACTGAACCCTGGCATCTGCCCCTAAAACTGTCGGAACATCTTTTGACCCGCGGGTGAAAAACACGCAGGGCCAACTCCCCCCCACCCGCGAGCGCTGCCTCCGCAAGAGCTCCGCACAGGCCTCCAGCTCCGGCGAAAGCTGCAGCAAATGGAACGCCCGGCCTTCGCTTCAGTTGAGCGATGAAACCCCCAATTTGTCCGTGGAGGTCAGCCCTACCATAAGCACCTGGGTCTTGGGAACTTTTTCGCGCACATCGTCCAAATGACGACTCGAAAAGACTGGCCTGCTGCGAAAGACCCCCAAAAGTGTGTGTTTGCTTAGGGCCCAGTCCTTCGTTGCAACTAGTGAGTGACCTGCGAGGGAAAGCTCAGCCTTCCCCAGCAGCCAGCGAAACGAACAAAGAATCCGCTGCGAAGCGACGGCCCAACGCTGCTTTTCTCTGCCCGGATTCCAAGGACTCAAAGCAAACCAAGTGATCGGACTCCAACCTCTCCCGAGCTGTCCTCGGCAAATTGCCCCCTTTTTTTTGAAGTCTTGTGCGGGGGGGGGGGGGGGGGAGTATCTTGGCAGTTATGCAACGCCATCGGGACCCGAGCCACGGGCTGGCTCCAACGATCGCGCAAAGACCGATCTCCCGATCGCGGGGAACCTCCGGCCCCTCGGCGCGGCTCCGGGGACTCGTCCAGGTCGAGGGCGACGCGTGGCCTCGCCTTGCGATGACCAACAGCACCCAGCGGCGACCAGACGACACCCGGACACCCGTGGGTTTGTTCTGTGCTTCCCTTAGGGTAAGTACCCGAATTGGTTTGGTGCTTGCCAAAAAATAATAATATCTTGGTTGCTTTCTGCTCCCCTGCTAAAAGTTTAACTTTTAGTGGTTTAGTGGAAAACCCATTAGTTGGCAAAAAGTTAAAGTACTAACAGCCAAGCAAAATGCACCAAAGATATGTGATGGAAGTGGACTTCTGGGCTTTCAAAAGGATGGTATGGCACCCTTTGTCCAAGAATCAAAATTACCTCGGAGCGTTCAAAAGGATGGCATCTAGACTTTTAACCCGGCTCCCCTCTAAAGAAAACGAGAACCCTGGATTAAACAAACGCTTTCTAGTTGTGCTTTTGCGCGTGTCTTCTTTCAAAGGGAGACAAGGGAATTCCAGGGGGAATTCATCAACATCCTACACCGCGCCCTCAATTGGATGGGCTTGACACCCTCAAACAACCCTCAATCGTGGTTCACTTGCCGGTTCTAAGGAGATAGTGAGAGAATGACCCCGAACTGAACCATCCCTTCTGCTTTGGTAGGGATCCTCATCCAATTCAGTCCCCAAGCCCCGAAACTGGCCCCCTACTGAGAATCAGCAACTTCAAACTTCAAACAAACATTGCCACATCCGACTTCAAAAAGAAGAGGGCGTTCGTTTCCTGAATCCCTCTATCCCCTCAACCCCCCGGTCCAACACACGCAGTCCTCAGTTTAACCACAGTATCTCCCACCAAAGGTCCCATTGCTCAAATACATTCCCCGGTTTTCACGCCACGCCCGCCGAGGTAATTTCACCTCCAAGTCCTGCCTGCAGCCCGCCGAAGATCTCCCTTGGCTCCTTCAGCTCCGTTGGCCCTTTTGGAGGGTTGGCCTGGCGAGCCTTCGGCCGAGTCCCCGGTCGGCCGAAGAAAAGCGGCCGTTTTGGGGTGGGCTTAGGGAAACTCTGCACATCCTGCCAGCCTGCCCTCCGCTTTGAGCATCCCAAGCCATGCTCTGCAAATTCTCCGCCCCCCCCGTGCTCCCCCCCCCCGTGCCCCCCCGCCCGCTTGCCCGCACGTTCCATGTCCATGTCGCAACCACGGCGAAGAGCTTCGAGCCCCCGCCTCCTGCTTGATACGCACGCTCGGGGAGCATTCCCCAAGCCCCGAAGAGCCGCTCTCAGCTTTCATCGGTGCGTCGCCCATCGGCGCGTCGCCCATCGAGAGCTCTTTGGATCCCGGCGGTCCAGCTGGCGCGCCATCGGCGCCGACCTTCTCCCGCTTCACCACGCAAGCAGCGGGCGCCTTAGCCGTGTCCACCCAACAGTATCAGGGCTGCTCGCACCAAAACACGGAAAGAACTGCAAAATCGGAGAGGTTTCCCATACGGTTTCAATCAGCCTGCTAAAGCCGCAAGTCTGTCGCAAAACAGAAGCCGCACGCATGCAAACAAAAGATGCTCAAAGTCAGCCCGGCGGCCACAGCCTCGCTTTGGGCCGCGCTCTGGGCCGGGCTTTGGAGCGCCTGCAGCTGCGCCTCCAGCTGCGCCTCCAGCGCCAGCGCAGCACGGGCCCTGCCCCTTCCGCGGCTTTTCGCCTTCGCCTTGGCCAGGCGCTGCTCGCCGCTGGGGCGGCAGAAGCGGCAGAACCACCGGCCGGCCGGCACCTGAAAGCTGGAAGCATGTGGGGGCCGCTTTCAAGCGCGTAAGCGAGTTCTGCAACTGGATAAATTGTTCCAAGCACGGTTTCTGGCGGTGGATTCTGTCTTCAGCCTTGTTTAGCTTCCCTTGCGAATCACCCAGGCCCCGACCCGCGCCTGCCGGCCCAGGCCATCGCAGAAGGTGTGGCTGGCGCCGGGGCAGCGGCCCCGGCGCCCGTCGCAGAGCAGCAGAAGGTTCGGCTCCCCGGCGCCGCCGCACACGTCGCAGGTGATGTCCTCCGACTCCGAGCCCTGCTGGTCCCGCTCCTGGCCGAGAAAAACACGCGCCTGAGGGGCTTTGGCGCGAGTCAGGGCGTCAACACAAAGCAAGCAAATGCCCTTGACACCCCCAGGCCGCCGCCACAGTCGGCGTCAGTCCCGGACGAATCGCCCGCCTGGACCTCGCAGACCCGGCGCTTGCCGGTGAGCAAGTTGTACTCCCCGAACCGCCGGAACCGGCTCCGGCACTGCGGGCAGGAGTTCTCCACTTGGGACCAGACCTCGGAACCCGCGGTCCGAAGGAGGCACACACGGCCCCATCCAACTGGATGCGAAGTACTTTAAGGGCTGTTGTACACCGAAAAAAGAGGAACACTAAAACGAGACGGGGCTCAAGCCAGGCGTGAGTTGGCCACAAACTGTCGGCCATCTTTGGGCACCCGCCTTTTGCGGGCGGCACAGAAGACTACCGAAGTCCTAACATGGGCTTCTACTTCGGACAACTCAGCCGCTGCGTGCCTTCGAGGGCTCCTTATTGCAGGCAGCGCAGGCAGCTTCCTCTTGGGGAACTTTACAAGGTGGGTTCTGCCTTGACTTCCCTTTGAACCAACCTGGTTGTTTGTTTACTGTATTTTTTGAAGCCAACTAATCTGGGCTCCGCCGAACCTGCCTGAATGCAGCGCACGTGGAAGAGGTGCAGGCAGCCTCTGGCTGAGAGTGGCCAGGCGGAAATCTATCACGGGGGCTGCCTCCGAATCCGCGGGGCACAACATCAAGGGAAACCCCTTCTTTCTGGCAAAAGCAGAAGGATTCACGTCAAACAACCCAGCTTCTGAAAGGCCCCGTGGTTCCATTTCCCTGAACCAAACGGAAACTGGCCACGGGGATCTGGGTGGGGCACTAGTTCTGAAGAGCTTCCTGCCCAAAATTCAACTCTCGGCTGCTCAACATGGAGTGTTGGCCAATCCCAACCCAGAACTCCCCGTTTCGTAAAGGCAAGGACCAAGGATTGCCTTTGAACAGCCCCGTGCACCACTCTGAGACTATCAATGTTTCATTCGCGCTGGCATAGGTGTCCCTTTTGGGAAAATAGTAAATAGATGGCCCTGGTAGATGATTGAACCACCATGTAAACCAGTGCCATCTATTTTGCTACCAAAACAAACAAAAAGGACACCTATAATGATCGCTGGTTTTAGCCCAAGCCGTCCATGGAGATTTCGTCCCCGCCTTCCAGGGCCGCCACATGCTTGCTCCGCAAGCGCAGGCGCTCGCTGCAGCGGCTGGCCACCCCCGTGGCCTCAAAAGAACGAAGCAGCGGCCCGGAAATGGCACCCCCAAACCCCAACCCCCCCCCCCCCCCTGGCCCGAAGCCGTAACCCCCCACCCCCAAACCCCAAACCCCAAACACCCCACCCCCCCGAAACCGTAACCCCCAACCCCCAACCCCCAACCCCCACCCCACCCCCTTTCCTTTGCGATTTGCAGCGCCCCCGCCATGAATCCGCCCAGCTCCACTGGAGGAAAAGATCCAGCGCCTCCCCGTCGGCATTCAGCTCCAGCAAGCAGGCGCCGCAGGTGGCGTCCGCCTGCACCGCCAGCTCCGCCGGCAGCTCTGCCATGCGGCTGCAGCGCGGCTCATGGAGAGACAGAGAGAGACCGCGGGCTCCAAACATCCGGTGGGCTGAAGGGAAACGATGTTGATCCTTGAAGGGGAATTGGAACGGGCTCAACATAAAGGCTTGCTGGCTTGCTGGCTGGCTGGCTTGCTGGCTTGCTGGCCTGCTGGCTTGCCAGCCTCGCTCAACGCTAAGTGGCTGGGTTCTTCAGCATGGGGAGATCTATATTCCCAATCCATCATCCGTAGTGGGGCACCACTACAGCAAGGGAAACCACCAGCACCTCGCATAAGGATTGAGGATTGACTTCAGCGCAGAAAGAAATGTGCATTTTCACCTTTGGTGGGATCACCACAAAGCCCCTCCTACGCTGGAGCCGACTCAGCGGCAGTTTTTGTTCCCCTTTCTTTTTCTGAAAAGAGCCATGCAGCCATCGGTTGCGCCAAAGCACCGAGTCTGCAAACCAGCTTCGAGACTGCTTAGTACAAGACTAAACTGAACAATTTATGTAGAAAAGGCCCCAGCTTTGACCTACAAAAACTAAATCCTACGTGTGGGTATGATTTGCTTTTAGGGTACTCCTTTTTGGGGTGGTTTTAGGGGCAACCAAAAGGAAAGGGGGAGAGGGGGTGCCCCAATTTCAACACACACACACACACATACGCACAGACACGTTGATCCCTGCACAAGCCCCCTCTGAGGAGTCGCGCGGACCTGAAAATTCGCAGTCTCCGCTGCCGCCGCGGGGATTTCACGTGAAGTCCACCCCGAATTCCTTGATTCAGGGGAGTACCCGAGGCTTGCCAACCAAGTAGCAAACAGCGAACTGGGAATCCCATTGCAACTCCACCTCCGAAACCGCCACGAGCGTTCCCGGAACCACGGAAGAGCGCAAGGCAACGGAGACGCCTCCACGGTGCCGTTCTCCGTGGTCACCACGTCCTCCCGGACAGCACATGAAATCAATACAACTTGATGTTGCAAACGTGAAACCTTAAAAACATACAAACATGAACAAACATGAACAAACATGAGACCACAGCACGGCCCCAAAAAAGTTGGTTGTTAAATGCGAAGGCTCATGCACTCTACGCTTCTACCTCCAACGCACTTCCCGGCAACCTGCTTCTTCTTGCGTGGGCCAAAAAACGGAATGCCCGTGAATTTGCCACGCAACCTCAAATCGGAAACTACCCAAATGAAGGTGAACAGCTCGAAACTGTTCTGAGCTTCAAGCGGCTTCGAGCCGGGAAAACAGTAGCAGCTGCCCTTCTTGCGACTAAGACTGGCCGGCACGGGCAATTTCACTTCAGAAACCTGCACGAGGGTTGACACAACGACCTTCATCCTACGAGTTTGTCCAAACTTGCCTGGAACCAAGCTGGCCTTGCTCAGCCGAGAGCGGAACTTACCAAATCCCAGGACTTGCGAACCATCGGAGCAAGGAGGGCACCCATGGCCTCCTACATTGAGTTTCTGAAGGGTTTTGGGCCATGACCAGGGTTACCCTCCCACCAACCCTTTCCAAGAGAAAAGTAGTCTATCTACAGGGGTCTGTGCACTGCCATGTTAGTTGGTGGGAGGGTAGGGGACCAACCGCAGGTATCAAAACACCAGCCATCTCGGACTCAAAGCAAAGTGGCTTGAACCGATTCAGGTGATAGGGAATCCTGACTTGATTCGTAAGCTGCCTGAATGAATTAAACTGCGTGTTGCACAGCCCAAAAAATATTTCAGGAATGCCCTACGGGTTTTGGGGTCTTCCCCAAAAAGGAAAGCTTTCGTCCTCCCTAACCCGCTACGAAAGCATCTTCCGTGGGAAGGAGGGGGGGGTCTGTGTCTTTCTTTCGGGGACCCCTTAGAAAGTGTCACTACTATCATAAATTGATTATCATCATCACTACTACTATGATCATTTGTTACTCTAAAACCTGTGGTTGTTTCGTTTTTGTCCCTTCAAAGCCAGCAAAAACGACACCCCGGGCTTCCCCCTTCCATGGACAATCCCAGCCACTGCCTCCACCTCTGCATCTGCCTCCATGGACGCCTCGCGGAAAAAAAAAATAACCCCAGAATGTGGTGCCCTGGTAAAAGGAAAGGACCTAAAACCCGTCATCTTGTCTGGTGTTTGTTTTTTAAACCGATCCTTGCAACTTCTTTTTGGGGTTCTGTGATGGGCGGTATGAAGCCCTACAAGAAACCACCAATAAATCCCTCTAACCAACGCTTCAAAGCAAACTTTTTTTGGCAGCTGAAGGATGACCTTGAACCCTGTGCCCATGTTTGTGGCAGCCGTGTGCTTATCATATGGAAAATATGAGCATGCCAGTTTCGGTTTCGCCATGCCATCGGCTTGTTGGGATGTGATTCGCACGCGTCTGCATTCTGCTGTTTCCACTGGGCCGCCAGCATGCGAACTGTGCTTCACATAAACTTGGCTACCCTCAGAACGGATAGGGCAACGCTGGCATGGTGGAAACAGCACGCAGCGTTGCTTCTGGATTCTGGACATGTCCAGAATTGTCCTACAGACTCGTAGGTGTTGAATAGGAATTCCCCACCTTTCATGAGACAAATTAGAAAGCCTCGCGCTATAACCCGTGAGCAACCCGTCAGCTCATTTTGTGCAACCCGTCTCCGCCCATCTTCTGAACTGGATACTTCCTGTGACTTAGACAGCGCTCGAATTCGAGGGGTGCGGCGGGGGGGGTGCTCTTGTGTTTTAAGCCTGTGGGCATCCCCAAGCCAGTGCACCCGAAAATCAACTGAGCTATCTGCCACACAAAGGATTTGTTTTAAGAGTTTGCTGCAAGGTCGCTTTTGACGGGTTGACGCAAACCCATTTAGTCTTTTGGATTCGGAATAACTACCAGGTGGCCCCCCCCCTTCCCCCAGAGAGCAAACACGCCCGTTTTCGCCTCAGCCTGTCCACTGTCACCAGGCCCAGACCTCCCTTGAGGCCCGGGATGTGTTGAATCAATGCCTTGCCAAAGCACGGCCCTTTCGGGGTCTCCCCCTGGTGACATCGAAAATTCGCGCCACCTTCCCCTGCACAGGGGTCAAAAAGGGGATCATAGCTTGGGCAAAGGCAGCAAAATGAACACAGGCCATCATTCCCCTGCAAGCCAAGCGCCGGCAGGGGCGCGAAAGCCATTGGCAAAAAAGAGCCACTACTTGGCAATCCAAGTGAGGCGATTCTCCTTGTGGGGGCACGCCTTCTCCGGCATCTCGGCGATGATGCCCTTCTCCATGACTCCCAGCCAGTAGGTGACCTTTGCGCCCGCCTCGCAGACGGGCCCGAAGTCCGGGGTCACATGCACGTACGTGTTGGTGCCCGCCACCGTCTTGTTGACGTCGAAGTTCATGTCCTCGTGGCCAGGCTCTTTGTTGACGCTGTAGTGCACCGCAACCATGGTCACCTCCTGGGGGTTGGTGGGGGTCACTGAGAACTTCAGCCGGCTTTTGCCTTTGTCGTCCTTAACCAGCTCCAGTGTGTGAGGGAACCTACCTGCCACAGAGTGCCCGGCGCCGGCATATCCGCCGCCTTTGGCGGGGCTTGGCGCGCCGCCGAACTGCGCCGGATACTCGGCCATGACGCTGGCGCGGGCGTCGGCCTCGCTGAGGCCCTTGTTGTCCATGAGCCACTTGGCGCGGTTCTGGGCAGGCGCCCCGTCGCAGACCACGTCGGGGTTCCAAGTCCCGGACTTGAAGAGGGTCGGGAACTCGGCCATGACGTTGGCCCGGGCATCCGCCTCGCTGAGGCCCTTGTGCTCCATGAACCACTTGGCACGGTTCACGGCTGGGGCCGCCTCGCACACCACGTCGTTGTTCCAGGTCAGAGCCGTCGGAAACGCCAGGAACTGGGGCTCGTGCTTGTCCTCGTTGGTGCGCGCATCTCCCATGTGGAAGCTGTGCTTCTTCTCCTTGTCGTTCCAGTAGCTGTGCACCGCCTGGAGCAGGCCACCCTTCTCATCCCCCAAGGGGTAGGCGTAGAAGACCGGGTGCTCTCCCTTCTGCTCGTTCGGCCAGGGCTCGCCGAAGTGGAAGGTGTGCTCCTTGTCCTTGGCGTTCCAGTAGTCGAAGATCGGCTCCGTGCCCTTCACCTGGCAGGGGAAGGCATAGAAGACCACGTCCTTCTTCTCCTCCTTGGGCCAGGCGTCTCCGGTGTGGAAGGTGTGCTCGCCGATGTCCTTGTTCACAAACTCATGGATGGCAACTGCCATGGCGAGAAAAACAGGCGGCGAGCTTTCCAACTTGAGCAATAATTTGCTGGAGGGGCGTGGTCATGTTGGCCTTATATACACGGAATCTGCCACTTTGCTCTCTAGATCCCTGGCAAAAGGATCTTTTGATCATTGGGAGCCGCACATAGGACCCTCGGCACCCGCAAGTCTCGAGGCTTGCCCCTGAAAAACCCATCTTGGGACATCCAACCCCCAGTACTCGTGGGAAAAAGGGGGAGGGTGCCCCCGCCCTTCTGTTGGCAGTTGAATTCCAGGGGGGGAAACTCCCCCCCTCCAAAAAGAAAAGCTGCAAAACGGAAGCAACCCCACAACGGAGGGGGGGGGGGCGGAAACACCAAGTTGGACCACCCCCCGCCAAAAAAAACACACAAAAAAAAACGACGGGCCCCCGAAGCTTGCAGCCTCAAGAACCTTCTCCTCGTCCTCCTCGAACTGCAAGACGCCTGGAAGGCATCGCACGCTTGGGGGTCAGTGGGGCCCAACTCGCTGGCGCGGTAGGTCGGGAAGGACGAGTCCGGGTGTCGGAAATGAACCGGTCTTGGGGATCCCCTGCAAGGAAGCCATAGGGGATGGTTTTCAGGGTCATTCCAACTCACTCCCTGCTGAGAACCAAGAAGGAAAACATGGAACCTGAATGGTTCCCCCGCGGAAGACCTCCCTCTACGGAGGTCTTAAGGTTCCACAGGTGTTTTGGGAGGGTGATAAGATCTAACAAAATCACACCGAAGAACAGCCGTGGGCACAAATGGCATCCAAAATAAAAACAGGGGCGTTAGCTGCTCATCATTTAAAAAAAAAAAAAAAGTCAAGAATGGGTCACGCACCCTGCGGCAAGAATTGGGATGTCGGCCCTTTGCCCAGGACCTGGAAGAAGTCTTGCGCCATGGGCGCTTCCTTTTCTGGCTGAGTCCCGTCTGGGGCAACAGCCCACCCTCTTGAAGATGTGGTCGCCCACATTCTTCACCTGCGAGCGGGTCCTGTGGGGAAGAGTTGGGTGACCTAAGAACCAAAAGGGACGCCAAACTTGGCGAGCGGTCTCAGAAGAGGCCAGACCTGGCGCCCAAACCTCTGAAGGCTGAATGTACGCGCCCAAAACTCCCCCCCCCCTAGTCACATCATCCACTTAGACGGTCCAGGGCTTTTAGCCAAGTTAGGAACCCCCAGGGAGGCCGCAGCTGGAACCCCCCGCGCCATCCAAGCCAGCCCTGGCCGCTTTTGTCGCCAGCTCCTCTCAAGAGAATGTCGTAACGGGCGTCTTTACGGGTGAAACAGCCTGCCCCAAGATGCGCGCACACCACAGCTGCAACGCGGGTATGTGACATGTGTCAAACTAGGGCTTCCAAACTGCACGTCTGTCTCTCTGGGTATAAATCGACCTAAAAAGGGTCCCTTCAAAAAATGACAAACCCAAGCTGCTCGGGGTGTGAGAAGCATCACCTGGGGGCTGGCTTGGGCAACTCGCAGCGCCGCCGAGGCTCTGGGAGGATGTGGCTCAGCGTCTCTCCTGGGTGTCAGTCGGGGGTGCCCTATACTCATGCTGCCACGAGTACTAATGGGAACCCCAACTTAACAAACCGTCCTACAAATAGGGGGCTGTCACCCACAAAAGTGAAGGATTCCAACTAAAAAGCACAGACCTCTCCCATTAATCAGGCAGGGGTTTAGTAATCCGAAGTTAAGATGGGATCTTAAACCCTAACCCGCAAAAACATAAGGGAACTCACTTTGAATTGGCACAACAAGCAAAAAGTCCACTTCGCACCAGCTGGAATGCGGAAAAGCCCGATGGATCAACCCAGCTAGCCTCTGGTGCTGGACTTTCGTCCATCCACGGCAGGGAGCCTTGCTTCAGCTTTTTGGAGGTGCTCTGAGACTCTGGGGGTGGCGTCCAAAATAACATGTTTTTGCTTTCCTGTTGGGGGACTCAACCGTTTGCGGTTGTCAAAGATTTTGAAGGGAAACTCCAACCGTCGGTTCTGGGTTGGCTCCAAAGGTTTTGGCTGTGAAAGCCTCCGGAACCTTGCGCCCTCGACCAAATCTGCCCAGCAAGGCTTCACTTGACGGGGGATGTGCAATTTGGGTGTGCGTTTCTGGTTTCTGTTGCGGGTGCCTTTTGCAGGTTTGTTTCAAGGGGAGCCAAAAGCAAAACCACTATTTTGTTTGTTTGCTTCTTTCTTTCTAATTCTTCTTTTTTTTTTTGGGGGGGGGGGTGCAAATCTCTAGTTTCAACACACCTTGCTTAAGGCTCCCCCCCCCAAGTGGGCGCCACACACCGCGTATCTGCGGGGTTGCGCGGTTTGTTGGTCGCCGATTTGTCTGAATCAGCTAGTTGGTAGGACTTCCGCGAGCCGCTTTCTGGGGACACCAAAGGAAAGCCTTCTTGTGGGGTTCAACCTCTAGCAATCGTAGTTCTTCTAGGTCCTCCAGTAGAAAGGTTAGAATAAGGGTACCCTTTTTGTCTGTAGTCTCTTTTAGTAGGGGAACCCTCCCCCGAAAAAGGGTAAGAGGACACTACTGGGGGACCTAGTCTTTTTTGGGAAGCTAAGGATTAAATCACCAGTTTCCGCTGGTTGATCATCCAGTCGAACCACTCACCCCTGACCCATCCCAAGGAAGGTCAGAAAGCCAAAGCCCTGCATAGTTTTCTCCGTGGTTTCCCCACCAATGTTTGGCGGCCCTCCCATATGGAGACAACCGCATGGCTGAAACAAAGGTGCAGTCACACCATGATGTGGGTCTTTCCCCTGGAGACGGACCTAAATTCAGGTTCCTGACCAAAGCCGGGTCTGTCTCCCACGTGTGCAGCTTCCTGAGACAACCACCAATAGGTTTTCCTTCAATGAAGGGATGCTCATATTATCAGCGTTGTCTTGAGCTGTGGCTCAATGGTCCCAGTGGTGCTGACGTTGAGCGATGTGAGGCTGAAGAAAACACAACGATCGCTGCTCTGAGGATGGCCAGAAACTTGTTTGACAGTCAAACACCCGCAGCAACAACACGACTGCGAAGGATGCTACCTCCAGCCACTGGTTTGCCAAGGACCCCTCAAAGGCTGGGACGCAAATACGGACAGCTTGATGGGAAACCAAGACCCCAATCATGCAGGGATTCCCCTACTATGAACAACATCCTGCACCAGTTGGGATGATTGAGCCCCCATGAATTCTGGAATTCGCGCGGGATTTTGCCAATCCACCGTATTCGACCCAGTCCCATTTTGCTAGCATTCCTCTTAGAGCTGGCTGAGCCCAGACAAGCCCCAAAAAAAAACAGGTTCAACTAGTTTCTTTGCCGTTACGTTGCGGGTGAATATGGACTCCAAAAACAAACGAAACCCGTTTTGGAGCAAAGACCCCTGCTTTTTGAGCGCGGTAGAAGTCGCTGGCAGGGTGCTCTGCGCTTCCAGCGGCAGCGCCCAGGGCCCCCGGATGGCGCGGGTGATGCCCTGAGGCTTGTCTCCCCGAGAAAAAAAGAAAAAGAAGAAACGCGTCGGAAGAAACTTCGCTCCTTCGGAGCAAGTCCAAGCCGCACAGCCAGCGGAGTGAGTCAAAAGCAAGGGACCATCCGTACACCAAAAAAAACGGCTTATTGCACCAATTTCCCGTACGCCGTCCGTCCGCAGCTTTGCTAGAATCAAAGCCACCGAAAATCCAAGATCCGAATTCCTTTGCTAAGGGAACCTCCCCAAAAAAGCGACGGCGTTTGGTTTACCTTGAAATGGAATTCCCAAAAGGAAGCCCAAAAGTTAACGTCACCTTTGCATCGACGGTGCCAGGCATGGGACTTGCCATGCCTAAACTGGGAGTGGTATCCAACCAGGGCCCATGTGTTTGTTTGCTTGTCCGCTTGCTTGCTGCGTGTTCTTGCTTGTTTGTTTGCTTGGCAAGGGGCCCCTCTCTGGCCCAGTAGGACAATTCAAAGCCCTTAGGCCCGTAGGCTCCTTGGGATTGCTCGGGGTTCCTCGGGATTTCTTGAGATTTACTGAGGTTTCTCAGGGCCCCTTGTGCAAAGCCATCTCTTGGCGTCCCACGTGCGACACTCCAGCACCCCACGAGCACCGGAAGTCCGTCGGCCCGCCGCGGTTCGGGCCTTCGCGAGGTCGGCTTCTACAATTTCCGGCGCCACCAGCACCTGCGCAAAGACTGGTGTTGCGGGATGCCGCAAAACCAAAGTAAGCCATGACCATCACCAAATGATGTTAGTACATAGTCAACCCCAGTAAGCTCACGTCCAGGGAGTGGACTGGCAAAAAAAACGGCCAGCAGACTTGTTGTTCCCCACTAAAAGGCTCTTTCCAAAAATCTGAAAAAGTCCAGGACCTCCGGGAGTGAATTGGGCTTTCCTCCTGACCCCAGAAGCTTCCGGAAGCTTCCGCCTGCATGTGCTCGGGCAGCAGCAGGAGCAGCAGCACCCAGAGCTCCCCGCAGCTCCAAAGAGTCAGGTCCTCGAAAAAACCAAAGCCACTTCTCGCCCGTGCCGCGGTGTCCCTTTTGGGTGCCTCGTGTTGTTTTTTGCTTTTTTGTGGGGTTAAGGGACAACCGACAGGAAAGCCAAATTCCATTTTGGGGGTGCGCTAAAAGAAAAGAAACACACATATTTTCCCCGGTGGCTTCCAACATCACATGGTTGGCCCATGTAAGGCAAGATTCCTTCAAGGGGACATAGTCCTTATGGGCGTGACTCATTTGTTGAAGTATCTGTTTTGCGAAGGGGTATTAAATTAAAGCCTATTTTGCCACATACCTCACGCTTCCCTGGCGACATGGAAAGCTCACTTGCCCAAAGGACCTGGAAACAAAAAGTTAACCTTTTGGGAGTTCGACTAAAATGGACCCCAAAACCGAAAGGTCGGCAGCTGGCTCCCCTTCAAGCCAGAAGAAGCACTGGTTCCTAATATGTGCCATCAGGGCTCTGGGATAGGAACATTTCAGTGATACCAAAAAGAGCGGTGTTCGACAGAACCAAAAGGAACCTTTTATATAAAGGCCCCCCCCCCCGGAGTAACCAGCCAAAGATAGACAAAAACAAAAAATGGGTTCCTTTGAGGTCCCCTTCAAACATCACAGAGTGAAAAGGAAACTCAGGCTATGACCACAATACCATGTTTCAAATCACCAAGGACCCCTTGGATTGCTCGACCGACCTGGGGAAAAACACAAACCCCACCTCCAGCAAGGGCACCTGATTGAAACCTGTCATTTTGCAACATAATGCTTTGTACATGTTCAAATCGACCCTATGCAAAAGGAATTTCGCTTGCCAGGGTGCCGCTTGGTTCTCCACCCTTCAAACCGAAGGAGCAACTTGTCTGACGCGCCATTCGTCGTGAAAAAAGCCTCCCCCGCGCCCACAGGCCGAGATGCCTCTGCAGGCTGCCCGACCTGGCGCGGAAGGGTTCTTGCCTCCCGCCCTTCTGCTCACAACTGAAAGGAAACCAAAGGAAATCCACCCGCCTTGTTATGGCCCTCCAATCAATAATGTTGACCCCATATTCATACACTGGGGTTGAGTAATATGGGGTCAACAATACCCCCCCCCAAAAAAAAAAAACAACTACCTGGCAGCGAACTAGCAGCAGAGAAGCTCGAAAAGTTTCAAGACAAATGTGGGCCCTGTGCGTATGACCCAAGGCTTCAAGGGAGCCCATGTTCTCCAAGCCAGAGAAAAAAATGGAATTCCCCTCGCCCCCCCCCCCCACCCCCCCCTCCCCCCCACCCGCCCCCCGCTTTGGAGCAACCCCCCCCCGCCCCGAAGCGCCGCAAAAAAAAAAAAAAAAAGAAAAAAAAAACCTCCCTACCTGGAACCTGAGCGGCGGGAAGCGCGCGCCCAACTCGCAGGTGCCGGTGGCCTGCTCGTAGGCCTCCGTGAGCCCATGGGGACTGAGAGATCGAACCTAAAGATTGGAGGCCCAAATTAAAACCCTGGTAAGGAAGGAAACATTCCAAGGCGGTTTAATCTTGACCTAAAGATGGAGGTTCCATATGTTACCATATGTTCCCATACTTTTTTTGCAACAAGTCCGAACCTACCTTTTTGACCCATTGGCAATGGTTGGGATGCATCCCCCGCACCAATGGTAGGCAATGGTTGGACCTCAAAAAGAAAGGAGGATCCTCGCTTGGCCGTTTTTAGTTACTGGTGTGCTCATGCTTTGAACGAACGTGGTGTCAGCGTGGTTTGAATGTGCCTCCCTACCATAACATCTTGGACCTCTTGGACCTGTTGGAGACTCTAATTCCTCAAGGGACCCCTCCAGGTCCAATTCCCGGAGGGTTTCTCCCCGATCCCAAGCCTTGGAATCTGATCCTAAACCAATTCTAAAGTCCCGGGGTTCCCGTTGGCCCCTGCAGTCGTATAGGTCATTCTGCAAGCACCAGGCTATACTAAACCCTCACCAAACCAGCACTGGACAAAGCACCTCCAAACTAAAGCAACTCTTCCATGATTCAACCAGCGCATATGTACTCACATGCACGCACACGTCATGTTTCTGCAAATGTGTTCTAAACAACCCGTGTCTACGCAGTGGCATAAGGCGCACAGATTGGACCCTGTGTGGTGCCAAAATGGAACCCTGGCAAGTGGAAACATGGACCAAAACCTGCGTAACCCCTGCTGATTGATTTTGAGCCACACCCATGCCTTTTGAGGCCTACTTTACTAGGGGAAAGGGGCACCCCAGCTGCGCCTCGCAGAGATCCACAAAGGGCCCGTGGGCCGCCAACCGCGAGAGGACCTCCAAGGCAAACCGAAAAAATGACCCCGGACTAATCAACCCCTGTTCGTTAATATGGTAATATGGGGGGTGTCCAATTCTGGTTTTAGTGGGAGTCCAATTCTGGTTTTTAGTGGGAATCATCACTTTTGGATGGGAACAGCCCCATATTAAATAAACAGTGGTTTATTAATCCGGGGTCAACATCATGGGGAAAAATGGGGCCTGGTCCAATTCCACACGTTTTGGGGGAGAATGTTGGGGATTGGGCGGATGTTCAGGCCGTTGCTTTGCTTGTTTTCCCTTGCCCCTCGAAGGTTTTTTGCACATTTATCACACCCGACATGCGCACAGAATGTGCGAGTTTATTTGTGGGGTTTTGAGCTAGGGGCCCCAAGACCCTATAATCAACCTGCCTTCAACCTCTTCGAACCAACCACCGGACAACAAAGCTAAGACTCGGATCCCTGCCGCACCCCCTCCCTTCCCAGAGTGGCCAAACGTGCACCTGAAGCTGCGCGATCCCCGCAGAGGAAACTGGTCTTTCTTGGTTGCGTTGCTTTGCCCGCAGTGTGGCAAGCTGCACAAAGCCGCACCACCAAGCCAGCCAGCCAGCCAGCCAGCCAGCCAGCCAGCCAAACCAAGAAAGACACAAACAAAGCGACAAGCAAAGAAAGCCTAACACAAGCCTCCAGAAGCAGGCAAACGCAAAGACCACACACCCCCACACACCCAGAATTCCCCCATGCGCGACGCCTGCCTCCTGCACAGCTTCAAGGTCCCCCACCTGCAGCAGCTGCCCAAAGACCTGGCCAAATTCGAGCCGAAGTCTTGCTGCGAGGTGCCGCCAATAGTTGTGCGTGCCCAAAATGCGCACGTCTTCTGATTGTTTGGCTTTAACACCCCCACAAAGAAACCCCTTCCTAGATACTCAGGCCGGCCCCTTTCAATCGGGCAGGAAGGTTCCAACATTGGGGGCAGGGAAAAGACGGGGGCCTGTGGCTCCACCGAAGCCACGGCGGCGAGCCAGCGCCGCATGGGCACCTCGGGGAGGTCCGATGGCCGTCCCCCGGAAAAAATCCAAATCAGCTCGGGTTTGCGCTGCTGGGACACGAAAAGACAAAAACCTCGCTGGTCGGTTTCCTGCGTGAAACTCCATCAGAAAGGAACCCCCGGACTGACAGGCTGGGGGCCAGGCCAAGTCGGGCAACTCAGTTTTTGAATGACCATCAAGGGTAGCAGAAACGACCACATCTAATCCCACATTACCATCCACTTGAAACATCACCCAACTGGCCCCACCACCACCACCGCAAGCACCACCACCACCACCACAACCACCACACGCACACACACAAAAAATAAGGAACTCCAGAGGAGTTCCAACTCAAAACGGGAGGGAATGGACGGAATATGACGTTTAATGGCTGGGGGAACGCAACCCCGAAGGCGTCCATCCCAAACAAAGACACAAGGACATAGAGCTTCACCCCTGATGCCAATATGCGGCATTCTCTCTTTCTCATACGGAAGGCGTTTCACCTGGCAACATACAACCTGGCCCCCCAAAACCAAACTTCCACATGCCTGGCTGCCCAGCTCTTTGGAACAACTCTTCTTCTAAGCCCAGCAGTCAGGGGAGAAAAAAGAAAAAAAAACGAGCCCCCCCCCCTCCCCCATTCCCCCTGCCCCTCCCCCCTGCCCCCCCCCCTCACCCCCCCCCCCCCTCTTTGGTGGGTCTGTTTCACCGCAGCCATGCCCCCCGCAAGGCGCCAGGTAGGGCCGGCTCCCCTCCGGCAGCGGGCACGTGACCTCCGCCTCCAGCTCCCGCAGCTTCGCCGCGAAGGCCTGCGAGGCGAGGCAGAGGCGTGGCTTGGCGCGGCGCTTGGCGCGGCGGATCCCCGTGCTTCACTCTAAGGGTACCAAAAAGGCAGAAAATCACAAGATCAGCTTGTTTCTCCTGTCAGACCTCAAATCCCGGCTATTTAGCACCAGAGCTTCATCTGGGGTCTCCAGAAAGAGTGGACCTTCCGATTCCATTCTTTCCAGGAATCCTTCTTTTTAGAAAACTTTTAGACAACTTTCTAGAAACGGTGATCGGTTGTTGAAAAGGACGATGGTTGAAAAGAATGGGGAATCAACCCCTAGATTCATGCTGCCAACATGTTTAGTAAAAAGGGGGATGTCCCTGGTGTTAGTGGGGAGTTATCACTTTGGAAGGGTGAACATTATGCGCATGACCCTAGCGGTGTTCGCTGCTGTTCTTGCTGTTCCTAGTACTTTGTGTTTATAGCTGCTATGATCATTCTGCGTGTTATTGCCGTTCGTGCTGTTCTGCCCAAGTCAGTTAACCCCAAAAAACCTAAAACAACGTGTAATTACCATTTTACAGGCGATCCCTTGCCCAGGCACAGAAACAGACAAAAAAAACAATCTTCCACGGCCATAAACCTGTCCAAAATGATTCATCTAGAAGCACAGCGAATTGGAGGATGAGCCCCCCATTCCCGGAGCCAAAGCTGCCACAGGGGAGGGGAGGATGGCTCAACAACAGTGAAACTTGCATAGCTTACTTTTTCTTTAAAACTACGGAGCTATGAACTAAGCGAACATCCTTGAATCCTTGTCCAAGAGAAATCTTCGCTTTTCAGGGGAACACCCACCAGGTCCCCCGGGTCCGCGAAAAACCGGGGCCAGCATCGCCCCAAAAGCCAAAAACCAGGGGTCCTCATATACTTTCCGTCCTGCTTCTCCAAAGGGTGTCAAAGGCGAAACCTCTAGCTCGATTGCTGGTGACCCTCTGCGACAAGCTGTGCACTTTTTGCGGCTCGAATTTGGAAAAAGTCCGAGCTATCTCCGGCAAAAGGTTAAAGTCCCAAGATCCGTTACCAAAAAAAGCCATAGAGCTCAATTCTGGCTTTCCTCCTGCCCTTCAAAAATTGACTTTGCTGCCTTCCTCCGCCATCCCCCCCTCCCTCCCTGATATGGACCCCGGAATTTTCTAAACCCCTGTTTATTACTGTGGGGGGGTCCAAGTGGGAGTCACCTCCATATGAATTGACAGGGGTTCCAAAAGTGGTCTGATTCCCACTAAAACCAGAATTGGACACCCCCATGTTACCATATGAATAAACAAGGGTGTATTCATCCGGGGTCCACATTCAGCGCTAGAGCGCGAGAGCAAGCCTCCGCCAGGCGCCGGCCGGCGGCGGGAGGCACAAAGGGCACCCGCAGAGGCGCGCCGCGCTGGGCCGTGGGCCTGACACATGCGGTCTGTCTCCAAAGAATGTTGACCCCGGATTAAGAAACCCTGCTGTTTTTGCATATAATCATCACTTTTGGAGGGGAACACCCCCATAGTACTAAACCCTGGTTAATCCGGGGTCCACATTGAGCCGTTTGGATGAGTTGAAGCCACAAGCACACCAACCAGTTGCCCCTATTTTTGAGACACACCCACATGGTGAAAGCCATTTGTTGGGGATGGGAGGGATGAGAGGGATGAAGATGCTATTGAGGGGGATGCGAAATGGGCCGTGGGCATGGGGCAGGGATGGAACATGGTTTCCTCGGGCCAAGAACGCATGGACTTTTACGCAAAATTTAGGACCCCCCCCCCCTGCCCAAAAATCCTACAACCCCCCCCCCCCCCCCCCCGGCCCCGCATTTTTGGCCCCCCTCCCAGGCTTCCTCCGTTTCATCCCATCCATCCCCTCCGCCTCTGCAGGCGCAGCTGCAGGTACCCCCGGGGCTTGCCCGTGGCAGGGTCCACCTGGTAAGCACCCGGCTCGGCCACGGAAAGCGGCACCCCTAGCTCGAAGGGGACCTAAAGGCAGCCAAAGCTACCTCGGTTGCTTTCTGCGAAGCCCTGCTAACAGTGAATAACTTTTGGTGGTTTGATGGAAAACCCATAAGCTTGCAAAAAGGTAAAGTCCTCACCTCCAAGCAAAATGCACTCAAGTTAAGAGGTGGCTGGGGGAGAGGTGGGGGGGAAACGCCTCACAGGTCCTTGGCCTTCCTTTAGGTTGACCAAACTCCGCTCCGAGTTTTGTAAATTGTCGTTGCTCAATTCATTGGAGCGGGGGTGCTAGAAGGGCCTACAGTAGAATGGACTTGGGCCCTGAAAACCCAAGCCCGGTGATCGTAGGGAAATTTGTTCATTGCTCAGCCCCTTTTCGTCCCATGTGCCAACCCAAAATTACAGCGTCTTACGGAACAAGCCTGGCAACTATCCCCAAAGAGGAAACCAGTGCTTTGCCAAAAGGCGGTCTGAAAAGGACCATGCTCAAGTCCGATACTCATACTTCCGTCTGTCCAAAAAGGGCACCCACAACCCTCTTGGCAAGAAGGTACTACGCACAGGGTGGAAAATGACTGAAGCCCTTTCATACGGGTTGGATCCCGACTTACCCCAAAGAAAACAGATCCGGGTGCATGATGGAAAACAGGCTTCGAATCCTTTCTGAAGGCTTGAAGGCCACACCACCAAGAGAGGTGACCCTTATCCCCACTAAAACCAAGTTTAACCATCGTTGGCTGGCGGGGATACCCACATGTTCCCCCAAAGTTGCAGGTGAGAGATCCAAATCGCAGCCCCTCGGCCGCACCACAAACGCCTCCCGCTCGCTCGCTTGAAAATTGCCGCCCGCCTTCAGCATGGCTTGGGCCAGGTCCTCGAGGGGCACCCAGTGGGAGGGGTACTTGAACCTCGCCACGTCCAAGATCAGCACCCGGTCGCTCGCCTCGTGGTAGCCTGGAAAATCTTCGCTGTGACTCAAAGCGGCCGAATGGACCGCCAAGGGAGGTCACCGAACCATATGCCCCTGTCCTTTCTTTTTGTTCCCTTCTTCTTTTCTTTTTCTTTTGGGGGGGGGGATGGGCGAAGAGGAGGAGAGGGAGGAGGAGCTGGCCGGATTCCGCTGGTGCACCCATTCACGGTCATTCCCAAGCTGACCATAAATGTGGGTACTTGGCCGACCATATCGTGTTGAATTGTCAGCCTGACCGATTTGGTGCACGTTGGCTTGCAGGCATTGGCTCGATGAACCCAAAAGAGCGCGGGGGCAATGGCCTTCAAACTGTCCTTCAAACATCCTCAACCTTTGCTGCTACGTTCACATTCTGGCCACCACATTTCGCCAACCCTTAAATGAAAGCAGGGGTCTTTTCCGGGCAGCAAAAAAAAAAGATCGCTGGAAGCGGACCTCCCCCCTCGGCCCCGCCTCCGATGGGCGAGAAGTGGCCCGCCCCGCTCTGCCCCAACACCGCCCGCGAGTAGCAGACCACCAGGCCTTCGACACGCCGAGGCATCGAAACGGCCCGGACCTTTCGCACCAAAGGGGTGCGGATCCATGGCTTGGAACAACTCAAACATGATATATCCACCCCCTTCCGAGGGTACCCTGCTTCTGTTGTTAAAGGGACAGGTGGCATGCTCCAAACACCTCTGGTCAGCTTTGCGGGGCAGCTGTCAGGTGAAAACAATACCTAAGTAACAGACTGGCGGCCCAATTGTTTAGGCCCTGGCAGTAGGTCCAGGTTTCCCTGTGGCCTCGCACCAGCACAAATCGGGGTTCCAAACCAGGGCCCCTCAAAGCATAGCTTTTTTGTCGGGGATCCTCCAAATCAGCTGGCAGTCGGGTGATTCCTGAACTGACCCTGGCATCCTTTTCATTGGAGCTTCAAACAGTTCAGCAAACAGGATATAAAAAAAAATGAACCGAAGGACGCATCCCTCCCCTCGCCCGGCCGCCCGGCCGCCCGCCACCCGCCGGCCGAGCGGCACTGGCGCTCGTCGGTGCTGCTCGCCGCCTTCACCGCCGCGCGGAAGGCGGCCACGAAGCCCGCGCCCTCGCAGCGCTCGGGGCTTGCACGCGCGCGCTCACGGTCGGAGCGGCGCCGAGGTGGTTTTCAAGCGCTGAGAAGATCTCGTGTGGTTTCAAGGGGGGCCCAGAACTCAAAGAGGATTTCACCTTTCTTGGGGCCAGGACTCGGAATGGTTGCCAGAAAGGGAAGTCCAAAAGGTCAAAAGGTCGAGATTTGAGCAACTGAGTCTTGATCATCCCAAGGATATCTCGGCGGAAAGACGCCAGCTATGTAGCGCGTCTGTTGGTTTTTGCGTTCGGCTCTCCTTGATTCAGGTGACCCTTAGTTGGTGGTTTGGATTGGTGGCGGGAGTTGAACTTTTGGTTCTTGTAGAGAGTAAAATCGGAAACTAGGCCTTAACCACCAAACCGCCAATCCAAACCATCCAAATATGGGAGTGTAAATCTATATGGGGGCTGGTTGGTTTGCTGGGCATCACCCCATTGAAAACAAAGACAGCCGCCATTTCCGGCGGACGACTTGGGGCCCTCGAGGTGGAAACCTGACTATGAGCTCGTGAGAAATGAGGCCATGGTCGCCAAAAGCCCGGTTGAGGCAGTTCAACAATAGCGAGTCGAACCAAAAACCAGTGGACTCCCAAAAATTGGAGTCAGTGAAACTGATGGACCTCCCAAAAATTGTTGATTTCCCTTTGGGCCCCCCTTCTAGGCCCGGCCGCGCCCGCAAAAAAAAAACATCTCCGCAGGAAGCCCAGACCCGGCCCCCGCCCTGCCACGCCTCCGACACCTCGCAGTCGGGGGCCCGGTGTGCCAGCACCTGCAGCGGGCCGTCCAACTTGGCAATTTGAAACCAAACGCCATGGGCTTTTTGCAACCCTTGGTATGGCCTCAAAAAAAAGACGGTTTTTGAAGCCCCCCCTCCCCCCCGCCCCAAAAAAAGCGAAACAGGCCCGAAAAAACGGGAAACCTAACAACATGCCAACAACAGCGAAGATGAAGATGGCCTATTGAGCACCCAGGAAGGCCCTTTTTCGATCAACCTCCTCCAGAGTCTTGGGTAATCATGGAAGCTGGTAGGAGGGAGTTGGAAGACTACTTTCGGGAGGGAGCCCCCCCCGTTATTAAGATGGTAGTTTTCACGGTCTGGAAAGAATTGATGCTAAAAGAGGCGTGACATCAAACAAGCAGCATAGAAACTAGGCTTGCCTTTCCCTTGGCGCACTTTTGTCGCGCCAGTTCTTGAGAGCAACCCTCCACCCGGGACGGTGGGCAAGGAAGGGTTCGGATGGCTGGACAATCCACAGTGATCAGGACTCCCATCACGAACCAACCGGCCGTTTGACAAATGTGGCCCAGTCCTGGCCAAGCTGAGCCCGCCGGGACAAACTGCAAGCAAAGGTCCCCAATCCGAAGTCTTCATGCAAGGAAGGCAGCAAACTCAAAGCATTAGGTTGCCCGCCTTTAGCGCTATCCGCGCTTGGGGACGCCCATTCGTGGGAGAGGTTTACTCCTCTGGCGCTTCCATTCGCATCTCTCGGCTCGCCTCCGCCCCGTTGCAGCCCGCGAGGGCGCGGAACATATCCTCGGAACAGATACGGCCAGCCGCTGATGCAGTGCAAGCATACTTTCAAGCACTCCTGAAGTCGGGTGATAAGACATTGATTTCCTTATCACGTAGACTTAGGTTCCGTGTAAGTGACCCAACGGCCAGTAGCTGCAGGTGGGTTTGTGGTTGGCCATGGCTGGCCAAGGGAAGCGAAAAGAAAACCACTCTCATGTTGCAGGAGTCGCAAACCCAAGTGAGTGCAGTCCGCAATGGCTTGCGCTCTCCGGCACCCCCCACAATGGCTTGCGGTTCACTGGGGCAATTTCACGGGAACGATGAGCCCCCTGCGCCGGGAGAGGGCTCAAAGTACATGAAAAAGCGAAAGAGATCACTAGATTTCCTCTTCAAAAGTTGCTGGTGGGTCCACTTCCCAAAGCCCAGCGTCGAAGGACAGGCCCTCCGCGCGGACCCGATCCTCGGCATGACACTCGGGCGATCCGTGGTTCGGGTGTGTCTTTGAATGGGGACTGGGACCCAAAACGCATGTGACTTGCCCTTTGGGTTCCCATTAAACCAACCCCACACCAAAAACAAGAAAACATTCCCCCTTTGCTGGGTGGTTCGGGAGTTGTAGGCGAGGTTTGCTTGGGGAGGTTGGAGACTAAGGTGGGGACTGTGGCGCAAATCCTTCAGCCAATCAAAACAACCAAGCAAGGGCTACCTGAGCCATTGATCCTTCGAAACCTCCCACAACGTGCGAACAACACTCTTTGCGGACATGGTGTTACCGTTGGGGTAGGCCCACACCCAAATAAAACCCGAGCTTGAGTCGAAAATGGCACATCAACTGCAAACTGCAGGCGTCGCGAGCGAAAATCTGCCGTTTCTTGGGAGCAGCTTGGCTTGACCTCTCTCTGCATCTTTCAGTCTGACAAGGTCACACGATCCAAGTGGTCTGGAAAAGAGGTTGCTCATGCAAGTCAAGGGGATCCTCTTTTTTAAATCCTCGCCCGCTAGAAACGAGCTCGCAGAGGCCTTCCCGACTGGCAGGGACGGCACGTGTCGTTTTCAGCAGCGCCGGCTACCTAGTTCAGTTTTCCGAGGAACGAACAAACCATTTGGATTTGTGCCATACAGCTGTACAGGTTGACATTTGATTTGTGAAACAGAACTGAGGATCCTGGCACTTTGCCGGGCCAGCTTCGCATAAAACTCTGGCGCGGCATCTTTTGAGGCGGCCGCAACATGGCCAAAAGAGCCATGGGCTGGCTTCCCGTGGCTGGTTGAGCATGCGCAAAGCTCGGTGGGCAAACTTTCACTTGCCAACCTGAAAGGGACGCTGCACCTAGCTTGTTAGAGCTATACCTTGAGACAATCCCTCTTGAGGATTGGTCATTCTGCGCATGCGCGAGCGAGCCCCTGGTTCTTTTAGGGGTTGCTGGGGATGCCACCTGGGCCTGTGCCAAGCGTCCCTTCAAAGTCAAGCACCCACAAGAACGCCTAAACTCAACCCCGCCCCCCGCCCCTACCCAAGCCAAGCCCATCCCACATGCTTCACTCCACCTTCCCTCCGGCCGGGGCACGGGGCCGGTGCAGCAGGCGAGGTTCTGCTCGTTGAACCACCGCCACACGCCCTTCCAGGTGCGCATGGGGTCGATGCGCAGCGAGTTCAGCACCATGGCCAAGGTGGTAAGGCCACCTGAGTGGTGTGACTGCGGGGGATGTTTTTTGGTGGGCAGCCACGGTGATAAGAAAATAGAGCAGTTCCCCGAAGGGCACATGGGAAAGTGTGAGTCCCCTAGACAACGAGTGTCGCAAAGGGGGACATGGGAAAACTTCTGAGTCCCCTGGCTCAGGGAACAGGGTGAGCCCGTGTCAACGGAAATCCACTAATCATTTCGGAGGGCGCTTCGCGCTGGAAACGATTGCCACCCAGGGCCTGAACGAAGATCGGGGGTGGTCCTTTTGGGCGATCTTTCGGATCACTTCTTGGGGGGACAACACCCTGGTCTAGCGGTAGGGTTTGCTAACCCGAGGCTCCCACTAACGATCCTTCACGCCAAGTCAGGGGTCAGCACGCGTCCCACCTTACCATGAAAGCCACGCTGCCTACGACGGAGCGAAACGGAAATTCTGGTGTCAGTCACCGCCTTTCAAGGGGCTCGCCCGGGGCCTACCCATGCGGATGCACGCAGTGCTCTCAACGGCTTGCTGGCCTCTCTTGGAACAGAGTTTCGCAAGGAAGAAGCGGAGTTTCCTACGACACAGGAATTCCTGTTTCTCTCGATCTTCGAGAGACAAAGACCCAAAAAACATCGAAAAACCATCCATCCATGGAAATTGGTCCCCCCCCCCCCCCTCCGCTCCTCCGCGTCTCCCCACCCCCCGGCTCAACGGGTGCCCGGCGCCCCCCCCCTGCCCCCCTTGGCTGCGCCGGTTGCCGGTTGCGCCGGCCACGTTTCTGCGTTTGGTCCCAGGCGCAAGAGGTGGGCTCGTCCTGGGTCCGGAACTGCTCCGCCAGGAAGAAGTAGCTCTCCATGGTCCCCGCCTCCCAAAGCGGTCGGTCGGATGGGCCATGGAAAGGGCATGGGCCATGTCTGGAAACGCTCGGATGTGCAGATCTGCCCCCCTTGGTGGTTTGGATGGGTGGCTTGGGGAGTTGAACCGGTTGTAGGGAAACCATGCCTTGCCAAACCAACAATCCGAACCACTTGGAGGGAAGCTGAGAGTTGCCCCCAAGACCCTCAAATAACCAGCCCTCTTGCGTCCCAAAAACCCGCGCAAAGTGGTTTTGGTTTGGATTTGACCTGAAGGGATCCCGACTTCACGTGACAAGGGGCCAACAGGTGTAAGACTTGGGACGCATGGGCACGGACGATACTTGTGAAAAGGCGAGCTGTGAAGGGCCTCAAACGTCAAACGGTCCAAGCTTTTGGCCCACTCTGGCTCAAGGAACTTTTGGGGAAGTCGTTATGAAAGAAAATATCTTGTTTTGGGGCAAGGCCACGCATTTCGGGTTGCAAGGACTTTTAAGTGGGATCTCCTCGTGGGTGCTTAGGTGCTTGGGCCCCTGTTTAGTGTTCCTTCCGCTGATGTCCGGTCGAATTCGGGCCCGCATTCCTGGAGCTGTAGCCCATGTTCAGCACGTTTTATGCTGTGAACACACAGGAAGAGCCACACGATGCATTCCTGATCAGCTGAAACAAAAATCCAAAGACGCTGCTTATGCCCAGCCAGTGAGTAACAGCTGCCAGTAGCAAGCCTGTCCAGCCAGGGAGTCAAACTCCCTGCCGTGCAAAAAAAAATGTCCAAAATGCACCCGGACTCCTGCCATGCCACCTCAGGTTTGCAGGATTTTGCAGGGAAACCCTCCCCCGCCCACTCCCTCCCCCCAAGCAAAAGCTTTATCTTTTTGTTTCATGGGGCCCGCGTTCGTCTGCATGAGGGAGGCTGAACCGCTCTCCGAAGATCAACTCGAGGTTTCCGTTTAGGATCTATGGATTGCAACACAGAAATCAACCTGCCCTCCCCGGATGTGCTGTTCACCTCGCGTCGAACTTCTACACCACGCTGGATGTAGATGGCACAATTCCCTCTATGTTGGTAAGTCAGGGTACGTGAAGCGCATGAGTACAATGACCAAACCAAAGCGAAGGAATGGCGGTACCTACTTTCACCCAACTGCTTGATTAATAGGGGGCGTCCCCTTTCAGGACAAAGATCTTTCGCTTTTGGTGCCACCACCCTCAACCTCGCGGCGTGGAATCGTTTCGGATGGCTCGGAGTCGCGCCTCCAGGGCCTCCTTGAAGAGCCTTCGCCCCTGCTGCGAGGCAAAGGGGGCCTCGCGGAAAGGAGCAGCAGGAGGGCGAGAGGATCGGGCAAAGCGGGCAGGAAAAGTGGGAAGGTACCGGTGGAGCAATTCAGTGGGAATGCGAAGGGCATGTGGCGTATGGCTAATTGACTGGGTGGGTGTATGCTCGTCGCCTTCCGGCGAGACAGCTTGAACATGTTTACACCTCTCTGTTCGAAACCGGAGGGCTGGCCAAGCCCAATTCAGCAAGGCCCGCGAACCAGTGCTAGAAACATCAGCTCCCGAACCCGGAGTTCAGGGCCGGTTGATTTCGAGAAGCCCATGTTTCTCAACCCAGCGGTTTCAGGGCAAAAGAATCCCCCCCTCCCCCCTTTGGGGGGGGCCGGTTGATTTCAAGAAGGGAAGCCTAGGCCGAAGGCGTCCCACGCCTGTTGCGGCGGCAGGGTCCTTTGGTAGTGCTCCCCGGCGTGGCCGGGCGTCGCAGCGCCTGAGTTTTCGCATTTGGCTCGTGCGCGCGTCAGACGCCCCACGGCTCCCCTCCCGAAAAGGGCCCAAAAGGCGGCCGCCGAACCAAAACACAAGGAGGTGTGCTGTGCAATTTCACGCTGTTTACACACTTCAACGCGGCATGTTCTTGTGTAATGAGAAGGAGGCCAGTCCAGTATTCACATGGCCCGTTTATCATGCTTAGCAGGGTCTTCCACTATGCAACTCGTTTGTATTTAGCCAGTTTTTGGTGGGGAAGCGGGGAAGGCATTGTTTTTTTCTGGAGCCAACCTCCCCCACCCGCAGCCGGGACAAACGATGGGGTTCAGCCCCTGCATGCATTCTTTGGATATGTCTTCGTTGAGGGTACTTTCTTGTGGGTTGAACAGGAATCCAAAGGACAAACGCCATTTACTTTCCACAAAATACAACGTATGGATGCGTTGACAAAGAACAGACCAAAGGCCCTACCGTTCAAGGCGCCCTGAGAACCCGTAAGGTTTTTGGAACCTTTAGAGGGTGGGGGGCGGGGTCGTTTGTGGTCTTGGCTTAGCCATTGGCACACCAAGACAGGACAGCATGTTTAGATGCTGCATGCTTCCTGACCCAAATTCTGTCCTGAGACCCCAGTTTTCCCCGGCGCGGCCGAGCGGCCCAAATCAGCATCCTTGGCGCCGAAGTACGCCAGCCCGGCATCGCGCGGGATCGCCGGCCTGAGGAGCCTCAGTGCGCGTCCCGCGTTGCATGGGGGGCCTCCTTCATCACAGAGTCATCGTCTTTCTTAGCCGAGGGCGTGCCACATCCCTAGATTTCAGCCGAAGGAGAAAAGGTGGTTTCAAACATCACCTTCTGGAAAGGCCAAAGCGATCTTTTAGGTTGATGCTCGCGGCTTCGAAGTCTGAAGCTGCACTTTACCCTTTTAAGATGGCGGGGTCTTCCGACACATCCCGATCGTCCACTTCCATAGAAAGAGGAACTCCTTTGGCACGATTCCCATCACCAAGGGAACTCCCTCAGCAGCGCGAGTGGCAACCTAAAACCCATTCCACAACCATGCGCTGCTCTTCACTGACCTGTGCCAATTCCGATCGGCCAAAACAGGTCGAACATCTGGAATGCCCTAGGCATTGCCCCTCAAACACACCCCGGGCTCAGGAAACGCAAACGCGATTCCAAGCCTCACGTGCCTCTCCGGAAGATGGGAAGATGTGGTGAGGCAAAATCTGCGCTGCCTGGCGGCAGTTTGCCGTGCTTTTGCCGCGGGCGTGGTGGACAAAAGGCTAGGTGAAGCATACTACTTCACCCAACAAGAACATGGGAGTCCCGCATCCCCATGAAAGGAACTGATCTTTATCAACCGAACACATCCTTATTCAATTAGCGATTAAACTTGGTGGCAAGGGTTGGCTGAAGAAAATACGGGGGGCCAATGACAGGAACACTCATCGCCCTTTGTGCAATTTGCTCGAAACAGTTTGCGTCAAAGCGAGGGGACCCGGTGCCCATGTGCAGGAAAACCAAGATGAGCGTTCGTTTTGCTCGTGCTAACTGGATGGAAAGGTGCCTTCGTGACTGAGCAGCGCCACAGATTCCCAGCCCAAGCACCAGGCAAAATCTTGGAATCCCTGTAGCGCCGCACGATGATTGACAACCTTGAACATGATTGCAGCCGCCTGTTTCCTTTCATGAGCAACGGGCATGTTTTGCACGTTCCCGAAAGAGCATTGGAGAAATGGGCTTACGCGAATGGACCAACTAATGACACAGGGCCCCTACAGGAAGGTCACTTGTTGTGGGTACCCCGTCTGTTCCTCCAGCAGAAGTGAGTGTAAAGCCAAGGGCTTTGGCGACGTCCAGGTGGACCTCTTCAAGAATCTCTTTGCTGACCTGTCTCATTTCCCCCAAGGGCCTTGAAATAAAAGCTGAACCTGTTGGAACCTTGGCGAAACTTAGGCAAAGCTGGGAAACGTCAGCTCAGGCCAGCGAGGTTTGTCACCTGTCCGCTTCTCTTGTAAAATGGTGTGGGCCTCGAACTAGCGTGATATCCAAGCGGCGTGTACACATTCGGAGGGAGGGAGGGGGAGGGGAGGGAGGGAGGAGGGGGGGGAGGGGAGGGAGGGAGGGAGGGAGGGGAGGGAGGGAGGGGAGGGGAGGGAGGGGAGGGAGGGGAGGGAGGGGGGGAGGGAGGGAGGGAGAGAGGGAGGGAGGGAGAGGGGAGGATATGTGCTGCTTGATCCTTAGATCAGCACATCTTCCGCCCGCGTTTCCCGCTTTCCCCCGGCACCTCGCGCAGCGCGCGGCAAGGCGCGGCGCCATTGGCCAGCCCATTGCCGCAGCGTGACGTTGGACGGTCGCCTTCTTGCCGGCGAAGCAGCAACAGATTCTATGGGAAGCATGCGAGCTATGTTCAACCTTCCCTGGGCCAAGAGCTATGTTCTCGTCTTCAGGCGTTGCGTTGTTTTTGTGGGTTCCTGGCAGTTCCTGGTCGGTCGCTTCATTAAGAGGCCTGTCTCGATAGGCTAGTGTTTGCTCAGGAAGCTCTTAGTGATCTTGGTTGGGTTGGGTGCGGCTGGGCAGGGAAGGCTGAGCTACCTTCCTCGCACGCAGCGCTGGAGGCCGGCCATGCGTGCACGAGGCTCATTTCGAGTTCAGGCATGCAAGGAGATCAGGAGAAGTGCGAGAGTTCCGTGGGGCCCGCAATGCATGAAAAGGTGGCAAAGGCAAAGTGTGAAGCTCAGCAACAGGTGAACCAGGCCCCGAAACGCCTGTCAAGTTCCCGCAAAGAACCGGCAAAAAATCGACATATCATATTCGCTCGAAGCCGGACTTCTTAAGGCTCGATGTCCCATTCCGCCCCGCCCCAAGTTCCTGCCACGTATGCTCGCAAAGGAGTATCTCCGGCAAGGTTAGCTGGGGGGCCGGTTCCCGCAAGGATCGAAAAGCCCGGCCAGAGCAGCCAACAGCCCCTCGCAGAAGCATTTGAATCCGGGACGGCCACTACCCCTCCCACCTCACTCGTCTGCAGCCCAAAACAGGGATCGCAACGGAATTTCGCAGGCTCCCAACCTCACCGTTCACGCTCTTGAACGCGTCCTTGATGACGCTGCCTGGGCCACAGCTCCAGTGCTTCGGCCGATGGTGTGATAGCTCAGGCCCGTCCAACGCATTGGGCGGCGATCTGGCGAAGAAGGGGCTGAAATGCTATGGAAAACGCGCCTGGGGAGAGATCCGCCCGACATCCGCCGAGAAAACTGTGCCTTGGCCCCGCGCGGGTGCGGTTGGTGTTGTCCGTGACCGCTTCGATCTCAGGCTGGCAAAAAAACCGAAGGTCTTAGGACAGGCACCCGTTTTTGCTTTTTCATGTCATGTAGCGGTGCAAAACCACCCTTCACTTCCCTGATTGTTGGAAGGTGGGTGGGGGGCCCACAAAGCAAACATGAAGTGTACAGCCCCGGCTTGGTGTTTGTGAAAGGCCCTTGCGCACTGCCACACTTGTTTGCTCAACGCCGGGCTCTTTCTCGGGAACTTCTGGCCGGTTTCCTTCTTCGCAAGGGGGGCAGCAAATCCTGGACCCCGTTGCCCACCTCGAGTCTGTTTTGCAAACCCAAACCCCAAAAGACCAACACTTAGCCGGATCCAAGAGGTGGTGAAATACAATTGCGGCAGTCCTTGGCACCAGCGAATCCAATCTCCAAAAACCATCTTGGCAGCCAAACCGTTAAACCCAAGAATACCCCGAAGCGGCCGGCTGCAGGTTCTGAAGTGCCCACCCCACCGCTCGACCCGGAGATCGAACGAATCAGCGCTTCGGCGCCCCCGCAACCACTGCGGCTCCGCCGGGGCCGTAGCCTTCCCAGCGGCCAACGGGTCGGTTTGGTCAGTCTGAACTCTTTGGCCTCGCGGTTTCAACCCCGCCCCTTGAGCCTTGGCTTGGAACAAGGACATGCTTTTTGACTTCGACCCCCTGACTGAACTGTTGGGTCTCTTGGCAGCTCGCAGTTAGAAGCCCTTGGGTGGCTTGAACCTTACTTCCTCTCTCTTGGCAGTTGAACCACCAAGCAGACTGACTGAACTTCTTGGTCTCTTGGCAGTTGAACCCCTTGGTTGAACCTTGGTTTGGAACAAGGACATGCTTTTTGAACCCGAAGCCGGAAGCTTGCACCTGGAAAACCATGCTGGACACTTCGCTGCTAGCACCGCGTCGCCGCGTCAAAAAAAGTCGGCGCCACACCACAACCCAACGCCCAGACCCATCGCCTGACACCTCCAGCTCGTTGAACATCTCCTTCCTCAGGCGCGCGGAAAGCGCTGAATGCGCGGAGCTTGCCGCGGACGGAAGGAGCACCAGGAGGGCACGGAGCGCCCCTTTGCCATATGGACGCGGACCTACTAGGGGAAGATGAAAACATAGAGGATACACATATAAAGCGCCACTGCGCGGAGTTAGGCCTTTTTCTCCCCGTGCAATGTCGACCTAACTACAACGGTGAGCTCGCCATAAAACAATGCCACAGCCCTGCTTCTCTTTTCCCCTTGTCGCACTCGCGCCGCTGTCGCTCCAGCGACACCAGCCTGGCTCGACGGGTGGGATGTGAGCGTGAGAATGCATGCGCGGGTGGGCCAACACCAAAGAGCCCGTCTGAGAATAGCGCTGAAAGGACACCACAAGAGGCATCCCTGTTTCTTGACACATTCCAAAGTTGATTCTGTCTACAAGGAAACCCGTGCCATAAAAATGCTGATGTTGCGGTACACCCAGACTCGATCAACCTGGCCTAGCTTAAAACAGGGCCCTGGCACCACACATATATATATATATGTACACATATACATGCAATTGTTTACATCGACAAATAGATGAAAATGAATAGGCACGTGTACGTGTACATATATATATATATATATATATATATGTGTGTGTATATATCGACCTATGCAGATACATGTCAAGTTATAAAGATATATATTATACACATATGAATATATGCAAATATCTATATATATATATATACATAGGTATATGCATGTGTGTGTGTGCGCGTATGTGCAGACATGCAAGTGATTACACCTGAACGTGTACCCATCCCTTTCCTCCCTCCACCTCCCCCAAACTGCGGCCGGCGCGGCCGCGCCCAGTCACCGAGCCCCTCGAGGCCGCGGAGCCGCGCGGACACGGCGCCCTTGGCCCAAAACGGCGCCAGCGCGCGGAGCAGATCCGCCTGGGGGCGAGGGAAAGAGTCGGAGAAACCACCAGGCCTAGGTACCACTCCTCGGTGGCAATATCTGCGAGGCCCTGCTCAAAGTGAAGAACTTTTAGTGGGTGTAATACGGAAAACCCATTCGTTGGCAAAAAGTCAAAGTCCTAACATCCCTTGGCAAAATGCACCAAAGACTCACTTCCGGAACCAGTGGACTGGCCACGAGTCTGAACTTTCTTTGTTTGCCACTAAAATGGCACCAAGCCCAAAAAGGTTGAAGGTCCGGGGACAGGGAGTGAGACCAAAGAGAAAGGAAACCCCAAAAAGGGCAGAACGCAAAAAGCTTAGCGTTGAGTCTGGCAATTTCTACCCCGAACTCGACACCTTTTGGGATTTCTGGTTTCTGCACTGCCACTGAAGAGCTACTACACAAAGGGTACGTACCTCATTTTCGAATGGGGGTAGTTGCATTGGGGTGGAACCCTCTTGAAACGGAAAGGTCCATCCCACCCACTCAGGTGGTTCACACATCACTCCTTCAAAAGAAAACTCAGCCGCAAAGGCAGAAAGTTGAAACCACGAGGTGTTGGCGGTGCCTTTGTTGTGCTGTTCTTAAACTAAAACCAAAGGAAAACCGATGGTTTGCAACAAGGGGGGTACCCTGACTTGAGACAAACGCATGTAGGGATGGTGCGCCGTTGATGCTTGGCTGGCAGGTGCTGGTTAGAGGGGGGTTCAGACACGGGGCAAAGACCCTCAAAGCAATAAAACCGGGGTGCCAAAAGAGCCAATCCTGGAGTAAACCCTGGGCAAGGCCACCTCCTGACCGCTTGGCTGTCCTCAGATCCCCTGCTGAAAGTTTAACTTTTGGCGGGTCGAATGGAAACCCCTAAACCCTAAACCCTAAAGCCAAGAGGCGAAGGAACCGGATGGCTGGGAGCTACCGAGGTTGGTCTGGGCAGTTGAATCGGGGGGGTGCCTTCACATTTGGTGTCGAGAGGAGGTGCGGCCCGTACATCAAATAAGCGCAGCCGCAAGGTGCGTGTGTCAAAAATGCGAAAGTGACTTCCTTCGGATGGCGTCAAAAGCGCTAAAGCCCGGGCAACCTCGGAAAAGGTGAAGAGGGAACGCCGGTGCCGGCAAGTCGGCCAGCCGGGCTGCCAGCCCCCAAAGCGACTCGCCCGACCCCCCCGCCCCAAGGCTTCCTCAAACAGGAATCGCAGGGGAGACCTGCTCGATTTGCCGCTTCCTCGGAACTCGGAACCAACCGCGCAACACACAACACGCACACACGTCCCTTGTTGGCTCCCGCTTGGGGAGACAAAAAAGAGGCCACGAAGCAAGGCTTCGAACACCAACGCGCGCCTCCTCCCGCCCTCTCCCCGACCCGACCGCCGAATCGATCTCCGCACGGGGCGCCGGCGGCGGCTCCAGCACCTCGCGCGGCTGAGCGAGCCGCTCCGCGCGTGCCCCGAAGGCCAGGCGGTAGCGGTGCAGGAAGTTCCGCCCGCACACCGCGGCCTCGGCAGGAGACTCCCTTCATCTGGGTGTGGCTCAAAATTAAATAGGAGGGGTTACGCAGGTTTTGGTTCATGTTTCCACTTAAACAGGGTTCCATTGTGGTACCGGTTTTTTGAGCCACAGCCATCTCGCAGCTGGCCCCAAAAGCCGGGTGGGTTGTCCACAACCATGATTCGAGGCGATGTGGAAAATGGGATTACGACGCTTTCACGTGACTTGTTTCCAGACCAGCTTCATGAGCGATCCCGGAATAATGCGCGGGACACTCACCGAACGATGGCCAGAAAAATTATGCTTAGAAGGGAATAGGAGCCCCGGCCAGGTACCAAAAAACAGTGTGGGAACTGCTGCCAAGTACAAAAAGAGAAGCAGTGACAGGGAAAAGCGCGCGCGCAACTGCAATTGGCATGCCGCACTTCTGAGCTAGCAGCATCTGAAGAGTGCGTTGGAGCGGCGGTGTACTTGCCTCAGCTATCGGCTTCCAAAATCATTCAAACGCACGGAGGTTTAGCTTGGAAGCTGCTAGGCGATGAGCGGGTTGGGTCAGCGTGATGTTCGAGATCTGTCAGTGTGGTGGGATTTTCCCGCTGTGCTTGCAAATATCTCCTCCATTCGAGATGTGATGACATGTACTATCCGGCGAATCGAGCCCACAGAACAAACATTTCACACCTTCAGCCGAGTCATACAAGAGTGCCGCCGAAAAAAGAAACACGAAGAAAGAATCCACAATGCACAAGCCAAGAAAAGCTTTGAATTCAGGAAGATGCAAGAAGTTCGGACTTTGCCTGCGCCATACAAACGACTCTTGGAGACCTTGCTTCAAGAACAGGAGCAAAGCACCGTCCAAAGGCCGAAAAGCCGGGCCGTTTCCAAATATGTCTAAGCAACCATCCCTTTGGGCATAAACAGGAAATATATGTATATATATATATATGTGTGTGTGTGTGTCAAAATCCAGATACCTCACAAAATTGCGGATGTCCTTGCGGTTTCTTGCCACCAACCCCAGGGTGACCCTAAAACGCACAAATAGTGCAAGCTCCGTTTAGCCAGGGACCCCGCCGTCGGTCCAAACCGGATGCCCAATGTGCGCCAGGTGGCCTCGGCTCGGAGAGAGCTGACGTAGCGGTGCTGGCGGTGGTTTCCCCGAAAAGAACAGCACCTAGATAGCCAAGTGGCTGTTTTGTTCAGTCGCCGTTGCTGGTGTTTGGGTTAAAGTGCATGGGAGGAAAAAAAGAAGGAAAATAAAAAAGCAACTGGCGATCCAGGCAGGTGTCCAAAGTGTTTGCCAGGAAAATATCAAGTGCCATCTGATTTTGAATGCCCCTTGTCCACTTCCGGGAAAGACACCCCGGAATCACCGTTGGGGGGGCTACCTTGCATGTACCGATCGACGGCACCCTTTCAGGTTGGCTCAAAAGAAACCAGCAATAAGCACTCTTTCAGGTTGGTTCAAGGGACACCAACAGGACAGCCACCATTTTGGGATCCAAGTTCCGATTTGGACACACATCCACATCTTCAAAACGGAAGTGGAAGTCCTTCGCAAGGGAGGCCTTCCAAGGTGAAACGCCATCCTTCAGAGCCCGCATGGCTCTTCCTCCAATCGAAGCAAGGAAAGCCGCAACGCGACAACTGGAAGGCAACCAGGATGTTCGTTTGCCCCTTCAAACAGCAAGCCCCCGCCAAAAGGAAGCTCCTCCAACATGAGCCCCAAAGGTGACTTTTTGAGTGTCACATGGGGGGAGCAACATCACCACGCCTGGCAACGACAGGCCCCGCAGCCTTCAAACCAATGAGGTCGGAGAACGAAACTTTCGCCCAAAAAACCGGCACCAGGAACAGACCTCATCTGTTCTGACAGGAGCTGCTATGGGAATTCCACCTTCCCGCCCCCTATGGGTCCCCCAAAAAGGGAACCTCACCTCTACCGTTTAACATGCGATGCTTGAAACCACCCTATAAGGGAACACGTTGGTGACATCTGAGGCAAACATGGCAACCACCGGAAAAACACAACGACAAACAAACTGCCCACCCTGTTGCGAACATCAGGGAAACTAAACATGGCAACGGGAACAAAACAAAAAAATCACACCTGCCCCAAAAAATGCTGCCATGGCCAAAGGGAGAACGTAAAAAGTCGCCGGGGGGGGGGGGGGGAAACGCACCCTGCCCATCCCCTGTTGCAAACTTCAGCGGAATTTAAACATGGCAACAGGCCAAGGGAGAACGTAAAAGTCGAGGAAAAAAGAATCACCCGCCCCCTGCCCCATCCCCCATTCCTTCCGCCTTGCTTTCGCGGCAATGCGGCCGCTTATCTTCGGCCGGGCCCCCCCGCTCCGCAGCTGGTGCCTCCGCCCGGAGCCCAGCCGCAGCGCCGCCAGCGTGGCCGCGCCGCCGTTTCGGTGGCCCAGGGCACCGAGCACCTGGAGGAGAAGAGCTGCGGCGCGGCCAACCGGGCGCCCCGACATCCAACGGGGGGAAGGTAGAAGCGGATTTCCTCCAGGAATGCGTACCTTTGGATGTCAAAAAGGTTGCAGTTTTGGAACTGTGAAAGCACCCACTTTCAGAGTAAAACCGGGAGCCACCCCTTGCCCGGCCGCCTACGCACGTCTCCCTCGTCTGAGAACGCGGTAGGGCCAACCACCTGCTTGATCATGTCTAAAGAAACATTGCTTGATCTGGGTCAGCGTCTGGCAACATCAGCAACATCTTGGGCCTTCAGATTCAATTCCTGGTTTAGGGGTGAATGTTGACTAAGGGTTGGTTGCCTTGTTGGTTTGAGCACAGCATTGAATCTCTCTAAATGGAAAACAGGGCTCCCCATATTTCCCCTTTGAACATCACCCCAAAGGGGACACTCACTCAAAACTGGTGAAAAACCAATCTGGGGAAAAAGGGTAGTGTCAAAACTGGGGCTTGGACCCTGCTTCGTTGGGCTTCCCATCAAAACCAACACTAAAACTGGTGAAAACCACGGAGTCAACCCCGGAGAAGCCCAACTCCCGACAGCGAACCCGCGCGGCGCGGATTCGTGGCCTTCATCTTGCTCCTCGCAGGTCGCCCGGCGCCCGCGCTGGTGATGGCATCCTCGACCGGGTCGACGACAAAACGCGTGTCGTTTGGGGTACTCATACGCTACGCCACAAGAAGCTGCTTGGATTCTGTTGGCATATTGAAATTACACCACAATTTCAGTTTTACACCTCAAAAAACATGTTGAGATTCGATTGGAATAGTGGGTCAACCTTAAACTCTGAAATGGGTTTTGAGCACGCCCCAGCTGCCTACTGAAGGTCAATCAGGAGGCGTCCACCTTAGCGGCTGACACGTCGGAAGCCCAAAATCCCCAACTGCCCCCACCACCACCACTCCCCCACCGCACCCCACCCACGATGGCCTGGCCTGGACCACCTGCACCGGCGCCAAGATCACCCGCGCGCGGCTCGCCCAGCCGTGGCACAGGGCCACGTAGTCCCGGCGCAGGGCGCCACCATGCAGCTGGACCTGCGCCGGGCCGTGGAGAAAAACCCAAGCGCCAAGCGCCAAGCGCCAAGCACCAAGCGCCAAGCGCCAAGCGCCAAGCGCCAAGCGCCAAGCGCCAAGCGCCAAGCGCCAAGCACTGGTTTCTAGGCTGGAATTAGGACCCCAGCCAAAAAATGATCTCTTTTTTGCCTGGTGAGTGGAAAACAAAGGGACCCCAAAAATAGCGGGGAGAAAGAAAAAAACGGGGGGAGCTAATTCTGGGGAAGGTTTGTGGTTGTTGGCATAGGTGTCCTTTTTGGCAAAATAGATGGGTTTCTCTGGTATTTCATTGAACCACCAGGTTTTGTCCAGGGACCTCTATTTTTAAACCAGATCAACCAAAAAGGACACCTATGGTTGTTGGCCTGACCTTGACCGAAATGAAACACGGAAATAGCCGGGCACAGCTATTTAGCAGGTTTCGTGTGAACAGCTGTCACTTCCTTTCCAAAAAGGACCAAGCCGCTTTGCACAGAGCTTTGGCGGTCCAAGGTTCTTTGGGTTGGCCTTCTGACGTCTTGGGAGAAGAAGCGATCCCTTCTCACTTCAAGGAGGACAGGGCCGAGGGCTCAGTGCGCACTCACGAGGGACAAGCTCACACGAGACAAGGGTATGGGCACCCTTCACGGAGAGCAGCCGGAAACTGTGACACCTACTGCATTCAACTGTGCTGCTTCTAAGGGGGGGGGGCGAAGGCCAAAAGGGGTGTGGAAGCAATCTTGAACATCCAGTTTGCACTGTCCGTACCGGTAGAGTCCTTCCAATTCGGGGGGATCACACAAATTTCTTGGTGGCAAATTGCCGCTAGCACAAAAAAAGTCCAACTTTTTGATCACTCGCGGGAAAATACACCTTTTTCCTCAAGTTCAAGGCCCCTCCGCCTGAAGGTCGTAGAAGGCCTCGTAGGTCTTGGCCGCCAGAATCAGCCCGGAGCTCGGCACGTCCAGGCGGTGCAGAAACCCGCAGCTGTGCCGGGCGTCATCCAAAATCGGGCAGCGAAGCGCGCCGGGACCGGAGCCCTGCGCCTGAGCGCGGGAGATTCGCAGCGCGCTTGGCGTGAGGTGGCCATGGGTCGAAATCCCAATCGTACCCCCAGTGAACATCTGAATTCCCACTAAAATAGGTTCTAAATGGGTGGTGAATTCACCAATCCCCCAAAATGGTAGCATTGGCTTTCACCCACAGCCAGGTGGTAAGTCAGTGGGAAAGGAGAGGACTGCCATCCCCGTGCAAACCCGCATGGAACCCAAGATAGAGTGGGCTCGGTGCGAATTCGCAGGGAAACTCTTCACATCCCAGGCATTGGCATTGTGTGGAAATAGCTCTCGAGCAGGCGGATCCAAGAGACAAAGCCGGCATGAACCACACAGAAACAGAGGGAGACACTGACCTATTGGGCGGGAACCACTGGGAACCGGAACAGTTGGACTGACTTTTTCCCTTTCCTGTTTTCCCTTTGAGGATGCTTCAAACACCCCGGGCAAAGGGTAGAAATCAGTTCCTGGCTAAGGACCGGGAAAAAAGGCTACCGGCTGCTTGAGGACGCTCCGCAGACCCTGACAAAGGGTGCAGGATTTGCCCTGGAGGAAAACATCCAAAGGAGGCGTGGAGGCTATGCACCACTTGAGGGGTCCCCGAAGGGTACGAGTCGCATATGGCCTCCACACCTCCGAACAAGCTGCCTGACAACGCCTGTGAAAACAACTGAGGATTCGCTGAACTTGCCAATGCAAACAAAAAGCAAAGCTGCGCAATGATTTGCCCAACGGCAGGTCATGAGGCCTGAGAATTCCGTTGACGGTCTGTTCAAAAGCCTGATCCATGATCATTCATCCGTCACTTCTTGCTCCAAACTGAAAAATCTTTCTAGCTTTCGACTTACCACTAGAATGGTCCAAACCCAAAAGAACCTGACTCAAGTCCGAGTTACGGAACTCGGCGCCCAAGTGACAAGTTTCCCCGGGCGGGAAGAAAAAAACACGCAACACAAAAACCGAAAGCAACACGGGGTTGCGCCAAGCGACCGAAAAACGCGGCCACACCGCGCCACACCGCGCCCCAAACAAAGCGCGGACGCGGCGCCTGGAGGAAGCGCCTCAGCTGCAGCTCCACGTGGCCGTCGTAGACCTCCCAGCCGGGCGGCTTGAAGACCACCCGCCTCACGCACGGGGAATCGTGGCCGCGAATCCGCCGGATCCGCCGAAGCCGGGGCCGGCGACTTTTGCGCTTCAGGCGCTGCAGCCGTGGCCGCAGGGGATCCAAAAATGGGTGATTTGAAGGAGACTTGTGGGAGTTTTCGCAACATGGCGGACCAGCGTTTGGCTCCCCAAAAAAAGATACTGCAAAGGGGACCGCTTTCGTAACTAAAGGCGAGGATTAAGGATTGCAATTGAACAGCCCAGCTGGGGATTCCCTAGGGGGTGGTTAGGGGTCTCTCTCCCAGCTGACTTCGGCTGAGAATGCCACACGGCCACCTCCACCTCGACTTGAAGTTTGGGGAGCCAAGGGCTTCGCATTTTGGCTCAACGCCATGCGCCCAGAGGCGCATAAGTGTGCGCGTGTGTGTGTGTGCGTGTGTCTCAACATGGTTGGTTCCCTGATTCAAGCCACACGTACCATTTGGTTGGCTACTTGGTGCCGAAAAGAGGGGCAATGGATCAAGAATCTGTAAATTTAGGCCATTGTATTTCTTAAGCATGGCTCATCCCACTGGCACGAATCCTTGTGCACCACCCCATGTGCATCATCCATGTTCCAAACTGGTACAAGGGTGCCGCGCTTGAATGGCAGTTGGCAGGGGCACTGCATCGGACCAACTTGCCACTTCCACGGGAACTGCAGTTAGGCCCACATTCCCATGTCCCACACTTTAACTCAAAACAAGCAGGACAAACTGGTCGTCCTGAGCCCCCCAGCACCCGGCCCTCCCCCCTCCCCCGCCCACCCCACACTCTCAGGGCCTGTCCGGCAAGTCCAGCACCACCCTTGGCCCCGGCGCCGCGCTGGCAGGCGCCGAAACGCCGTCGGCCGCGGCTCCCGGCGTCGGCAGCTTCTGCGCTTGCCGGACGGTGTGGCTCGGGGGCTTGGGGGGGCGCATGGCCCCGCCTGCCCGCAGCAAGCTGGACAAGGTTTGAGCTGAAGAAATGGGTGCGCTGCTTGAGGCGCGCAACTCCCATATTTTATTCGAACAAGAAGCCAGGAATGACGTTACCAGGGCATGGGGGAGCTTGGCGTGGCAGGCGGCCGAAAGTTTCATGGGACCAAGAGGCCGCCTGAGACGCGTCCAGCGCCGCACCCAGCCGCAGCAGCGCCCCGCGCAGCTTCGGCCGAAGGATTTTCTTCCCCGCAAAAGCGCAGCTCCAAACCTGAACCGCGAGAGAATACTCCCCAAGGTTTGGGGGCTGGTTACTTGCAATGAACGCAAGCCCTGCTTCCACTTGCTTTTCCGCCCCCTGGAAAAAATGAGAACATATGTCCAGTAGGGATAAATTCCCTGTAAAACCAACCAGGGAAAATTAAAAACATATTCATTTCAGCAATTGCAAGCCCTATGGAGCCCGAACTTTTATTGCCTAGCCAACCATCAAGCACCACAGTTGGCCCGACATGGATTCCTTTGGGTCGCGTGGACATTGTCCACCCGCCTTTGAGTTGGGCTCACTGCCACCAACAAAGCCAGTGCGGCAAAGTTCACAGTACGCCTTGGAGCCCAACTTCCAAAGGCCACCCATGCGTACTATTGTCTATACTCCACCCGCCTAAATTCAGGAAGGTTTTTGGAACCTCGACCCAAGTCCTCCGGTGAGGGGGAAACATCCCACAGGTTGGGCTAGTTGATGCCCGACTAGGGGGGTCTGAGGTGTCCACCGGCCATGAAACTTTGGAAACGACTCCACAGAAAAGGCCCAAACCGAGCTGAGTCTACAGATGGACGGCTTCCCGTCGGAATCAGCCAGCCCAAAAACGGGGCCCTGGGCCAAGTCGGGGAGGAAGACGCAAGAACTTTCAAGACACTCATTCCCCAAGAAAGCACTTACCCAGACCTTCATCCAACCCTTTGTCCCTTGGGGCAGAGTCCCTTTCAAACATGGCCAACCCCACCTGGCGGAACATCTTCAGGCCTTAATAAGGTGTCCAAATAAGGATCCAAACCAGGGTTCCTTCATGCCCGCAACCTTGAGCGGCGAAGGGAGGGGGGGGGAGCGGCCAAATTCCATGCGCACAGTCTTTCCCACAAAAGGGGAAAATAGAACTACGTATGGAACTCCAGGCCACCCCTCCTCCATTCTCAGAAGTGAGGAAGTTCCTTCCAAAGGGCTGAACTCCTTCCTCCTGGCAACCAGCCCGCACCCCAAGTTGCGTGCGTTCGCCCTTCCGCTTCAAAGTAAGGCTTCCTGCAACCGAAAAGCAATGCCGAGCGCCACCTCCGACAGGTACAAAGTCCTGGAAGAAGTCGGGCCTTCTCCTGGTGGAAAATTCACCCTTGTGATACCAAACTTGTGAAACCCGGTACCAAAACTAGATGGTTTCATTGATGACGACTTAGGGTCTTTCTACTTGCACCCGCGCGTCCTGCCAGCGATTCGTCCAGCAGCCGGGCCACCCGCTCCTGCACGGTGGGAAACCAAAGTCATGAACCATGTCTCTGCTGGAAAGGGAAGCCACCTCCTTTTCGACCCAGAGTACCATGCGCACACCATGGCTATGCCAGGGAGTTACGGGAGGGGGGGGGAGGGGGGGGAGGGGGGGGCCATTCCAGGCGATCCCCCGGTCTGCCTGCGCCAGGCGCGCAAAGTCAAAGCCCGCGCGGTGCATGAGGCCCCAGGCAAGGCGAAGCAACTCCTCCGGCGGAAAGCGATGGATCTCTGCCTGTCGCAAAGCAGCGGTTGACGTTTGACCCCTCGTGGGTCTCAAAACGCTTGGGCCAACCACCTGCACTCACCACAGTGTCAACCATGTTTAACCATGTTTACCGCCTGTGTCACAAAAGGGATCCACACCCCTTGCTGGGATGGGATGGGCGATCCACACCCCTTGCTGGGACGCCCTGGGATGGGCGTCTCTGAAAACCACACACCTGGTTGACCTTGTTCAAACAAACGTCCATTTTATCCTCAGGTGGCATGGCCCAGGGTTTAGTTGTTTTCGTGGTTCATGATTTCAGTCAAGGGCAAAGACATGCAACGTTCCAAAGCATTGACCCAGTGGCTTGCCGCTGACCCGGTCGTGTGCTTGCTGCTGGGTGTCCAAATTGTCGCCGGGGAGCCCACGCGGCAAGAAGGAACAAGAGGTGGAATCCCATTCCATGGCCTACTGGTGTGGCAAAACACGCGGGGTACAGCATGGCTTCTTCGTACTGGCTGACGGGTTGCTGCCCACAACTTGAAGTGGCACTACCCATGATGGGGAAGTGGTTGTGACATTCTGTGATATCGAAACCTTTAAAACAAATCGTGCCATGGAAAGTGCCCACCATGGAGGTGAGCAAGTGCTTGCCACGCCCGTGCACAGAATGCGTGGTCTTCTGAGGTGGCAATGCTTAAGGGCCAGTTGCGGGCCTGCCCTGATTAGGAAAAGAACATGCCCTTTTTTAGGAACACGGAAGTTTCCAGGTGTCCCTTTAAAGGGGAAGTCCTCTGTCCAAACTGTCCTGGGAGTTCCCACGTTGAGGGAGGGCAGAAGAGAACTTGGGTATGTGTCACCACGGACTCCTTGGAGAGTTTCAAATTGGACCAAAACAAATTATGAGCACAGGGCCCCCGCCTAACCAAGGGAATGTTTCAACACACATTTCATGTAAGCCTAATAGTAATACCCTCCCACCAATTGACATGGAACCTGATGTTCGGGAGGTCCTGGTTTGGACCATGCTTTTTGAAAGGGACCGGGTCGGAACGGTGGGAGGGTAGTATTGCCAATGGTTCTAGGGTTTTATTCCCCATTCTTTTCACTTCAAGAACCAGCTGTTTCCCCAAAGTTTTGATGGTTTCCCGAAAAGAAGGATTTCTGGAAAGAGACTGGAAATGGAAGCCTTCCCTAGAAGAGTTGAACACACGAAAAAAAAAAAAAAAAAAAAAAAAAAAAAAAAAAAAAAAAAAAAAAAAACTGACAAACACCTGAGCCACACCCCAACAAATCCAAAGAAATCCTGCCGAGGCGCGGCTCCGCGCTCCAGCAGACGGAGGCAAATTGTCGGGCACTCCAGGCTGAGCATCCGCAAGGACCAGGCAAGAATGGACACCTCCTGGCGCCGGGTAGCACCCGCGTAGACTAAGAAAGGCCCAGAGCTCGAGACCCTGCTCCCCAAAGTAACGGAAGGAAGCCCAAGAAGGGGGGGGAATTCCTTTCGGGGTCCCTTTCAAGGGGGCTGCTACACAATTGTGTCTTTATGTTCATGGTTTTGTTGGGCTTCGTACTGGTCTGTAGAGGAGTAGGTTGCCAGTTGCAGTGGATGTTTTTTGCGTTTTGCCTACTATATCAGCAAGTGGAAGCAGCAGGTGTCAACTCTAGACATGTCAGATGCGCCACCTGAACATTCCCCCACAAGCGCTCTTTTAGCACGTTCCAAGGGGATCCACGGTTAGGACATCCAAAACTAAACCTGGAAGAACCCCTGTAGAAATGCACCTACAAATTGTGTAGTATTTCCGAAACCTGACATAAGGCGCCCCAACTAGAATACCCTCCCTAGCCTTAGCGGCACCTTCAAATAGGTAAATAACTTCAGAGGAGACCTTCCTTAACTGGTGTGCTGAACCAAATCTTAGTTGCCGGTCCAACGGAAATCCGACCTGTTTCCACCAAAAAGTTAAAGTCCAAGTCCGTACCAAATAGCCCATAAAGTTAAAGTGTGGCTTTCCTCTTGCCCTTAAACAACTTCGTGCTTTCCTCCAGCAACAAAAAAAGAAAGGAACCCCCAAACGAAATGGAAAGGAACGCCCAAAAGAGATGGAAAGGAACCCCACAATTTCCCCGCACCTTCAAAGGCAGGCGATCCAACATCTCTGCGCTGGCAGCCAGCGAGGTTGCCTCGGGAGCAGCCAAATTCCATCAAAACCAAATCCATCGAAACCCAGAACACATCAAAAAAACATCTGCCCACGTTACCCACCAAACACCTTCAGGGCAAAACCCAGCAAAAAAATGGTTCTCAACAACATCTGCCCATGTTGGAATAGACAGGGGCCCGTAAAATGCCGGAGTCATGCCACAAACATGGGGGTCCCTATCTCTCTCCGAGGCCCTCACAAGGAGCGGCAGGTCTTTCACCCCGAGACTGGCCATAGCCCAGATCAGGGGCACTGGGTCGCGGAAGTCTTTCGGCATGTCCCGCCTGGGCTGCGGAGATGTCGTAGGATCGATCCGACGTTTGACTTGTTTTTCTTCTTATGGTTTTTATTGTTTTTTTTTTTGTTTTTTTTTTTGGTTGGGACACGGTCAAAGATCGGAAAAATGGCCCCCTGGCAGGTTTCTTCCCTGCCAACCACGACCTAAAAAAATTCCGCTTGGGAGGTTGCTTTCCCTCCAAACATGACGACGTTGTCACTTTAAAATGGATTCCAGCTTGGTATCAACAACCAATCCCCATGTCCAATCACCATGGCTTGGGGCGAGGTCGACGGAATTGAAGGCAAAGGCGCTTGCTTCAAGCCCCAAACGCAATTAGAAATTCTCATTCATTCCAGTCATGGTTGCTCCGGCGTGGCAAAAGTTGGAGCTGATTCTGCCATGGCTCAGCAAGCAGCGCCCGGCGCCGACTTGGCCAGCAGAGGTGCACGCATCGATGCCAGCGCAATAGGAAACCTAAGCTTTTTCTTGCGCATATTTTTGATTACTCCGAAACTTTCACCGTTTTCGGCGGCTTTGGATGGCTGGCAGCGCTTCCGGCTCCCTAGCCTTCCGCTGTTTGAGCCCAGCCTCTCAGCCAAGCTGTCAGCCAAGGACTGGTCTCAAACCCTCTCAGCCTCTCAGCCGAGGAGCAGCGGTCGCCGCGATCCGACGAGACGGCATCGCGCTCAAGAGTTGTAGCGCATGCTGCCACTGCACTCCTTCGGATGCCCCAAATAGGCAAGTAAACCATACTAAGCCACAAAAACCATGGTGCAACAGAGAAAGTAAGAGGGTGCCCTTCCTCCCCCACTTGCAACATTTAGGGCATCCAGTTTTGCTTTGCACGGGCCATGGGCAAACAAGGTCGCCCCTTTGCACAAGGTTTTGGTCAACGCCTGTAAAAGGTTGCAAGTTGAGGCTTTACAGCCAAGCAAACCACTAAAGGTCCGACAGGAAAAGAAAAGAACGTCCCGCCCCATGTTGGTCGCTGAACAAACCACAAAACGATGCCCTTTTTGGTTGGCAGAACTCTTCGAAGTCTTAGCCAGCGCTTTTCTCTAGAAGCTGAAAAAGGGGTGGGCCTTTTGGTTTGCCTTTTTCTGTGTTTTGGTGGGTCAACCAAAAATTCAAAGAACAAAAGTGCCTGCCATTGTAGCTGGGCCGCCTTTGGAGCACACGCTGATGGCAGCGTTGCAGGTGCCGGCGTCGGCCTGAAGAGTCTTGGCGCCATCTACATCACCGTAAGCGCGCCCTACCTTTCACGGAAGCTGACAAGGGGGAATAAAGAAGAATAGAGTCCTCTTGAAAAGGCCTCCACTTCCATGATGTTTGGAGGAAACATGTGGAAACTGGTGATACCCCGTGCCATCTTTAAAAGAAGGAACACCATGTCGTCAACCACCCCCACCCACCCACCCACCCACCCACCCACCCACCCACCCACCCACCCACCCACCCACCCACGAATCGTCAACCCCCCCCCCACCCACCCACCCACCCACCCAGCCCCCCACCCCCGAAGGAAACCCATGGAGCTTTCGGCCCACCAAACCGCGCCTCAACGGACTGGCTCGACATCCGAGCCAAGACCTCCAAGGCCAACTGCCACGAGCTCGAGGGCAGCGAGGTGAGGAAAACCTGGGCCGCGCGCGGGCGGATCCGATGATCCGGCTGGGAACGGCACCATCCGCGGGTCGGAGAAAGGGAGTTACCCAGCTACTTGCCAATTCAAGGAAGAAGGAGATGAACAAACATGCCAAGGTCTAAAGTCCGAAAAGGACTCCGCTTTTCGCACGGCTACAGGGAAACCAAAAGGAAACCCGTTCGATCACAGAATCCCAGGTACATTATGGCTATATACAGGGCACATAGCCGTATGTGTACAAATAGAAGTATATACAAAGGGTGCGGATTTATTTTGGGATTTTTTTTCGTTTTTTTTTGGGATTTTTTTTTCGTTTTTCGTCCGGGCCAGCAAAATGTCGTATTTTACAGCATTTTCTCGCGAAATTGACGCATTTTACACTAGCTCGTCAACATCCCCAGCATCGTTTTCAACATCCCCCGCATGTCCGACCAACATCCCTAGCATCACCAACAAATCGTGGGTAACAAAATGCAAAAATGTAGCTGGCGGGTTGACGGGGTCAAAACAATAACGCTTCAAACAGGAGGGCATTTCAATCCCAGCAAAAAAAAATACCAAAAAACAATTAAGAAAAACAGAGCGGGGTAGTGATGATTCGAACAGGGGTGCAATTAAATCTCTGCAAAAAGTCTAAAAAGTAGCGGGGGGGTTGGGGGGGGCGGCAGCCCCCCCCATGATGTTCGAAGAATTGATGATTCAACTAGGGGTGCAATTAATTAAATCTCTGTAGAAAATCTAAAACGTAGCGGGGGGGTTGGGGGGGGGCGGCAGCCCCCCCATGATGTCGGAAGAAGTGGTGATTCAAGTAGGGGTGCAATGATTCAAGAAAGGGTGTGATAGAATTTAACAGGCAGCGGGAGGGTTGGCGGGGGTGGCTTCCCCTATGATGTTCGAAGAAATGCATACATACAGACATACACGGACTACACAGATTACCTAAAATGTCGTATTTTGCAGCATTTTCTCGCGAAATTGGACGCTCGAAAAAGTGATGATTCAAACAGGGGTGCAATTCAATCTCTGCCGGGCCAGTAAAGTGTCGTATTTTACAGCATGTTCTCGCGAAATATACCCGCATGTCCCACCAACATCCCTAGCATCACCAACAAATCGTGTGACGGGGTCAAAGAAATGATGATTCAAGTAGGAGGCCATGTCAATCCCTGTAAAAAATACATAAAAAGTAGCGGGGGGGTTGGGGGGGGGGCGGCAGCCCCCCCCACGATGTTGTTTGCAGAAGTGATGATTTGAATAGGGGTGCAATTAAATCTCTGCAAAAAGTCTAAAAAGTAGCGGGGGGGTTGGGAGGGGCGGCAGCCCCCCCCCATGATGTTCGAAGAATTGATGATTCAACTAGGGGTGCAATTAATTAAATCTCTGTAGAAAATCTAAACGTAGCGGGGGGGTTGGGGGGGGCGGCAGCCCCCCCATGATGTCGGAAGAAGTGGTGATTCAAGCAGGGGTGCAATGATTCAAGAAAGGGTGTGATAGAATTTACAAGGCAGCGGGAGGGTTGGCGGGGGTGGCTTCCCCTATGATGTTCGAAGAAATGCATACATACAAACATACACGGACTACACAGATTACCTAAATCGTATTTTGCAGCATTTTCTCGCGAAATTGGACGCTCGAAAAAGTGATGATTCAAACAGGGGTGCAATTCAATCTCTGCCGGGCCAGTAAAGTGTCGTATTTTACAGCATGTTCTCGCGAAATATACCCGCATGTCCCACCAACATCCCTAGCATCACCAACAAATCGTGTGACGGGGTCAAAGAAATGATGATTCAAGTAGGAGGCCATGTCAATCCCTGTAAAAAATATAAAAAAGTAGCGGGGGGGTTGGGGGGGGGGCGGCAGCCCCCCCCACGATGTTGCTTGCAGAAGCGATGATTTGAATAGGGGTGCAATTAAATCTCTGCAAAAAGTCTAAAAAGTAGCGGGGGGGTTAAGGCCGTGGTCGAAGAATTGATGATTCAACTAGGGGTGCAACCCCCCCATGATGTTCGAAGAATTGATGATTCAAGTAGGGGTGCAACTAATTAAATCTCTGCAGAAAATCTAAAACGTAGCGGGGGGGTTGGGGGGGGCGGCAGCCCCCCCCATGATGTCGGAAAAAAGCCACCTGCCGAAGAGGAACTGGGAATGCAGAGGATGCGAAAAGCCAAAAAGCCACCAAAAGCCGCATAAACCAGCAAAAAGCCGAAAAGCCTAGAAGCCCAGAAGCCGAGAAGCCAAGAAGCCGAAAAGCCAAGAAGCCAAGAAGCCAAAAAGCCAAGCCAAGAAGCCAAGAAGCCGAGAAGCCGAGAAGCCAAGAAGCCAAGAAGCCGAGAAGCCAAGAAGCCAAGAAGCCGAGAAGCCAAGAAGCCAAGAAGCCAAGAAGCCAAGAAGCCAAGAAGCCAAAAGCGAAGAAGCCAAAAGCGAAAAAAATTCCCAAAAAAAAACGAAAAAAAAAACCTAAAATAAATACCCCTCCATATACAAATGTATATCTATTCATACAGACATACATACACAGATATATGTTTGTATGTGTACGTGTTGGAACACTTGGCCCGTCAACTTCGATTCTGGGAAACTGAGTAAGCAAAAGGCTTCCATCGCTTCCAACACTTCCAACCCCTCGACGGATAAGCCGAGGTCGAGGAACGGCGTGGCTGGCGCGGTCCGGCCGCAGCCGCAACGCCGGCATCGCCTCTCCGGGTTGACGAGCGCCGACCCCTTTCCCCCAGCACCCCCCCCCCAAGCCCCTTGTTGCAAAAATGGGGGGGGTCTTAAACCATACCCTTGGCCCATTGCAAAAATACGGCTTTACAAAATGATTTCAAGGGACCCTTTTCGGGACTGTTTCCCAGTTGCCCCGCAGCCCTGGCAAACAAGAAAAGCCCGAGTACTCCAGGAAAGTAGAAGGGGGTGGGGGTTCCTACGGATTTCCTGAGTACTCCAGGGGAGGGGAGGGGGAACATGCACCAGGTTTCTTCAAAAGATAGTGTATATAAAGATATGTAGGCACACGTTTGGACCCTTTAAGGATCACAATGACACAGGCCTCCGGTGGTGCCCTTTTTTTTCCGTTTTCGCTGGGGTGGGTTCCCCTTTCAAACATCAACTACCACGATAGGGTGCCTCCTTCTTTTCCGTGACCGCTCGAGCTCCGGGATTTTCTGGTAATAAGGGTAATTCAGGCCTCATACCCTTGGTATGTTCATCACAAAAGCCACATGAATTTCCAGCAACTCCGCTTGACATAGACAGGCACGGCTCCTCCAGCAGGTGCAGCGCCATCTGCCACTGTCCGGAAGCCGCGCAGGCGCCCAGCACCTCGGAGACCCCCGAAAGGGCGGGGGGGGGGGGGGGGTTCGGGTTTTCGTTTTTTGTGGTTGGCTGTGGTTGCGCCTGGGTTGGTGATGTGCTTGCTGTTTCTGTTGTTTGTTTCTTGCTCTTCTTTCTTTATTTCTTTCTTTCTTTCTTTCTTTTTCTTTCTTTTTCTTTCTTTATGTTTCTTTCTTTCTTTTTCTTTTTTGTTATTTCTTTGTTTTTCTTTATTTTTCTTTCCTTTTCTTTCGTTGTTTTCTTTATGTTTCTTTCTTTCTTTCTTTCTTTCTTTCTTTCTTTCTTTCTTTCTTTCTTTCTTTCTTTCTTTCTTTCTTTCTTTGCTTGATTGTTTCTTTCCTTGCTGGCGTGTGCTTGCTATTGCTCTTGCTCTTGCTCTTGCTTGTTCTTTCGGGGGGTGAGGGGAAAGTACTCAATTGGTCAGCGGATTTGTTGGGTGTGTTCAAAGCAATTTTAGCCAAGTAGTCAAATTGTTGCACGACCCGGGCGCTTCTTCAAAGGGGTGGTGGCCATCCAAACCAGGGTAGTGAATGATTCATCCCTTTGGGGTGTGCTGTTTCAAACACTTGAAGTCTTTGTGAGACGGAAGCTTTCAGGTGACACTTTGCTTACAGGGGCACCTACAGGGCACGTGGTTGAGCACTTGGATACCTAGGTGGCCAAATGAAGACTCCCAACTCATGCAACATCCGAACGGTCAAACAAGTTGAGTGGGGTCAATCATCCTGTCGCACCTTGCTCGGGATGATCTGTCACTATCTGTCTTTGGCATGAGTCCATCCCACCTGGCAGTTGCCAGGTAACTGCATGCCTGCGAGCGAGGAGCTGGTCAAACGGCTTAGCTGAAACCTTCCCAGCCAACCACAATGGTAAGAATGACCCCATCGCATCCTGCGCAAATTTTACGCAACCAGACCCCCATTTTGGCAAACCATGCCGAAAGCAATTCAGGCTCACAGCTGCTGGAAATGCCAGCCGAAGGTCCCAACCCTCCATCATTTTTGCTCGCCATGACATTGGCCCACCCAAGCTTTGCAGCTTTCATACAAACCAACTCAGTTAACTTTCCTCGGGAGTTTTGGGTTCCATGCGCCTTTTGCAGGGGGCCTCTCCCTCCAAAACGGAGCTCCTCCCTGGAAAAATAGCCCTGGCGCGGCGTTGCACGTGATGGTATTCAGCTGGCCCTGACGTGGGGCAGGCAGTTTTGGGGCTGGGTCGGGCGGATTCGGGTCGATGCCTGCGGCCTCAGGCGAGGGAAGGAGGCCCATGGTTTTGAAGGCAAGAGGAGCAAGGCCGCGGTAGAAGGAAGAAACTAGAAGTAGAAGCGCAAGAAGAAGGGAAGAAGAGCAGCAGAAGTAGCAGATAAGCAGAAGTAGATTCTCAAGAAGTCTAAATAAGACTGTGGCTCTCTCGCTCGCTCTCTCTCTCTCTGCCCTCCCTCCCTTTGCTCTTCTCAGTACGCCGCCACCAACCATACCGCCTAGCAAAGAACAGCTTCCTGAATTGTCTAGTGCGACCGCCGAAAGGGTCTTTCCCGCACGCTCACAGTTTCCACATACGACTTCCACGTGGCTTTCGCGTTGCCCAGCCCCCGAAGTCCGAAGTCGGATGGTCCGAAAGCCAGCGGCTTCGGCTTCCTTTCAGAGGGCTCCCTGCATCTCCACCCTAAAAACATCCCCCGTAACTGGAAGCCACCCAGAATTCGCACATCAGGCGATCTCTAAAACCAAAAAGGGGGGGGTGGTTGAAATTGCACCAAAAAAGTGAAACATCACCCTCGCCCTTTCGGGTTTTCCCATGGCGCCCTTGTCACCAAGGCCTCGAAGGACTTCAGCAGGCCCACGGCCGGCCTCGAAACGGGCCCGTCAACGACCGGGCCCCGCGAAACGTGGACCCCGACAACGGGGAAAAAGGCCAACAGGAAGTCGTCTCTGCGAAAAGACTTGGCTCTGCGCAACAAGACCTGCACGAAACACAGCACCACTGAAGCGAGAAATCGCTTAAGCACTCGCAAAAATCTCAAGCCCCCCCCCCCCCCCGCCAAAGCTGCTTGGCCAACCCGCCTCCACCAAAAAACATATTTTGCTGTTCCTACCCTTGCCGCTGTTTCTGTTCATCTGCCTTCGCATGCACAGCTGACCGCCCGCAACTTGCTGCAACCCACCCATCTTCCAATCCCCCCCCTCCCCCAAAAAAAGAAGAAGGAAAAAACATGTTTTACTCCCCCCCCCAAAAAAAAAAGAAAGTGTTTTGCGGCTCGTTTTCTCGCTTGCTTGGGAGAAAAAAAGGTCGCTTCTGCCATCCGCCTCCAGGCATGGGCCCCAGCGCAGGAGCCGGCGACCGAGGTGCCGCAGGTCCTGAGGCCGGGATCAACCGAGCCGACGCCACGAGGAACGCGGCTGGTTCAGTGATTTTGCCACAAATTGCGTGACCCATTCTTGGCAGCCTTTGTTTTTTGATGATGAGCAGCTAACGTCCCTGTTTTCATTTTGGATGCCGTTTGTGCCCACGGCTGTTCTTCGGCCTGTTCTTATCACCCTCCCAAAACACTTGTGGAACCTGTAGGGTCCCTAGAGGGAGGTCTTCCACGGGGGAGCCATTCAGGTTCCATGTTTTTCTTGCTGGCTCTCGGCAGAGAATGAGTTGGAATGACCCCGATTTGGACCATGCAACTTGCGGTTTCCTTCACCGAATCCTTTTAAACCGCCATTCACCTTTTTGCGCCCCCCGACGGCGAGTCCGCAGGCCCGCAAGACGGGGTTTTCGGGGATGGCGCCTGTTCCCGGCTCGAGATCCACCGGTGGAACCACCGGCTCCTGCCAAAAACTTGCTTTGGACGCCGCATCCGGACCTAGTTTGTTGATCCCGGTTCAGGACTTGACATCCACTTCCAGAAGTGCGGATGCCAAAAGCGTACGATGCCGAGAGCAACAACTGGTGCGATATACGGTTGAACCTTTTTGGGGTGCCTTCGGCACGGGAAAACCTTTAGGGGCCCAAATGGGCGTCTTAAAACAGGGTACCCTGAAAATAGTGGGTGTCCTTTTCACTTCCCCTCAAGACAACCCAAAAAAAAGCGCCAGCAACAAAAAAATGGGCCCACCTGAAAATCGGCGGTTGCGGGGCCCCCCCCTCTCTTGCGGCCCTTGACCTCTTGGCTCGCTCCACTTCTCGCGCCGGGCAGCGGGCTCAGTTCGAGGCCCATCTCCTTCATGGCGCTCAAGGTGCCCAGCACCTCGTCCGACAGCTTGCGAGCCATGGGCGCGAGACAGTTCGGAGGTCACAAGTTGCTCCAAAACCAGCCTGTCGGAAGCCTGTCATCAGCCTGTGGTTGTTCTTTGTATGTCTTCTTCCGCAAAGCTTCACAAGAACCGCTGGGAGGTGCAGGTTGGCTTCTTAAATGGGACGCACACACTTCTATTCACCTCTACAGCAAAAATTGGGAAAACTTGTTTGGGAAGTCTGGAACACTTGCAAAATGATACATCCCCTTTGGGTTTCCTTGTGGAAAAATGGGCTCTTCAGCACCCAGCGAGGGAAGCTCTATGGCCCCACCAGGCGCACGCCGAGAGGCATGCCGCCACGCAGCCGCGCCGTCCGCCAGCAGAACGTTGCCGGCGGCGATCCTCGGTTTGGCCTTTTTCGGGCTGACAGCGGGCGTCGCACACTGCGAAAACGCCACAACGGAACGTCCGTTTTGCGGGCAAGAGCCCCAAGCGCCAAAGCCAATACCCCGAAAGCTTGGTTGACGTTGGAAGGGGAGCAAACATTCAAACTTTTAGCCGTTAAGTGGTTGGATTTCAACCACTACACCACAAGCAATGTAAAATGTGTCCCAACAACAACCGGCTGCTGCCGAATCCCCAAAACGGATCAACACCGAAATGGGCTTCGAGCGCCCTCCCTGGAAACCGCTGCATTCTGATCCACCCAAACCCCAGAGCAAAGGGCTACTGCTAAAAAGAACGCTAGTTCAAAAAACAAACGAAAGCAAAAAAGGCAACAGAGAAAAGAGATCAAAGAGACAAAAGAGATAGAAAGAAAGAAAAGAAAAGAGAGGAAAGAGAGATAAAGAGAAAAAAGACAAGCACAAAAGAATAAACGAACGAACGAACCCACAAATCAATGTTCAACGGCTAACAATTAAATGCGTGAATTAACACATGATCAACAACAGTAGCCAAATGAATGACCAATGAACAAAGAAAGCAAACTTACACGAGCAGGAACACACATACTTAGCCAATCAAACAACAACCAGATAGGAAAACAAACCAGCAAACAAGCAAACAAACAAGTCGTTCAGGGTATCAATGCGTTCCTTCTTACGGGAGGGAGGAAAAAGAAACGAAAAAACGGCTCCTTTTTGTCTCCGCCCCCTTCCTACACCTCCCGCCCCAGTTGCCGTCCGTTGCCCAAAAGCCGAGTCGCTCGTCCAGCTGTCTTCGCCCATGAAACATGCGGAAGGCGACGGCCCAGGCAGAGGCCCGGGCCGCGGCGCCTGGAGACTTCGTCGCGCCGACCCGCGTGAGCCGGGGAAGGGGGTCTTCCTTATGGCTTGGGGCTTAGGCTGGCTTGGGGTTGGTTTTGGGGGTTTGCGGTGATTTGAGAACCACTCAAAATGTTTACTTTGATGGGTGTGTCGATGGTGTGGGCTTAGGCTTGGGGCTGGCTTGGGGGTGGTTTCAGAAGACAGGTTGCCCTGAAGATATCGGACATGGGCCAATTAACGTCCTATTCTGCTTGCACAATGCGATCCACCGGGACCCCGCATGTCAGCGGGTTCAAAGTCAGAGGACTTGAGAGGCACCCCCAAGGAGTAGGGCAGTAGGGCCCTTCAAACCCGCCAACGGTGAAACTAGATTGAGAAACCTCAAACTAAACCATAGGACTGGGCAGGAACCGCGCCTATGCAGCTGGAGACGCAGATCTCCTCAGCTTGCGCCGACCCGCACCGCCCTCTGTTCAAAAAGAATGCGCGCAACTGGCAGCGTCAGCCGGGGTGTGTGCGTGGGGGATACCAAAGGGAAAGCCACTCTGTGGCGCCGCGTTTGTTGGATGCTCCTTTCTAGGCTCTCAATGCCAGTAGAGGGATTAGCACTATGAAAATTTTCCGAAAATGGCCAACCGTCTTGGCCTGCCTCGTCTGAACCAAAAAGGCAACGTCGCGCAGTGCACCAATTGGAACGTAAGATGGCGCCTATGGGCTTGGTTGATCCCCTTGGCGCGTTCAATTCATCCCCGACGATACGCAAGATCAAATGCTTGATTCAGAACCTTCCTGGCAAGTCGGCCACCAATGGCAGAAAAAAACAAAGGCATTCCAGCTTTTTGTAGTCACCCGAAACCGACTCGCGCCAATCCGCGCCCTTGTTGCGGTCATTCTGACGCCCCTCCCGCCCCCCTCCCGCCCCCTGAACCCCCGACCTCGCCCGAGCCGAGCGTCGTTGGGCGCCAGCCTTCGGCGCGGCATCCGCGCCAGAGACGCCGCGGCCTGGCGCCAAGCCTCGTCCGAGGCTTGGGCGGCCAGCAGGTTGCCGCAGACCACCTGCCGCTTTTCTTCCTTCCGCGTCGCAAAAAAGAAGAAAAAAACGGGGATGATAATCTGAAACCATCTACGTACCAAACTGAAGCCAAAAAGGACACCTATCAAAACCAATCTGAAACCATCTACGTACCAAACTGAAGCCAAAAAGGACACCTATGAAAACCAATCTGAAACCATCTATGAAAACCAATCTGAAACCATCTACGTACCAAACTGAAGCCAAAAAGGACACCTATGAAAACCAATCTGAAACCATCTACGTACCAAACTGAAGCCAAAAAGGACACCTATGAAGGGGCAACGAATCAGCCTAACAGAACAGCAAAACCAGAAAGGAAGAGAGAGAAAACAAAGAATCCGCGAGGGAAGAGTACAAGAGTGAATAGGAAGCACTGGATGGACCCCCAGAACCATGTTCGAGGCAATGAGCTATGATCAATGTCCCATGGGCATTTGCTGTTGTCTGTAGGGGCCTTGTTTACTCGGGTTCCGGCCTTTTAAAGGTGGGCAAGTCTGGTTTCGAACAAGTCTCTTCATTCAAAGGAACCAGTAGTCTGCCAGCGCGCGCGCTCCCAAGCGCATCCCTTCCATCAAAATGACATCCTCAAATTACCCATGCAAGGTGAGAGCCAGACCACACCTATGGAGCCCAGAATTACTGCGGCTCACCTTCACGTGACAGCATCCCGCCTGGCTCCAGGGCATCTGCAGGGCAAACCGCCATCGGCCTGAATCAGGCCGAAACAAATGGCATCCTCTTTATGTGGGTCAGGGAACGAATCCAACATGGGTTCAGGAACTCTGCGCGCTTTCACACGGGCTGCAACATTCACCAAGCGCAATCGCACCATTGCTTCCCAATTTCAACCACTCCTTAAACGGCGACTCCCCAAAACGACACACATCCAGAGAGTAGTTGTCATAGGTGTCCTTTTCGGGGAAACAGATGGCCCTGGTAGATGCTTAAACCACCAGCTAAACCAGGGCCATCTATTCTTTCTAGCAAAACAACCAAAAAGGACACCTTTGGTAGTTGTTCGTTTCACCTCCCATCTTGCAAAGGGGCACCGCCGCCCCAGAACCAGTGGACCGCCACCAAGGCCTCCGGACGCGGCGCCCCAGGTGCGCCCGGAGAGCCGCAGGTTCCGCAGCCGCAGCTGCGCCAGCAGCTCCGAGACGAGGCGCCAGCCCCGCTCCAAGGGCCCGACGGCCCTAAGAGGGCTGGGCTGACCCCGGAGAATTAAACACAGCTTACTAAGTGTGTCTTTCCTTTTCCCTGGGCGAAATGTGAGTCAGACCATCTTTGGAGGGGGAACACCCCCCTATATTATATAACAATCTGGGGTTGATCGGCGGCAACGTTGCACCCAACCACCTGAAACCGGGGTGCTGAGTTGAGTTGATGGTCGACCTGCAACAAAAGCAAGCTGCCCTGCGGTCTGAGCAGTCCTTCCACTTTTCAGTGAAACAAAGAATCCCCAAAGGGTTTGTGCTGTTGTAAGGGGCTGGTTTCAAAAGAAACCAAAAGGAAATCAACCCCATTTTTTGTGATTTTCTTGGCTTTCGCGGATGACAAGCACATAGTGCAAATGGGGAAAGGGCACTTTTGGGGCTGATGAGACACCCATGGTTGATACGGGCCTGGCCACATTCGATCCTAGGATTTTGCAGAAAACACCTTCATTGGGGCTGGTTGGTTGCCAAAAACCCGTTGTTTTTTGCAAGCCAGCAACCCAACCCCTAATGACTTGGCTTAAATGCAACGGGTTGACTACGCAACCTGTTGGCATCAAGCATGCGGAGGAATGGTAGGAAACTGCCCAGCTGGCGGTTTGCGGGTCAACGGACGAGTGGCCAATGGTTGCTGCATTTCAACCAGCTGCGGGTCTGGTTGCTACATCACTTCTTTTGAACACGCTCTAAACTGAATTTTAAGCCTACGCCTTTTTTAGGTTCTACCTCCGTGCTATCTCTCATGTTATCTCTTATGGTAAGGGCATCAGCCGTTTTTTGCGTTATACAGGGAGCACCACCTATTTCTTGATCCTGCTCTGTGCCTGGCTAGCCGACCTGGCGGCTGGGGCAATGGTCCTCGCAAAGCATGCCCAGTCAGCGACAAGCCAACAATGCCTTCACAATGGGACCGCGCAAGGTTCAGTCCTGCGCTTTTTGCCGCAAACAAAACCGACGCAATCGCAAGCGCTGAGCTGCTCAACCGCCGTCTCGTCTCTATTCACTGGCACGAACACACCACTGCTTGATTGCATGTGAATCGCCACGCTCTCCGTCATGGTATTACGCGGCACGAACGCCAGACCGGGAGCGTCGGGTATTCACTGAAATCACGAGCAAGGCGCGCACCAGTATCTTGAAATTTCCTACCCGCGCTGCCTCTCTTTGCAAGCGGTGGCTTGCCGAAATTCCTTTTCTCAACAACGGCCACAGTGTCAAATTCCAAGCGTGTTGCCTCATCGCGCAGACACAAAGTAATAGCGCTCTTCCATGAGTAATAAGCATGTGTTTTCCATTACGCAACACAGAAACCTCTCTATTCCACATCAGAGCACCCTTTATTGAGCGAAGACGGGGTTCTGCCAGGCGGGGGTATGTGGAAACCCCATGAGTTGCGGTTCCTTTTTGGAAATTGTCTTTCTCCTGTCTTCCTTATGCTTTTACAAGGCGCTTGCGCTTTGGCAGCTCCAGCTCAAAGATCGCAACTTTGCAGGACAAGCGCGGTGCGCAAAGTACACTTTGGCGGCTCCCAGTGCGAAAATCGAAGCTGAGCACCAGCGTAGCGCAAGCGATGCTCTTTGGCAGCTCCAGCTCCAAAGCCGCCACCCTAGTTCTACGGCACGTTGTCGTGTTTTATCTGCCTCCTGTTTACTGCGCCCGGTTAATACCTAAGCCGATTTCCGGACCAAACACTTTCCAGACAAAAGCAACCGGGTGCGTAACGACGTGCACTTAAGCACGAGAAGGACAAATTGCCTGATCCCTCCTTGATAGTTGTTCAAATTTCTTCTTCTAAGCCTAGCACAAGCATGCTCTGCAAAGTGTGCTGGATCCAACAAAATATTCAAGGATCAAAGTATCGACACCCGGCTCCAAAAAAAAGCCCTAGTCTGGGGTTTAAGAAAAAATGGTTTTCGAATACACCAGCACGCGTTCACCTGTCTTTCTGAGCGGCAGATTGTCGCTGTTGTCAGTGCCATATGTGAAAAGTGAGGGCACGGCTGGAGACATTACGGTAGGATTCCACACTCATGCGACTGAGGCGTGTTTGGGATCGCTTAGCCATCGGTGAAGGCCTTTCAAAACACCGATCTCTCTGGACCTCAGACGCACGCAACATGTTCCCTGTGTCGCGGCAGAGCAGCAGCGCCCGGCCCCGGTTTCGTGTCGGTGAGGGAAGTAAAGGCTGGCACTAACCTTGCCATCATCAAAGGCAGCAACAGTTCAACGTGTATTTGTTCGTCCGACGCACAGTCATGATCTACGGCGGCGACTTTCTCAGAAGACCGAACGCAGCTAGCCGCTCATAGGAACGCTTTTTGCGCTCCTCACACTCCCGCAGCCGGCGGCTTCGTTGACAACCCTGCGCGCGCCGCAACTCTGTTAGGCCGAATGACGTTGCCATCCGGAGAGGCAATGCCGCGATACAGGTTCATGCGATCCTCCTTGCGAAGGTCGGCGGTTCCAACGGATGCGAGAACCTCCGCTGTAACTTTAGTGCCGAGCCCCATCTTCATCAGCAGTTCAGATCGCTTCTTGAGGTAGGCCTTTTGCTGGTCGCGCGTGAAGTACGTCTTGAGCGGTAAGAGCTGGCCGCACATAGTGCAGTTGACCTGTCCCTCAAAGACATGGTTGTTGCACACTTTGACTTCATCTCCACACTCTCCTTCGGGCCGAAAACTTTCTGATGCTTCGCTTCCCCTTGCGAGGAGCTGGGCTGCTGATGTTCGCGCGGGTGGCACGACCGCACGATAGAAAAACCGCACGGCGCCACAGCGAGAGCATTTCGACGCGCACTCCATACAGGGCTCGCCAAGACCAAAACAAATTCGCACGGCGCCCCAGCGAGAGCGCTTCGACAAGCCGAGCTCCGTAGAGCTTCGCGCGCGCGCGCCGCAAGAATCGTAAAAAATCCTGGGTTTTTTCACGTCGGCACGCGGATCTCCGCAGCGGGTCGCGCGCGCAGATCAGAAATCGTAAAACGCCCTCATGTTTTTGACGTCGACCACGCCGATCTCTGCAGAGGGTCGCGTGCGGACCGCAAGAATCGTAAAAAGTCGTCAGTTTTTTGACGTCGACCACGCCGATCCCCGCAGAGGGTCGCGATGATCAAACTCCCACCCCGGCCTAGAAACCTAAACAAACACACATAGCTGCTCACGCCGCAAGCTCTCTACCTAACCTTGGCTCTGCGCAACTTGCCTCAGCGCAACTTGACTCTGCGCAACTTGCCTCTATGCAACTTGGCTCTGTGCAACTTGGCGCTGTGCAACTTGGCTCTGTGCAGCTTGGTGGTGCCACTTGGCGCTGTGCAACTTGGCTCTATGCAACTTGGCGCTGTGCAACTTGGCTCTATGCAACTTGGCGCTGTGCAACTTGGCGCTGTGCAACTTGGCTCTATGCAACTTGGCTCTGTGCAACTTGCCTCTGTGCAACTTGGCTCTGTGCAACTTGGCTCTGTGCAACTTGGCTCTGTGCAACTTGGCTCTGTGCAACTTGGTGGTGCCACTTGGCTCTGTGCAACTTGGCTCTGTGCAACTTGGCGCTGTGCAGCTTGGTGGTGCCACTTGGGTCTGTGCAACTTGGCTCTATGCAACTTGGCGCTGTGCAACTTGGCTCTATGCAACTTGGCTCTGTGCAACTTGGCGCTGTGCAACTTGGCTCTGTGCAACTTGGCGCTGTGCAACTTGGCTCTATGCAACTTGGCAACTTGGCTCTCAACTTGGCTCTGTGCAACTTGGCTCTGTGCAACTTGGCTCTGTGCAACTTGGCGTGTGCAGCTTGGTGGTGCCACTTGGCCCTGTGCAACTTGGCTCTGTGCAACTTGGCGCTGTGCAGCTTGGTGGTGCCACTTGGCTCTGTGCAACTTGGCTCTATGCAACTTGGCGCTGTGCAACTTGGCTCTATGCAACTTGGCTCTGTGCAACTTGGCGCTGTGCAACTTGGCTCTGTGCAACTTGGCTCTGTGCAACTTGGCTCTGTGCAACTTGGCTCTGTGCAACTTGGTGGTGCCACTTGGCTCTGTGCAACTTGGCTCTGTGCAACTTGGCGCTGTGCAGCTTGGTGGTGCCACTTGGCTCTGTGCAACTTGGCTCTATGCAACTTGGCGCTGTGCAACTTGGCTCTATGCAACTTGGCTCTGTGCAACTTGGCGCTGTGCAACTTGGCTCTGTGCAACTTGGCTCTGTGCAACTTGGCTCTGTGCAACTTGGCTCTGTGCAACTTGGCTCTGTGCAACTTGGCCAAGGGCTCCGCACGGAACAGCCCTTCGCGATGCATTCGGCTATCAACAAAAACAACTAACAAAACAAAATAGCAGGTCTGGCATTTAAATTTGGCAGTGCTCCCCACTAAAAGTCTAAGCAGAAAGAACATTTCTGGCATTTGGCCCTTCTATCGACTTCAAACCGCATGGAACTAGCATTTCTGGGTTTAGTTTTAGTTGTTTGGGAGTGTTTTGCAACATTCGCCAAATTTCCAGCCATGATGGGGGTAGGATTGTTCTTCATTTTTGGATTTCGTTTGGTACAGTGGACATGCGCGCCACGTTTTTCAACTGTTGCGCAACATTTTGCCCAACATGTGCCAATCAAGCACAGAAACAAAACATAAACAAGAATCCATACCCCTTTGCAAACCAGTTAAGTGGTAATGCACCAAACCTAGCTGAGCCCGCTCCTTCGTTGAGGATCCGGTGGCGGCGCCTTGGATCATACCGCCAAAACAAGTTGAGCCAAGCCAAGAGAACAAGCCCAGCAAGTCCACGGCTGAAAGCACCAACCCCTAACCCACACCTGGCCGACCGGAACTGGGGCTTCTTAATAACACAACTTTTGCTCTGTGTTTTTTCCCGAAAGCTAACCCAGGTCACGGGCTCAGGACTATTCACAGCTAACTCTGTAATACGCCAAGGCACTGTGACTCCGCCACAATTCCGAGCCCACGTCACTTCTGTTCGTGGGCCCTGTGAATGTCGCAAGCGTCCTTGGGCACTGCCAGCCAGTAAGTTGCGCCTCATATTTTTAGTCGTTGAGAGCTAGCCGAAAACTGGCAAAGCACTGAGGCAAGTGTGGAGGCAGTGTCAAGAAAGCCTCGCTCAACTGTTAGCTCTTGGTGGTAGATGGCCTAAGCAGATGTGAAGGCAACATCCCGCGCACACGTGCAGCACACGGTCAGGAATTGCGCTTGGCGAATTTGCCCTGACCCACACTGCGAGCGCCGACCAGCTGGCAGCTCTCAGGCGGCCCTGCGTTGCTGGCGCGGGCCTGCCAGGCAGCCTCTGGCGACAGTCTCTGGAACACAAGAGGTCTTGCACACGGCACAGCGTCGAGATTCTGCTGGCGCTGGCGCCGGGGGCACCTCGCATTGAAGAAGGGCAGGAAGAAGACCCCGGCAAACACATGGCGGGAAGCCGGGCGCAGTGCCTCACACTGCCCAACCTGGCTAGAGCAAGGCGTGGAGAGCACAGGGCTTCTTGTCAGCATGGCAGAACGACTTGCGGCGCGAGATGCGGAAGGAATCGAACAATGCATCTGCTTGGCATGGACCACAAGCAAGCCTGAGTTGAAGCTGAAGTCAAACTGCCCAGTTCGATGGAATCTGCATGCCGGCTGCGCGGCCATGTTGCAGGCAACTTGCACAGGTCCCGCATAATCCTGAACGACAGCGAAAAGCCGCCGCCGCCTCCAAGGATTGGCTCTGCCACAAGGCCCAGATTCGCTGCGCAGCCACGCAGCGCACTGCATTGGTTTGCGCTGCCACCAGTTGAAGGCGTGTCAGGTGTGATATTGCCTGACTCTTCGGCAGTCTGAGCGGCAAATACAGGAAGAAAGCGAACTTCTGAGCACCTTGAGCAACTTGCAGCAGACAGTTTGTAAGACCTGCGGCGTTGCGAAGCTGAAGGGCCCGCAGGCACACTTGCCCTGGGCAGGCTCTCGCTCAGTAGCACACGAGCGGATTGATTGAAGGCTTCTGGTGACGCTGCATCACGCAAACAAAAGGCTGGTGCTTCGTGCAAACCCCCCCAAAGAAAAAGGAAAAGAAAAAGAAGAAAAAACGGCTAGTGCTCTTTGGATAACAGCAATATAAAGAGATAACACGGGAGATAGCACAGAGATAGCATGTGAGATAGCACGGAGAAAGAGCTCCCTGATGCTCCCTGCATACAGCCCAAAAAAAAGGCTGGTTCTCCCTGTATATCGCTAATATAACGTCTTGTTCTCCCGGTATAACACAAATATAACGGCTGGTTCTTGTTGTATAACGGCAATATATCGGCTAGCGCCCTCTGTATAGCGTCAATATAACAGCTCGTAGCCTCCCTCAACAACCTCAATTTGTTGGCTAGCTCTCCGTGCATCACGCAAGATAACGGCTGGTGCTCCTTGACAACCGGCGACACAAAAACATAGCACGAGAGATAGCGCGTTCCCATGGTTTGTTCAGACGTTCTTTTTTATTCTGCAATTGGCGCGCCCCAAAGTGGCTCCAGCGCGTTCTCACTCTTCTTCGCAACCAGCGCGCCAGAAAGTTTTCACAAGCGCATTCAAAACCTTAAGCTCGCGCTCACCAAACCCGTCTGGTTGCTTTAAGGCTTTAAGGTATATGGGTGTGGCTCAAAATTAAACAAGCGGGGGTACGCAGGTTTTGGCCCATGTTTCCGCTTGCCAGGGTTGAATTTTGGTACCAGTTTTTTTGAGCCACTGCCATATCCCACACCATCCAATTCAGGCCGCATGCTGTAGCTACGCCACACGCTTGCTATGCAGCTTGCCTCCGGGTAGCCCTTTCTGGGTGCAGCAAAACTATGGCTTTGTCGAGCTCGACAATGGTCAACCTTGACTGGTCCATGCCGAGGTTGACCCTTTGCAAGTGCTCGCACAAGCCTATCCTAAACCCTAAGCCAATCCCAACATCAAAGAGTGTGCGCGGGACCCTGCCCTCCCTAACAAAACCCGCCTCTTTGCCCTCATGGCACGCTGGTGCCAGCGCATCTTCTCAAAGGCGCAAAAAAGGAAGCAATCGAAAAGCATCACATCGAAGAGGTATGTTCCCCAAGATGGGACAACCACCCCGATTCCAAGCAAAACCGGCACCTCCGCGCATGGAAAACCCCCCGTGCCCCGTCCCCTTCGGGGCGCTTCATCGCCGAGTGGTAGGCCACCTCGCTGGCACACCCCGAAGCCGAGGACGCGGCCAACGCGGACAGCGCCTGACCCGGGGGCCGCCAAGAAGGCCAGAAGCATGAGCGTGTTTTGTTTCGAGGCTCCCCGTTTTCAGGTTGGTATAAGGGGGGGAACTCTAAAGAAAAGCACGGCCGGGATTTTGAGACGCCTAGTTTGGACACCTACCCAAACAAGTGAAGTTGAGTGCCAGCTTCCAAGCCACATTGGTTGTTTGTCACTGGCAGGGTTCGCGGCTTCGGAGGCGCCTGATCCCAGGTGTCGGTGCAGGCATTCACCAGGCACGCCCAGCTCACGGTGTCCTGAGCACGGGTCTGTTTTCGATGCCACCCGGTGTTCTTCTATGCTCATGGCTTCACGTGGCCTTGAAGTGCCCCACAAGCCCATTCTAATCATTCAGACCTTGTATTGCCCTTGGGCTTGTTTCAAGGAAAGCCTCCCACGCCAGTTTCTTTGTTTGTCTGTTTTTCTTTTGGGGGGGTCGTCGGGTCCCGCTATTTGGAGGCAGGCGCGCTTCTAATCGCGCACCCCAACTCTCCATTTAGATTTAGCGATGTGTCAGAAGGATTTGGACCCGGCTTGGGCGTGGTCTCGAAAGCAAACGGATGCCAACTGTTTGGAGAGTTCCCTGGCTTGAACATGTCGTCCTGTTTGAGTCGCCTTTGTTTTGCTGAGGACCCCTTTTGGGAGTCGAAAGGGAGGCCAATGGGTTCCCCGCATGGACACTGAGACCATATTTCGCAGGCCCACACCCTTAAAACCCAACACCCGAAAGGAGGCTGCAAAATGGACGGTTGCTGGAGAATTTATTCCTAGAGGCGATGCAATTTCAGGTTGCCCCTGCGAGTTACCAAACGGGAGATCCACCAAAAGGAGATTCCTTCTAAACAAATGAGCCTTGTCTTTGGTTGGGGTGGGCTCCATGTGAATCAACCTGCAGGGGAAGTGGGTCTTTGGCAGCAGGGCCCCTTCAAACATTGAAAAAAACAATATTCCCGGAGATGCCTCAAAAAAGAAAAACATCGAGCCTCTTATTGATCGAAACCATGTAGGGGGGTCCCCCCACCTTTTTGAGAGACAAACCCATGTCTGAAAACCAAGACCTGCCCCAACCAATCCCATCCCCCAGCTTCCCAAACTCCAAGGCTTCGATCCCAATGCCCATCCGCTTCCATGGTGGCGAAACCTGGGGGTTGGACCTTTCAACCGGTCCATACCCTGGAACTTGGACCCATCTCCTCCCCCCACAAAAAAAGACGGAACAGAAAAAGGAAAGAAGGGAAAGGAAAAAAGAATGATGTCCGGCGGTGAAATCGATCCCCTCAAAAACCAGCGGGAACAAAAATAATATGTTTTCTTCCAAAGCGACGGGGCGTGGTCTAAAGGGGGCAAGGGGTTGGTTTCCCCATGTCGAGGCGCCGGGAAGCCCGCCGCGCCCTCGGAAGCGAAGCCCGCGAGCAGCCCCGCCGCCCCGCGCCAGGAGCCCCCGGAGCCGAAGGACGCGAGGCAGGAGTTCCCGGTCAAGACGTCGGGCCGACACCCCGCGGCCAGTCCTCCGAAAACCGGGGGCGAGTTGTTCGGTTTATGTGGCTTAAAACCAAGTTTTGCGTCAAGCATGGTTTGAACCAGACGTGTTTGAACCAGGGTTGGCCAATCTTCCCTAAACAACCTCCTTTGGCTTTCGATTCACAGAATGGCAGCCAGGGTCTGGTTGCTTAAACACTGCGCGGGGGACCTATCAATACAAAAAGGGCGCAGAACAAGACCGTGCAGTCTCAGGTTGTTTCCAAAGTGATCCGCTCAGCCCTGTTCGCTGCGGGCTTGGATCCCCTGCGAGCCCTTTGCCCGTCAACAGATGTTAAAATGAAATATCGGCCTGGGATGGGCAGAGACCTTCAATTGAAAATGGAAAGAACAAGCGGATCCAAACCAGCTGTCAATGATCAAACTGACCGCTTCAGTTTGGACGCCTCTTTGAGTGGTCAATGCCCGAGACGCGGGCAAGGAGGGCTAGAGCCATCCCCCAGCTGCACACGGAGATGGCCGAGTTGAAGGATACCACCTCAGGTCATATTTGCGGCGTGCATCTAAGGAACCTGCATGAAACTCTACAGGCAGTTGGGTTGCATGAAACTCTCAGGTCATTGCGTCTAAGGAACCATGAAACTTCTTACAGGAAGCTGGATTGCATAGTGGTTGGTCGGAATTTGGAAGGGAACCTGAATAGTTGGAGGATAGGTGGTGGGCAGTTGGGTCTTGTGGCATTTTGGGGGGGGGGGGGGGGGTATTTCACGAATCTTCACTTTCCAGGAGCTTGTTTCTTGAATTTCGACTATCCGAGTCTAAGCGAAAATGAAATATCAAGAATGCCCCAACATGTTCGTCTTCATGACACCTTGCAAATGGCCATCCAGGCGAATCCCCAACTGCCAACCCCCCAAAAAAAAAATGGATTTGTGTTTGCCCCTCGCTGATATGGATCCCTAATCCTCAATCGGAGTCTGCAATCTACGAGGGAAGCAACAATCTGCAATGACAAGGGTCACGGAATTTCCCCCTCAAAGGCTGCAAATGACACGCGATTTCCATCCGAACTGCTTTTTGGAGGCCCAAAAAATCGGGAAACCGCTAAACACCCATGGAAATTGGAGAGGTTGGAGGTGAAGGAAGGAATGACTTCGGAGCGGCGCCCCGGCTCCCACTTTACCGGGCGGCGTCCGGTTGGGCCCTCCGCCTCCCAAAGCTCGAGGCCAAGTCCAGCGCTCCCAGCCAGGCCCTCCTCACGCGAGCAGACGCCGCGTGGCGTGGCAGGCGCCGTGCCTTGTGCATGTCTGAGCCCTTGGCGCATGAAAACAAAGAATGTTGGGAGAAGAGGCGGCAATGGGGGGGAAAAAAAGCAAAGGTGCCAGCAAAGGTTCAACCAGGGTGACGCACAAAGAAAAGACGCCAATGATTGAAACGCATTGGCTGAACCAAGGGAATGAATCACGATTGGCTGAACCACGGCTCTTGACATATGCCGCAATGTTTGGAATTTCCAGCAACACCCATTCTCAAAATGGGCCAGAAGGTGAAGGGGTGGTTTGCCTTTGGCTTCCCGTAAACCAACCCCAAAGAGCCCTCCACCCACGCCAAAAAAAGAAAAAAGGCCGCACAGAGACGCCCCCATCTTTGGCGCACCTCCGCCTCCGCCTTTGGCGCACATCCGGTTTCAGCCCGACGCCGCTCCTCTTGGCATAGGCCGCCAGCATGGCGTTGTAGTGGAAGAGGTTCAGCGGCAAGCCCAGGGCCAGGACCTGGCAAGGGATTTCCCCAACAAGGACACCGAAAGGACACCAAAAGGACCAAAAGGACCAAAAGGACCCTGGCGGTTTCCAGCAACCTCTTGGGGGCGCCATATTCCTCGCAGGTCCCAAGATTGGATTTTCCCATTCTCCGGAAAAGGAACCGGTGGCCCCTGTTTTTTCGCAGTTCATGATGAGTGGGAAGCAAGCAACATGGGGGAAAGGGGCCAACAAACACCCGGGATGCCATCCTTTGCCGAAGCTGGGACATCTGTGGGGGGTTCTGGGAAACCAAGCGCGAGGCCAGTTGGACCTGCCTGAAACACAGCCAGTTGGCTATGACGAGTGGAAAACACCCTCAAGGCATGTTTGGTGGGCATAATCTCCCCGCAAATTGATGTCCCCAAATGCTCCCCGATGAAAATTCAGACCTAAGGCTGACCCTGGAGCAATTAACCGTGCCCCCCCTGGTTGACAACAGGGTGTGCCACTTTCGCAAGGAATCCACACCCCCAATTGCTCTGCAAGGGTATGAATATCAATTGGGGACCCTTTGGTGAACATTGAATTTGGGGATTTCTGTCCGATTTGGGGATTGGGTTTCCCAGCTACTGAAAACTTCGCCGATGAATCCTCGGTCAGCAGCCTCGGCGATGACGTCCGGCGTCGACGCTCGAAGGAAGGAAGTCAGCGCCTGGCTGGCTTCCCACCAAAACCCACGGCCCGACATGTGGGGTGCGTTTCTCGAGGGTACCCGTTTTGGGATTGATCGAAAGGGACAGCAAAAGGAAAATCGGCCTGACATATTGGGTGCGTTTCTTGAGGGTACCCTTTTTGGGATTAGTTGAAAGGGACACCAAAAGGAAAATCATAATTTGGGGCTCACCCATTACTGATACATACCCATATTGCACGCAGACCAGCCATGCCCAAGGCGCCCGGAAGCAAGCTACCAACCCGCGAAAACTGCAACCACTCACAATCCATGGCTACCCTCTTTCATGAGCTGGGTACAATTGCTTCAAAATCTGCAACCGCAGGCGTTTTCCCACTCCACGGAAAACCACTTCGGGTGAGCCTGGAAGGGGTGAAGTGCCCAGCTACCTTTTGTCAACCCATACCGACGACCTGGGTTGGGCCAACCCCCTTGCATATGTTCAAACTCCCTTCGTTGCAACTGTTCTTTTGGTTTGAGGCCGAGTCTGGCTGTCGGAACCCATGCAGCCCAACCGATCCCCCCACCCCCACTCCCCCTCCCCCCCACCTTGGGGTTCTTGCGCCATGCCTCCAGCTGTGAAACCGGCCTCGGTCGACCGGGAGCCCCACTTCCCGCTAGCATCTATTGGATTTCCGTCATGCCCAGAGGCAACCCCCTTGGTAAACAGAGAGGAAAGGATGAGGCGTCAAGGTTCACCGAAACAACCTCACCCTCACAAACGTGCAGTGGCCGCCAGGAAAGGTTTCTGGATTCAATGAGTGGGGATTCAGTGAGTGGAAGGGGCGTCGACTTCTCGCCCTCCCTCTCTCGTCCATCCCTTCATGCCTCACAGGGAAGACTGAGAGCTGGTATGGGTTGAAGCGCACGCATTTCAAGAGATCGTGCCAGATTCTTTCATGGCCCTTCAGGGGTATCCCTTGATTTCTGGGGATTCGTTCTTCTTTCAGTTCATTCAGACACCTTCAACTCACCAGCCGGCCGGGCCCCCTGGCACTGCCGAAGTTGAAGCCGCCATGCCCAAACCAACCCCCCCCCTTGCCCCGTGGGCCCCCCCCCCTCTCTTTGAGCCGAAGCGGCCAGAAATGGGCGACAAAAGACCACCCCCATCCATCAAAACCCCTCACGGCTTGCCAGCACCCGAGTTCTCTTGCACAACATCTCCCGCCAGATTCCCGAAAAAAGGCCGGGGGAAGATTCCCCCCACGGAAAGGCCGCCCGTGGGAACGTGATCCCATCCCATGTTTGCCGCTCGCATCCGCAGCCTGCGGCTTGCCATGGCCCTGATCTCTGACTTGAACCGCCCATTGGGTAGGAGTCTTGTTGAGGCTGCTCTTTTCGAGCTGGCTTCAGGGTTTCAACACCCTCTCTTGGGCGTGGAGTCCCTTCAACAGCGCACCAAGCCGCCAACAAGTGGGCAGTGGGAAGCACCCCCCCACCCCCCAGCTCGCGCTGCCAAAAGCGCAACGGCGCGTTTTGAACCCAACCGCGCGATAGAAGTCCTCCGGCGAGCGAGGGGTGAGAGGAGTTGGCATTGGGGGGTGGTGAGGGGCTGGCCTCGCCTACCCCAATTCTGGTGGCAACAAGCACTGGTTGGTTGCCTGTTGTGACGATGTTCGCCCGAAGGCGACGCGAGGGCGTGAAAAGCCCCAACACCCTCGCTCGTTGCAAACCCGCGGGATTCGGTTGCTTTCGGACCGGCTTAGTGCCTGAAACTAGGGTTCATGGATTGACTAGTGCCCAAAGATGTTTCGCTGGTGGCAAGTTGGTCGGCCTACCGAATGCACCAGCTTTGTCACTCTCTTCCCCTGGCATCTGGGCAAGTCGCTTGCAACAAGGCTAACTCCCAAAAAGAAAGGACATGTTGCAGCAGCAAATAGCCCGCCATCATTGCCATCATTTGGGCCATGTAGAAAATCAGAAAGGCGTCTTTTCAGTGGCATTGACTTGCCTCAAAGAGAGGCTTGTCCAAAATGCAAGGCCCACCTCAAACCAGGCAAGGCATGCTCAGCAAGGTGGTTGTAAAAGCCACGGCTAGAAACGAAGCCCCACTACCCTTTTTTTGCCAACCAAGTAACCCCCCCTGAGCAGTGCAAACCTATGCTCACCCCCGAGGCCCTTCTTTCTCAGTGTTCCTCACGTTCACCCTTTTCCTCTTCATCCCCCATGCCAAAACCCCCCCCCCAAAAAAAAAAACGAGGGGGAAAAAAAGAAAAAAAGAAGAAGAACAAAATCGACTCTGCCTACATTGGCCCTCTCCCACGAGGCTTTCAGAACCGCCGCCCCCCACTTCCCCGCGCCGCCGATCTCTCGGCGATCGCTTCCGAGGGTCGGTGGCCCACCGCTCCGTAGCCGCCAGCGCCCGGCGGCAGCTCGGAGGATCCAACGCAGCCAGGGCCGCGCAGACCAGCAGATCCCCCGTGGGCGGAACCTCGGGTCGTCAGTCTACCAAGTCACCCCACAAGTGGCAGGTAGGGAATGCACCGGCCAGTTTCTGGCTTTAAACCCCCAGTGAATGATCGACAGAATGACGCCAGGCATAGGGAGGGTCGTTAGAGCGTGGAAGGCGGCGGGGCTCAGTTAGGCTCTGAGAATCTTCATGGGTAGGGGGTTCCGAAGTTGATGGCCAGGCACCAACCCAACCCACAAGCCTGAAATAAGAGCTGACTTCTGACTTCTGCAAACCACTCACGAAGGTGCAAAACCAGAGAACGCGGCCCGAACAGAATCTCCTGAGCAAATTCTTGGTTGCAAACCTTAGGAATCCTTGACTGGTACCCAGCCATACCGCAGGTTTTAGTCCTTGGCTCCATGTACTAGGGTTCCAAAATGGATACCCATTTTTGACCCACAGCCAGTTCTTCTTCGGCTTCAAGGGAATTGCCTCCGCCGCCCAGCGCCGCCCACCAGCTTCGGCCTGCTGCGCCTCCATCCGCCGCAGCACTGCCAGAACCTGACGCCACGCCGCGGCCGCGGCGCACGCGGTGAGCGCCTGAGAGGCACTAGGCGACAGGCGGCGCCACCCGCGGGAACTCGGAACCCCGCGGACGGAGGCAGCTTTCGGTGCCGAAGATGGCGTCTGCTTGGCCCCCAAACCATCCCCAGAAAAGTCGCTTCGCACCTGAGCCCAGCGGCCGCGCTAAAGCTGAACTCGTTGGGCGCCAGCTGCACATCACTCATCTGGCTCCTCGGGGAAAGGGGAGACCCACAAAGTTGGCCGTGAGGTGGGCCAGTTGTCCTTCATCTTGGTATCAACTGCAGATTTGCTGGCCATGTCTCCCTCTCGAATCCCAAGTTGGGCCCGCCCTGAGTGAGTGTGCAGACAAAAGACACGTCCAAATTTGGTTGAACAGCAACAGCTGATGGTCAGAAAGAATTCTAATGAAATGCCATACTGTTGGTGTCTTTGGGAGGGAGGTTGCAGGGCCCCTGAAAAACCCGTGAAAAGCCATGAACCCTTGGCTCTAGCAAGATGGCTCGAAAGGTTTACATGGGGCATCACTATAGCCAGGCGGTGGAACCAAGCGCGTGCTGCACCCCGCTGGAACATAGCCCCCCAGTCTAGTCACCCCTAGGAATGGGGCCTGCGCTAACCCCTGGATGCTAACGACCCCCGGATCCCCTCTAAAATGGGTTGCACCCAAATAAATGCGGAAGTGCACAGGCCCCTTTTCCTGAGTCTTCCACAGAGGCCTGCACACTTAAACAAGCATGGATGAAAGGAGCACTTAAACAAGCATTGTTTTCCGGGCGGTCCCCCTGGGTTCCATGTCCTTGTCAATTATACAGGTATAGGGTAATAAACCCAGGGAATTCCACTCATTTAAAACGTTCAAGCCATTCTGGGCGGAAGTTTGCTCGCAGCTTCCCTCGTTTTTGGTCAAAATCTGGATTGGTGACTTGGAGGCTAGGTGGTTTCCCATTCACCCTCTACAAGAACCAGGTTCCCCCCCCCCCCAAGCGCCACCGATGCAACCCACCCATTGGGGTCAACCCGGGACCCGGGGGCCGACTGCCGACTGCTGTGAGGCGGCAGGAGGAGCAGCGCAAACGGCCACTGCCCGCCCTTCTCGCAGGCGCTGATGCTGGCGCTGAAGCTCACCTCCTCAGTTTCAGTGAAAAAAATGACAGGACAAGACAACATATGACAGGACAAAACATCACATGACAGGACAACATGTGCCCCGAAATGGCAATCGGCATGGCATGAAGCACATGGAAAGACCAACTCGCAAAACCTGGGTAACCCCGGCTGCTTTTTGATTTTGAGCCACAGCCGAATCAAAAAAAAATCAACTAGTGGCATCCCCACAAGTTGGAACCCTTCCGGAACCCTACGCGGAGCTGAATTGCGACTCCCCTGTTTGATCCATGGTCAAGCCCTCAGACAGGAAAGAGACCACCTCTTGAATCACATATCTGGGGTGGACATGTGTGCCAGGTCCAAAACTGGCTCTACGGCTATACAATTGGATTGGTGTTGCCCGTTGCCCAAAAAACCACATCTGCTTCCTACCTAGTTGGAAAAACACTCTCACACACACACACAACTTCTCCAACGAAAAGTAAGCCTGGCCCTTTTCTCCAGACAGCAACCAATACGAATCTTGGTCCGAACCAAGCGGCGGAGGTCCGGGCGCGGTGCGCCGGCATGCTGGCCCTCGGTTGGAGGTGTCCAAAAATATCGCCCTTGGAATGATGTTGATGTTCTCTGTTTAGGATTTTGGGGAGAAAAAACACAAAGGAAAATGGAAAGTAAACGCGTGGTTTGAAAACACTTTTGGGATATCTCAAGGTGCTCATTCTCCGGGCGCATGTGAATTTTCCTGGGGCACGAATTTCTCGTAACTTTACCAGAGCGCTTGTCGCTCCCTTTCTGCAAGAAACCCTGAGCTAGAATTGTGGCGTCTGCTTGTTCAATTTAGAGCTTCAACTGCGCCTTCCTTTCAACAAAACTGAAAAACTGTCAGGAGGGGAATGCACACCGTCTGGATCGGCTGGACCCGTCGCATTCTATGTGAGCAACAGACAATGCCACGTACCAAGCGTTCATCGGTGTAGTCCTCCTCTTGTTTTTGCGCTGGAGATTGGAAACGGGCTCCAGCTTGCACCCAAAGACAACCATGCACATCCTGGAGCCCATTTGTTACACCCCATGAAGAGTCACCCAATTCAAGGAACCCAGGCGCGTGGAACTTGTGTCAAAAGATCTGACTTCCCACCCTCAAAGAAAGCCTTCAAAAGGCAACCACTCTAGGGGTCCAGAGAAACGACATGAGTTCCTTTCTGTGCGCCCTCATGTTCAATTCAGGGAGAGAAAGGGAAAACAAAGATGAAAAAAACAGTTCGAGGGAAGTGGAAAAAAGACGCCTGCCCTTGCCCTTGGAGGAATTCCTTCTGGGCGCCCTCATGTCGAATTCAATCAAAGTGAAGGGAAAACCCGGCGCCTTGCCCTTCCTTGGCCGGGCAAGACGCAGCAGCGCCAGCGCTGCTTCCCAGGCCCCACACTTCTCACAGGCGCTGATGGCAGCGTTTATGCCCACCTGAATGTGGGTCAAAAATCTGCCGACGCCAGTCAAGCGTATAGATGGCAGTTCGCAACTTGGTCTTCCTTCGGATCTCTTATCAAAGCCGAAGGCTTTTGGGGCTGCCATTTTTTTGGCATGGTGCGCTGGGTGTCCAAAACCCTGTAATTGTCCAGTGTTTTTAGAGCTTGCCTGCTAAAAACCCGTGTTTTGCCTAGCCAGCATCATCAGGGTTACCTTGATGCTATGAATTTATCTCCCTTTTTTGCAGATACTAATGGTGTTTTGCTGTTTCAAGCGATGTTGGAATCGGCCTGTTAGGGGTCTGGGTGGGGCCAAGTGCAGTGATACGTTGAGGAACTTTTTGAATTTGCAAAAATGAGTGCTTGTTTTTGCAATTCCCCACCCGTACGGAGGAGCAGTTACTGCGAAACATCCCCTGCATTATCGTGTTTTTGGGCGTCTATGTTTGGGGTATTTGAAGGGGGTTGCTAGTATCTGCTTTTGATGGTTGATTTTGGGAAATATTAACAAATCCTAGTTTTTTTTGGACATTTTTGTGTTACGTCAATTTTGCAGAGATTGGGTCTGTTCCTGTACGTTGTGTGGTTGCATCCCTTGCATTTCCAGCATCTCCAGCATCTGGGACATGTTTCCTGTCTGAAAAATAGGAAAGTGCCAAGAAGGCCTTGTTGTGGCACTTTCAGACTTCCACGAAAAAGAAAAAAGGTCTTAAAATCCCTTGCACCCCACTGGCGTCGGCGGATCGCGTAGCGATTTCAATAGGTACCCAATATAGAACCCTGGTAACTGGAAACATGGGCTAAAACCTGCGGTTCCCTAGTGGTGGAATTTTGACCCATACCCACCTCGGTGTACAAAACCTTTTGATTGCAGGCCTTCGCACCCGCAACGCGTGGAAGTGGTCAGACCTTCCTTCGAAGAGAGGGGAGGGGGCACTCCCACAAAATCCCTCCGTGAGCTTGCGAGAAACTTTGCCCGCAGCCCATCGCAACGAATGTCCACCTCGCGACACGCCCAGGTTCTTCTGGCTTAAAAATGGGGAACTCCCCAAATGGAACTGTGATCTTCGGCTATCCCTTCCAAACAACACCACAATGGTTGCTTCAAGGCACACAAATACACATACAAATATATACCTATATCTAGAAAAATAGATGTGTATATATATATATATATATATAGGTATATAGACATATGTGTCTTTATGATATATGTATGTAAATATATGCGTATCAATGTACATTGTTTGTATGCACATCCAGACATCTTCACAACTACTTGGGGTCAGGTCTGTTGGGGCCCCCGGCCGTGTCGCGCGCCGGGGCTGCCACCAGCAGCGCCAAGGCCATCTGCCAGCGCCGCGCCTTCTCGCAGGCGCTCACCGCCGCGTTCCACGAGGTCCTCGGCGGCTCACGCCCTCGCGCCGCCGGAGTCGCGAGGTTCGGTTCCGCGGATGGAGGCGCGAGGGGCAATTTTGCGAAGAGCATCTCAGGGGGTCTGGGAATTACCCTCGAAATGTGATTTCCAGTTGGGGTGGAAAAAGTCATGCTTTCAATGCCAGGGTTGACTGTCTTTGGTGGGCAACCCACCAAACACAAGCAGATGTAGCAAAAAAGACTTGGTGCCCTTTCGTGCTTGGGCGGGCGCCCCACAAAGTCGCAGACATCCAAATCACCACAACTACCCCCGCCAACCTGCCCCCACCACCTCCCTCCCCCCCCCCCCCCAAACTACAGTAAGGCGCTGGTCAGCCAGGCTCCGGCGGCTCGTCGCCTTCAGCAGCGCCAGCGCCAGCTCCCACTGCCCAGCCTTCCTCGCGAGCGAGCCAGGGGGGGAGGGGAGAGGGGGCAGGGGGAGGGCCAAACCAATCAATATATATATATATACACATGTTTTTTGTGTAGCAATTTATCTGTATGTGTGCACATGTGTATACATGCAACTGTACACATACATGTGGATATGTACGTGGGTTTGTGTGTGTGCGTGTGTGTGCGTGTGGGGGGGGTTTTGAGGGTGCGCCTTTCTCCTTGGTTTAAAGAGACGCCAAAAGGAAAACCACACCTGTGATGCTTGACCCCCCCCAACGAAACTGAAGCTTGGTCCATCAACCCGGGGCTTTGAAGCCGCAAAGTCCACAACTAAACCCGACAGAAGAATTGGAGCCCCAAGCAAAGGACCATTGGTTTTTGTTCGCTCTATCGGACTAAGCTCGAAACCCAGAAAGGCAGATGAATCAACCGCTCAGTTGCCGAAGGACCCAAGAATCAGAGGTGAACCTCTTGGGATGCATGGTTCAGAAATGGACCAAAGCAGGAAAAGCAAAAAGTCAAAAGATTGGCTTTGGGCAAGGGAGACTGTGTTTCCCGGGAGTTTTCGCCCTCTTCCGGCGTGCCAAGGATCTCGCAGGCGCTGATGGCTGCATTAAAGCTCACGTGGTTCGCCTTCGCCATGCCTTTGGGCAAGCCGGAGCCGAGATGCCCCCGGCTCATGTCGCTTCTTCGGGTCCTTGAACGTGGTTTTTCTTGGGTCTACCCAGGCTTTTGGTGGATTTTTCCTAAGGTGTCCCAATTCTCCAGCCCGCTTAAAAGAGTGTTTCTGTTTGTGTCTAGGCGGGATGTGGTTTGAACAACTTTTTTTCCGACTCATAGGTCATAAACCCGTGAAGCATGTGAAAGGGCGTGCCAGGACACACTTGTGCTCACAAACCAACAAACCCAGGCAGGGCCAAGGTTCAGGTTGGGCCCTACTTCTGCCCCACAAAAGCTGTGGATGAGCCCCACTTCACGTGTTCCGGATACCCGGCAAAGACCCCCTGATGGAGAACATGGAACCCTGGCAACCAAGATTTTGGAAAGGAAATTCCCTGAGGGTTGGATTCCATGTCTCACTGGGTCCGTCGAAGTGACATCCCCTTTCTTGCCCTCTGAATTGTTGCTTTAGAGAGAAGCACGTTATTTTGACAAGCCCTCAAGCATTCACGTTAAGGGGTTGGAGTTTAAGCATCACCCGCTGGGCAAATATTGGAGCAATCTCCTTGTCATGTTCGGGAACATCTGGATTCCAAAGGCATACATGTCAAAATGAAATAGGCGCCCGTGACCGTTCCCAGCCCAAAAAAAAAAAAAAAACGGGTTGACACGGCTCCACCCCTTGACGTATTAAAATGGTCAAAGCATTTCTTGAACCTCCCCCCCCCCCCCCCCCCCCCCACACACATCTTAACCCCCCCCCCCACCCCACCCACACACAGAATCCACCAAACCCAAGGCAGCCGAAACCCGAGCCGAGAGAGCCGAGAGCCGAGGGCCGAGGGCGGCGCCCCACAAGAGCGCCAGGGCCTGAGGCCAGCAAGCAGCGCGCTCGCAGGCGGTGATGGCCGTACCTGAGCGGGGTGTGGAAGTGGCGCAGGGAGCTTTAGGACGTCCTTCCGTTTGCTTTTGACTCCAGGGCCAAACCCCCCAGGCGGCTTACGTTTTTCACTCAAGGGTTCCAAAGCCCCCCAAGCGGTTAAGAACTCCGCTGCCTGTTTGTTTGTTTGTTTGTTTGGCATTTTTTGACTCAAGGGGTTCAAACGCAAACCAATCCAAACCAATCCAAACCGGCTGAAAGCTGAGTGATGTTGGCGCGTGTGGCTGATTAGCCGGAATGGATGCGGATCTGCGAAATCATCCGGGAAAGGAAACTGGGAGAAAAGCAGCGCCAGGCGTGGTACCGAACCCACCAAATCTTCGAATCAGCCGCACTCAAAATGCAATTTCATGCGCCAAGGCCGCTGGGAATGCCGTGAATCCCACCTAACTCCTATGGAGAAAGTTCATTTTCCCCCCCCCCCCCCTCTAAACTCTACCTCCCCTCCGTCCCTCAGAAAAAAGTAAAGGAGCCATGGAAGGGACACATGTTACCCCAGCGGCTGATAGATGGCAGATGCAAAGTGCTTCCCATCCAACTTGGCTGTGGCTCAGAAAACCGGTACCAAAATGGGTTGCCCTGGTAAGTGGAAACATGGACCAAAACCTGCGTAACCCGTGTTTAATTCTGAGCCACACCCACTTGGAAGAATCATTGCCAACCTCACGTGAGCTCACCAGTTCACTGGCGCCCACGACGCTCATGCCCAGCGCGTTGAGGGCCAGCGCCAAGGACCACCTCAAGCGTGAGGGGGCCGGGGAATGGGGGGGGGAACCAGTGACAAAGCCCCACCCACCCGCCCACCCACCAACCCACCCCTCATCCCCCCTCTTAGCCGCACAGTAGATCCCACTTGCCTTGGAAGTGGCCCCCAATTTTACAATCCGGGGCGCTTCAATCGCAACCATCGGTTGTCAGTTTGGGTTGGCGCTGTGGCGAAGTGTTCCTCGTTTTGACACGAGCTCGCTTCGCTTGTTGACCGCGCCCCCGCCCCCACCCCCCCCCTCCCCCACCCCCAAATCCAGGCAAAGATGGCCCCGGTAGACGATCGAATCTCCAGGCCAAAACCAGGGCCCTCGATTTCAACCAAACCAACCAACAAAGGACACCTACGCCCATCCCGAATGTTCCGCAACGGCACCCGCCCAGCGCAGCAGCGCTGATGGCGGCGCCCAAGCCTCGCGCATTTTTTGGTGGCCAATCTGCTTGAGGTCAGGGCCCAAGTAGCACCAAAATCGGGTTGGAGCCCTCGCTTGATGTTATTTGTGTTGGCCGGGCAGGCCAAACAAGACCAAACGCTAGCTTCGCCGAACCGAACTGGACGAAACTGATGAACCGACACCGCACCATGTGCTGCAAGCTGGAGCCAATGCCGTGACCTAGTTCAGTTGATCAGAATGGGCGATCCCTAATCGAAATCCCAACCCGTAAATGGGGCACCACTATCACAACGGAAAACTCCATCTATGTGATATAAGGAGTAAGGAGTAAGGATTGATTTTGCTGAACCAGCCTATGGAAAACCTCATCCTGTGCATTTTGAGCAAAGAGGAAAGGGACTCCCCCAAGTGCGTGACCCTTTGAATGGGGCTCTAACCCATGGGTTCTGGGATTCCACCCGTGACCCAAGGATGTCCAAGGCTCAAACCCACGGGTTGGTTTCCGGTCCCCAATTGGCCATGGGACAAAATCCCCTACCCCCAGTGAACATCTCCCCACTAAAATAGACTAAAATGGGTGGTGCACCTACCCCAAAATGGGATCCCATTGGTTTTGACCCACATCCAAATTGACAAACCCCACACAACGGAGCCGACTGGCACGCCGAGGAGCCGACCGCGTCTGCCCTCGAGGCGTCGCACAGGCGCAAGGCCTGCCGCCAGCGGCCGCCACGCTGGAGTGCCTCGCGTCTCCGCTTCGGCCCCATCTGCTTTCCCATGTGCGTGTGTGTGTGTGTGTGTGTGTGTGTGCGTGGGTACAAACCACTTGGTTGCATTAAATTTCATATAGATATAGATACATATGTGTATATATATATATGTGTGTGTGTGTAAGAAGGGCAAACACAAAAGAGAAAACAAAAAGAAAGGGAATGAATATGTCTAGTACGGGCGCATGCATGTATGTACATACAGAAATGTGCATGCGTGTGCGCCAAATGAGGCCAAGTCAAGCTCAAACAAACATGTCCTTTGGGGTTGCAGCATTGGCCACGGTTGCAGCGAAACGCAGACGCCCCTGCCGCGAGGCTTGGGCAATCCAAAACCCACACTGGGCTGAGAAGCGCGTGCATCCAAGAGAAATCATGTTGTGATGGAGGTGCGCATTCTGCACGGCTTGGGGTTAGGATGAGATGATGTTCAGGCTGGCGTCCCTTGCTGCATTGTGAGCCAGCACGTTTCTGCATTGGCCGCTTGCAGGCTGAACTGGAGGCCCACCCAAGGATTTCAAGAGCAGTCCCTATGCACACAGGTCTTCGCATCAGCCATTGAATGCCGATCTGCCCAAAGGCTTCGGCAAGCAACCCACACGCCGCAGAGGCAAGCAGGGGACAAGGATCTAACGCCAAAGCCACAAACCGCGCACAAGTCGCGCATTTCTTGCTTGCTCGCTCCCTGCATCCCCTTCCCCAAGCACGTTTGCCCTGCTGGCACATGAATCCAACTAAGAATCATGGTGATGCACTTCGCCCAAGGCAAACCCATGGAGGAGTTGTACTTGAAGGTGGCCCCTCAATTCTCAGGAAACCTGGGAGGGGTTCATGGCCCATCGATCCTTTGCGCGCTCCGAGCCGCGGTCGCCGCGGCGCTCCGGCAGATCTGATTGGCGCGCAGGGCGGCCGGCCCCATGTCCTGACAACCGCCGGGGAAGGCTGGGGCCTTTCGCCACTCGTGAACAAATTTGGATTGATGATAAATACCAAAAAAAAAAAACATGGAAAATAACAGACCCCTCAAAAAAACAAAATCACATGGGAAAATGACAGGGGGTCCTGAAAGATCATGTTCCTTTTGAAGGGAACCGCTGTCAGGTTCCTTGGCAATCGGTGGGAGGGGATGTCTTTCCAAAAGCCTGAGAGTTCCTGTATGCTCAGGCTTATTTCAGAAACCTTGTAACAGCTTGTCAACTAAGTTTGACATGGTGTTCTTTGATTTCTTGCTCTATCTTCTTTATGTTAATCCTTTACTTGCTTGAACAAATGTCGCAAAATTGCTAGAAGGCAATAAACCGAAGGAACCCAAACAAAGGTCCCCTAAAGGAGATTCCTCGTACAGTAACGTGCCGGCTTGTGGGGGGTAGTCACCGCAAATGATTGCCCCAAATCATCGACATCCTCTGCATGTCTTGTGGGAGATCACAAAGTTTTGACAACCACCCCCCCACCCCCGCCCCCACCCCCCACCCCCCAGCCCTGCCACAGGAACACATCCAAATTCGCTCTGCGGAAACGTCCCACTCTCAAGCAGCCGAAGGAGAACCCGCTCAAGAAACCCGGCCAAGCTCGAGGTTGCAGCGGCCAACCTGTGACAACCGCCATTGAAGTTGGTTTTTCCTTGATGCTCAATGTGCCCCAAAATGCTCAGCAGCACCTGAGGGCAACTTGCGAAAAGTTGGCAAGCGCTTGTTCTGGATGTATGCCAATGATCCATCCCAAAATTGCCGAGAGTTGTACGAAAGAAGCTTGCATGTCCCAAACTGATCGCGAACCACATCCCTTTGCAAGTTGCTGCGATCTGATTTGACCAAACGAAACGTTAACCTCTATTTACAACCCTGGAAATATGACGGCCCCAAGTCAAACATCCCTTCTAAAGCGGCAGGTCGCCTCGCGCCTGCAACACGCCCGCCGCCAGCTGCCAACCGCCACTCACTGAGAAGGCAGCGATGGTTTTGCCCAGGCTCAGCCTGAGGCTCTCAACTAATGGTGACTGACATGGGAAATACGGTTCACTCGTGGTTGGTTTGGAGTTCGGCAGCAAAAAACCAAAGAAACCTAAGAAAAACTCCTTTGGTTGGAAACAGGCAACTGGCCATCCCCTGCCTCCCACTGCCATCCACCCAGCCCTCTGCTGTGCCTCCCCGTGTCAGGAGCACACTGCCGATGTGACCTTCTGGCCCATGCGTCCAGCGGCAAATTTATCAACATGATTCGAAACATCATAATGTTAACCCCCTATTAATCAACCCCAATTTATTAATAGGGGGTGTTCCTCCCCAGTGAACAACCCCCACTAAAACCAGAATTGGACACCCCCATATTAATAAACAGTGGCTTATTAATAGGGGGCGTTCATTAAAACACCGAATGAAGTGCCGTTAAATAACAAGCCAAATGGGAAGCGTCTTGAAGCCCGAATGTCTAGCATGCTGCTTCGCGTCAAACACCAAGACACGGAATGACCCACCCTCACCCTGAAAACCCGAACCTAAACAAAACCTAGACTAGTTCATTGGCCCGCACTCGGTCCACCTTCCCATTTCACAGGCCCAGAGGCGGGAGTTAACTTCTGCGATGCCGAAGTCAAAAGCCTTCCCGACGACTGGCTCTTCCCTAAAAAAGGGGGCTCCCTCGCATCACGGCAATGGTTCCCTCGCCCACCACCCACCAACCGCCACGTCCCACCCACCCACCCACCCACCCACCCACCCACCCACCCACCCACCCACCCACCCGTCACCCCGTGGAACCCGAGCCGCTCGCCCACGCGCAAGGCGCAGCGCCGCATGGTGTCCAGCGCCGTGGGCGCCGCGGCGAGGGCCTTGCGCCACGTCAGGACCACGCTGAAGCTGGCGGCGCTGGGCTCCAGCAGGGCCTGAGGCGTTTTGGTCGATGGGTGTGGTCCTTCTCAGGGAACCCCTTGTAGGGTTAGGGTTGTTAATGGGGAAACCAACAAGCAAACCGCATTGTTGGGGGGGGGTTTAAAATTTGTTTTAGGTCCTTTTTAGGGAAGGGTTTAGGGTTTGAGGGCAAGAGCAACCAAAAGGAAGGAAAACCAAGGGAACCTCTTGTGGGTTTGGGGTACCAGGGAAAATCTGAGGGCTAGAGTAACCAAAAGGAAGGAAAATCCAACAAAAAACAACCTTGTGGGTTTAGGGTTTAAGGGAAAATGAAGGGAACGTGTGGGGTTAGGGTTTTTTAACGGGGAAACCAAAGAGAAACCGCATTTTGCTGGGGGGGGCCCTAATCTTAAGAGAAACCCTTTGTATGAGCCCGTACGTGACCCCGTCGCTGCGGTCCAAGGGGATGAAACTGAGGTTTACCACTGGCGTTGAAGCGGAATACGCTGCTGGTCCACATGGAATCCAAGCAACCGATCCCATTGCTGAAAACTCCTTTTGGGGACCCCTTCTTGGATTTGACTCCAACCCGATATATCCCCGTTACACAGCCCCCCAAAAGGAAACGCGTCTTGAATTGGCCCAACAAGTGACACTTTCTATGAAAAAAACACCAACACGAAAATCAGGAGACCCAGGTCAGACATGGCAACAACCTAATTGCAACAACCTACAAACCAACAACAGGAGTAAAAGGACGCCAAAAAGGATACAGTCAAAACACGACGCATTCCGGGTTGCCAGAAAGTAGGAGCCCTTTTGGCCATCCCTCCTGTTTGCCAACCAAACAAGGCGTTTCTCAAAATCGGGATCCTCTAAAAATGTCCCCCTAAAGAAACGGGCCTGCTCTCGGTTTCGACCAAAACGGGCCCCAATCCACCGACCAACGCGCCTGGCCGAGCTCACCGACCAGCGCCCAGCCCATCTGCCATGCGTTTCCGCGCTCGCAGGCGGCGGCCGCGGCGTTGTGCACCACCTGGGTGTGTCCTGTAAGGTCCTTTTTCCCTCCAAAAAACATGGACCAAAACCGAAACTTTCCGACCCCCAGTAAACCCAAACAAAAATAATAGTGTTCCCTCCAAACAAATGGAGCTCAAGCCCTCCGCTCCCCGCCCCCCGAGGCGCATGGCTCGCCCTGCTCGCCGCGAAGGTCCCGTGGAGCGCGCGGCGCCAGGCGCAAGCGCCCAAGGCCGAGGTGAAACCTCGCTCGGGTATTGTTTGCCAGTTGGAGGATGTTGTGTTTTCCTTTTTGTTTGTTTCTTTTGTTTAGTTTTTTAGTTGGAGGATGAATTTGGGCTTTCTTGTTTTGATATGTCCGGAGCACTTTGGGCCACAATTCAGCACTTGGTGTCTTGGTGTTTCTAGTTTTTTTGTTTATTGTTTTGATTTTGTTGTTTTGGGTGTGGTTTCTTTATTCTTCTTTTTTTGTGCGGGGTTGGGGAATTCAAGGGCAACTTTGCGTGGAGGAAGGGGGGGGAAATCCAGCAGCTATTCCAACAAAAGGGGCCACATGTTTCAAAATACCCTCAACCACTGCAATTTGGGGAACCCAATGGATCGCAGAAACCCCGGCTTGATTCCCTCGCCAAATTCACATGGAGCCCGAAAAGGCTCTCCAAAACTCCTTGCATGGCGAGAAAAGCTGTGTGGCCTCCGTGCGCAAAACGTGTGCTTGCGCGCGAAACGAAAGTGCTTCAGAGGAGGACACCCGTTTCGTGGTCACAAATTCCAATGGGAGATCGGCAGGACGAGCTGCAAAATGTTCCAAGCAGGTCCACTGTTTGACTACCTTTCGGGGTTCTCCTTTTGGGGAATGAAACACCCCTCGGTTTCAGTCTACCGTGGGGGAAAAATCAAAACACGCAACTCTAGCTCTAGTTCCCTTCAATCATTGGCGCTCGCTCGCCTGGTGCTCCCGTCGGGCGATTGCATTCAGGCAGCCAGCGGAAGGTCCAAAGCACGATCGACACTGGCGCCTGGAAATCTCCATTTGAGTCATAATCAAAACCAGGGATTGGCCCTTACCAACCTTCATCTACCCGGGTTTTGCTTGCGGCTCATTTTGCTTCGCCCGTTTCCAGAAGTTGGGCGTGGCTCCAAATAAAATGGGCCCCAGAAAAACTGCGGATTCGAAAGATCTTGGGGGGCTGAGGGCCATGAGCGAGCCGTAGCCCTTGGCTCGCCTTGCCGAGCAGCTGAAGGCGTCTGCCTGCATGTGGGCTATGGCCATCTTCTTCAGCATCGACACGGATCCTGCCACGTGCGCGCAAACGCGTCGCCAACCACTCGACCATAGCGATGGGCAACTTGACATCTGGCTTCGCTTCTGCAGTCCTTGCCACTGCTTGCGGCTCCCCAGAGCGTGGATTTCCTTGTTCACGGCCACCCGAGCCTGGCTCATAGTGGGCCAAAAAACACCGACCAAGCCGCCTGCCAACCCAGGAAAAACAAAGACCTGCAAATTCACGAGGCGCCCTAAAAACGAGATCCTTCCTTTCGATCGATCTTTCTTTTGCACGGGACTGGGTTCATCTGCGCACCTGCAAATCAGTTCATCTGCGCACCTACCGTATGAGGGCCAACCGCGCGCCGAGAATTCCCTTCATCCGCGCACCTGACTGCCCCGTTTCCCCAGCGCCGCGCGCTTGAGGCTTCTGGGCTTGGCTCGCACGGTAGGCTTTAGGGTTCTGGATTTAGGTTTAGGGTTTAGGCTTGTGGGTTTCGCCTGGAAGAGGCTGCTGCTCACTACTTTCAACCCAAAGTTACAGACATGCGCCTGACAGCTAATGAGAAAGACCTTGAGGCATCAAAACCTCCAAGAACCATGAGTTGAAACACATCAAGTGCACAAACGAACCGATTTTCCAGGTGCACAGACGAACCGATTTCCAGATGCACAGACGACACGCATTCCTTTTTGCACTTCGATGCTTACCATCAGTGTGTCCAACGGAAAGCACCTCCTGAGACCGCTCCCAGCGAGCCCGCGCCTCCTTTGGGCCCAAGGCCTGTCAGCAAAGGCTTCGCGACTGCGGCAGGAAAGGTCGACTTACCCTCACTGGGAGCGGTTTCTTTGCACTTTTCCCGGAAGCATTGCGAAGGGTTCTTCTTCTAAAAGCGGCTGCCAACTTCACCTGCCAACTTCTCATGCCAACTTGTCGAGAGTTACTTCACCTGCCAACTTCTCATGCCAACTTGTCGAGAGTTACTTCACCTGCCAACTTCTCATGCCAACTTGTCGAGAGTTACTTCACCTGCCTACTTCTCATGTCAACTTTTTGAGAGTTACTTCACCTGCCAACTTCTCATGTCAACTTTTCGGCTGTTATCTCATTCTACTAAAAGCACAAGCTAATTTGTCGGGTGTTACTTCACTATCCTAAAAACACAAGCTAACTTTTCTGTTCTACCTTCACATCTCGACTCTTAATTCTTCTTCTTTTTATGGCGGGGGTAGGCCCGACGGGAGCTTACGAAACGCACCCCTCTGCGGAGATCGTGCGTGTCGAAGCGCTCTCGCTGTGGCGCCGTGCGAATTTGTCTTGACCTTGGCGAACCCTCTGCGGAGATCGTGCGTGTCGAAGCGCTCTCGCTGTGGCGCCGTGCGAATTTGTCTTGACCGGCGAACCCTCTGCGGAGATCGTGCGTGTCGAAGCGCTCTCGCTGTGGCGCCGTGCGAATTTGTCTTGACCTTGGCGAACCCTCTGCGGAGATCGTGCGTGTCGAAGCGCTCTCGCTGTGGCGCCGTGCGAATTTGTCTTGACCTTGGCGAACCCTCTGCGGAGATCCTGCGTGTCGAAGCGCTCTCGCTGTGGCGCCGTGCGAATTTGTCTTGACCTTGGCGAACCCTCTGCGGAGATCCTGCGTGTCGAAGCGCTCTCGCTGTGGCGCCGTGCGAATTTGTCTTGACCTTGGCGAACCCTCTGCGGAGATCGTGCGTGTCGAAGCGCTCTCGCTGTGGCGCCGTGCGAATTTGTCTTGACCGGCGAACCCTCTGCGGAGATCGTGCGTGTCGAAGCGCTCTCGCTGTGGCGCCGTGCGAATTTGTCTTGACCTTGGCGAACCCTCTGCGGAGATCGTGCGTGTCGAAGCGCTCTCGCTGTGGCGCCGTGCGATTTTCTTGCTCGCGAAACGGCTTTTGGAAGTTGTCTCGTGGTGCGCGCGCCTGCTTTCGCAATCCCGCGGTCCCGGGTTCGATTCCCCCCTGGTCCGCGGCAGCTCCGGCTTGAAAATCGCAGCTTTTAAGTACAAACGTAGTACGCGGAGCGTGCTCCTGCAGCTCCGGCTGGAAAATCGCAACTTTTAAGTACAGACGTAGTACGCGGAGGCTGCTGCAGCTCCGGCTGGAAAATCGCACTTTTTAAGTACAGACGTAGTACGCGGAGCGTGCTCCCGCAGCTCCGGCTGGAAAATCGCAACTTTTAGATACAAATGGCTGGAAAATCGCAACTGTAAATTGCAAATGTAGCACGCGGAGCGCCTCCGCCGCTCCAGCTTTTTGAGGGTTAATTACTTCACCTGCCAGTTTCTCATGCCGAAACTTCGAGAATTACTTCACCTGCCAGCTTCTCATGCCACCTTTTCGAGAGTTACTTCACCTGCCAACTTCTCGTGCCAACTTTTCGAGGAGTTACTTCACCTGCGAGCTTATCATGCCAACTTTTCGAGAGTTACTACACCTGCGAGCTTCTCATGCCAACTTTTCGAGAATTACTTTACCTGCCAACTTCTCATGCCAACTTTTCGAGAAATACTTTACCTGCCAACCTCTCGTGGCAACTTCACCTGCCAACTTTTCGAGAATTACTTCACCTGCCAACTTCTCATGCCAACTTTTCGAGAAATACTTTATCTGCCAACCTCTCGTGGCAACTTTTCGAAAAATTACTTCACCTGCCAGCTTCTCATGCCAACTTTTCGAGAGGTACTTCACCTGCCAACATCGCCTGCCAACTTTTCGAGAGTTACTTCGCCTGCCAACTTCTCGCGCCAACTTTTCGAGAATTACTTCGCCTGCCAACTTCTCATGCTAACTTTTCGAAAGTTACTTCACCTGCCGGCTTCTCACGCCAACTTCACCTGCCGGCTTCTCACGCCAACTTTTCGAGAGTTACTTCACGCGCCATCTTCTCGTGCCAACTTTTCGAGAATTACTTCACCTGCCAGCTTCTCACGCCAACTTTTCGAGAGTTACTTCACCTGCCAACTTCTCATGCCAACTCTTTGAGAGTTATTTCACCTGCCAACTTCTCATGCCAACTTTTCTCTTGAGTTACTTCGCCTGCCAACTTCTCATGTCAACTTTGCGAGAATTACTTCACCCGCCAACTTTGCCAGCCAACTATTCGAGAGTTACTTAACCTGCCAGCTTCTCATGCCAACTTTTTGAGAATTGCTTTGCCTGCCAACTCCTCATGCTAACTTTGCGAGAGTTACCTCACCTGCATCAACTTGCCTCTATGCTTCCGGGCCACTCGTCGTCTAGTTTTATAGCCCGTCTGGGTGATACCTTGAATGCTCAACAGTCGGAACCACCAGTTGTGCCTTGTTGCGGGCGTACTCAAAAATCAACAAAGCTTGCCCGAAAGCTAGCGGAAACATGAAATAACCCTCCCCCCTCGTTCCCTACATTCTCCTTTGCACGCTACCAAACTAAATCATGCCACCCAAAGGTGATGTTTAAGGTGATGTTTAAACTATCCAAACCTGGGGAATTTCGGAGAAGCCAAAACATGTCCGCCTGGAACGCCGGAGGGGCCATTGCTGCAACGCAGACGTCGCCGCATGGCGACTTCCATGGCGGGGCCAAACGTCCGGCTCAATGGGGATGATTCCCAATGAGCCACGGTCAAACTAGTGGACATGGGAAATTCCGGGGCTCGTTTGAGTGAGTCTCGAAAGTCCTTCCTGAATGAACTGTGGACTACTTCAAGTTTTCAAGCGGCTTCTTCACAAAGGCAGGGGTGAGGCGTTGAATTGACTTTGTTGTGCGGCACGTCGTTGAGCTTCTGGGGATCTGTGCTGGTTTCCTTTCCGCAGCGCTGATTCCCCAACAAGGACCCCCGCGCAACCGCACAAAGGAGCCGGAGTTCCCAGCTTCAAACATCACCCCACCTAGAGGAAGCTCAATTCACATCAGCCCAAAAGGTGATGCTTGAGGCCGCCAGAGTAGCGTCGCAGCCTAAAAAGTTGGGCATCGAGGACGATGGACCACAACGCTTGTGCCGACATCAGCCAGTCACATCTGCTTGGACCAAAACATTAGCACAGTACCTCCAGATACACTTCTCCTCAGAAACCAACCTTGAAAGTGATTTGGGCGATCCAAGGGAAGCATCCTGTTCTGGAATGCTTCCCGGGAGGGTAACAAGCGGCTGGCCAAAGCTGGAGGGGCCGCGGCGATTCGACCTGGCCCTTGAGTTATCGATCGAACACGGGCCTGGCCATTCTGCTTAGTATTTAGCACTAAAAAAGAGCATGTGATATCACGTGAGCTTATGTGTTTTTGTCTTCTGGGGTCTGACGAAGTCATGGGCGAAAAAACAGGGTGTCCTTCCACCCTCTGTTGTGAGACAAGTTTGGCACCTCCAGAAGATATGTTCCCAGTCAGGTTGTCATTGAAAAAAGACACCCCTGCGTCAATTTGGCAAAAATCAATGGCACTAATACATGAGTGGGACCAAACCGAATCACCAAACTGACCTACCACTTGCGCCTGTGGTCTGCCACTCGGCGCCCGGCGACTCACTCATCGCCTTGATGCGGCGGTCGATGGTGTCCCTGGCGCGTTTGGTGCCTTTGAGATGAGAAATGGTCTCCTCCACTCCCCACCTCGCTGGGAGAAATCGAAGTTTGGTTAAACGGCCAGCGCCTGAGGAAGCAACAGCTTAGTTCCGAATTCTGGACGAGTTCCACAACCTCTCAAACCAAAATCGTTGGCAGCTGTCGAATTTTATACGGCATTCTCCAACAGCCCCGAGCGATTCCTACGCACCCCTCCACTGCCCCAACCCTAAACCCTAAACCAGCTAACCCTCAACCAGCCGCAAACCAGTTATAAATTATATCATCGCCGACGGCAGACCACTTAGACTCAGTAGCGCTCCTGTTCCAGGGCCCTCCTGCTTTTAAGTGAGGGGGAAGCTTGCCCGTTGACAGCTTTGTCTGCGCCTGGCAGGACCACACACTCAATCATCTGCGACAGCAATGGGCCTCGGCACATTGTCCTTCAGCGCACCCTGCACGGCATGCGGCTGAGATTTCTTTGCTTGGGTGCTAACACCCGGTTCCAGCACCCCCCCCCCCCCCAACGACTGGTCTTTGGACAGAACTTTGGGATTTGAATGTGGGAGAAAGCAGCCGTTGGAGGGCTGGTTCCCATTTCAGGGCGCGAAGACCTTTGGTTGCCCTTGTTTTAAACAACCTCGCCGCTCTTGGGGACACAGCAATCAAAAGGATTCTGTTGAACAACGGGCACACCTACTTGTTTTTGTTCCAAACGGACAACGGTTGGGTTCCCGAATTCTTGTGAGACGTCGGATTCTCCTGGGCTTGCTTCCCTCTGGTAACCCTGACAGTGTTACCGCTTCCTGGAACGGCATCCTCAAGCAGCCGCGTATGCCTCATCCCTCCCCCATGTTCCGCGAACAACCCTTCTTGACTTCGCCCGGCGTTTCGCAGCTGACCTCTCCCCCAAATGCCCTCGACTTGTTAGTGGCTCATTTCAGTTGACACCTGTCACCTGCCACCTTCGGAAGGCTAGCAGCCGGCGGCTGGCCTTGATGGCATTTCTCAGCATGCGGTTGACCGTGGAGTCGGGCCCTCCTCCCTCGCGCACCGCTATCATCACAGTCCTGCGAAGACCCCAAACCCAAGATCTATGCTCAAAAGGTGGCTGGAAACAAGGTATTTCCGTGTGGACACACCTCCAAGGTCTGTTTTGCAACCACCTTGTTGTAGGAGGTGTTTAGGGCCCCCCAACCGTTGAGGCGTTGTTTGGCCTTGCGGTCCTTCACGGGTGGCTTGAGCCTTTAAAACAGCCCGCATTGACTGTCGCACAGCCTTGGTGCATTGTCGCTGTGCTCCCCACCAGCTAACATGGAAGTGCACAGACTCCTGTAGAAAGACTACTTTCCGCTTGGAAAGGGCCTTTTTCCACTTCCATGTTAGTTGGTGGGAGGGTCTGCATACGGAGCTCCGTTCAGGTGAATCTCACAGGACGGCCGAAGAAAGTCGCCATTCAACCGTCCCGTCGAAGCCATCCCCAGCCCCAGCCTCAAGTGCTTCGCCGTGACCTTGGCCTGGCGGAAACCGCAAAACGCGAGGTCATTCAACACGAGCCTTGAAAACCAGGTGTGGTTCGCCTGCGACCGTGACGCTGTGGCTTCATATGTGGCTTGCAAGATGTTCGTGCTGATGCTGGGTGAATTTGAACGCTGCGGAAAGGCTGCCTACCCCCACCCCGCACACCCACCCACCCACCCACCCACCCACCCACCCACCCACCCACCCACCCACCGCCAAACAAACGGCACCTTGCATGTGCAACACGCATTCTTGGTGAAGGCAAGCATTTGCTCGGCTATTGGGGACTATTGTGTTGGACCCCCTGGCCGACAAGAGTGGATGAGGAGCAAGTGTCCAGCGTGCAGCACTTCTCAAAAGATATTCCACACGCGAATCACCTTTGGTCAGAGCGGAGCCCGCCACGCCGCTCACCTTTGACCCGTCTCCTGCGTTTACTTTGCTGAGGGTGGACCATCCCCGCCCAAGTCGAAGGACATCCTTCGGGCCGAGGCCGAGGAGCCCAAAGAGCATCCCTGCCGACCTATGCGTCGACCTCTCTTGGTGCAGTCACTGGGCCAGTTAAACCTCATCTTTACCAGCTGAGGAACCCTGTCGATGGGTTCTCACCTCCAGGTCTTAGGTGGGTCCTTCCACATTTTCTTCACGAGAAAAGATTCTGAATCCGGCTTCAACCTGCCGATAAACACGGGGCGGTATTCTGTTCAAAGATGGGCCCAAAAAACCGTTCGGCCTCTGAAACTCTTTCAAGCCCTAGCTACAAGTTGACAGGTACACGCTGAAAGAGCTTTCGCCGATTGAAGTGGAAGCTAGGCCTATCCTTCTACATGATCGCTATTGGAGACCCTTCCCCCCCCTCCTTCCCCCCGGCTTCGATCCAAAAAAGGACACCCGACCCCAATCAAACAAACCTCGCCAAAATTCCCAAATCAACAGTGGCCAAAAAAGGCCCTTTCCACTCAAAAAAATGCCCCCCCTTTGGAAAAACGTTCCCCAAAACGGGAGACACCCCGCTCGGAAGGGCGGCGCCTGCTTCCGCTCCGCAGGCCTCCCAGAACCCCAGGCAAAAGGGCGGGGGCGTGCTTGGGGGAGCCCGGTGGGTGAAGGAAAAAGAAAGGACCGATGAATTGGCAGTTTCTGGAAGAAGATAAAAATTGGGGGGGGCGGTTCCAACAAGTAGACTGGTAGAGGTTGATAAAAAATGGGTGGGGAGGGGGTCGTGAGGCCGTGAGGCTTTGTTTTTTTAATGGGGGGCGAACCTTCCCACTTCCAGGTGCGCGACATTGGCAAAATGAACTGCTGAACAAATAAATGTAAATTGCATGCACGAGCCAAGGCCGGCAAGAGAATAGATTCGCACGGCAAGCCAGTGGACGAGTTCCGACAAATTACAACTTTTGGAGGAGCCCAGTGATCCCAGCCACCCGAAACCCTTGCTCAAGGCCAACTGGTAGAAAGCTCTTTGGGTTTGAGCGCCTTTTCTGAAGCAGGCTGGGTACGGACAAGCGTCCTGGAGTACTCGGGCCCCCAGGCCCCTTCTTGCCCAGGATGTTCTTGTAGAAGTTGCGACCCCGCGCCTCTCCCGGCCCAAAACTACTCATGTCAAAACTCCCTCTTTTGCCGTGTGTTCAAGGGTTGCCAGATCTTTGGCTGGGCAGGAACAAGCATGACATCCACGGCGTATACCGTCCATCCACCTCCCCAACCTGGGCATCTGCCGAAGTGTTCCGAGGCTGCCGCAATCGTTCTCTGGCCCTGGGCGAAACTCAGAGCCGGGTCTGAGCCCCATTGGACCTTTGATTCTGCAGGAGCTTCCTGTGGAAAGAAAAGAAAAATAATAGATTCATATAATATGATTCATATATATATTTAAAAATAAAAAAAAAATCACTGTCCTGAGAGCTGTGGTTGCACAAGCCTGGTTTTCCAACGAAATTGAAGGATCCCCTCTTGACATGGGCATCCGTGGCGTTCACACCCAGTGACCCCCACCAACCCAAGGTCCGCACGTCGCGCGCACGGAACCCGCTGGCGCCCAAGAGGCCTCAAAGGCGACCCAAGATGCGGGCAAGTAGATGATTAGACCCCCAGGAATCGCCATCTAATTTTTCGACCAACACAAGCAAAAAGGACACCTATGGTAGTGCCAAACGGTTGTTGCCATTGGTTACTTTCATCCAAAACCCCCCTCCCCAACTTCCCCGCCCTGGTTTCCGAACATTGGTTGCTGTAGTGGGGAAACCGGAGGGCAGGAGGATTTCGAGAGGAGTTCGGTTGAGGCCTGATTATAAGTTACAGCAACTATCAAGAAACCACAGCGGGCACCGGAAAAAAAAATGAAAACAAACCCCGGTCACCCTTGAAATGAGGTCATCAGTCATGCCTGGCATCCTAAGTAGCCCGCAGCAAGGAACCAAAAACAAAGAAGAACCGTGCCAGGAACGTCACCGTCACATTCCCGGGCGCGCATTAAAAGAGCGCCCTCGCCCCAAGAATCCAAGCTGCTAAACCCGTGCACACCCCGAATGCTACGTGCTTACCTCTTAACGCCCCGTCAAAATTTTCCCGCCAAGAGCTGTGAGATATCAAGCTGAAATCTAAGGAGCCCTGTTCAAAAGCAGGCGCTTTCTCGCAGCCCAGCCACCCAGGAACCAAAGCCTGGCATGGCCAGAAGCGCCGCAGGAAGGCGGGTTCGGGCACGGCTCAAAGCCAGGACCCAGCTGTTACGCGCACACACCCCCACACAACACACACACACAGAAGCCCGCCCGCTAAAATGACACAAAGTTCTAATGGGACGAATGGCGAAGCAAACCAACCCACGACGGGGCACAGCATACTTTCCTCGGAGACCCCGAGGACCACTCCCCGCCTTTGGCCCCAGCCCTCCGAGACACTGCCAGCCTGAGCGCTGGTGCGGCTACGCAAGCCAAGTGATCAAGACTTTGACTTGCCTCCAAAGCTTTCCCATTTTTGTGCTGTGAAAATCATGGGTGGGAAAACGTGACAAATGATCATTCGTTCGGTTTTAGCTGATTCGCACGAGCTCTACCACTACGTTTGCGTGATGCGTGCCGGTGGGAGCTCCGGCAGGCTTTGCCGGCGACGCGGTCAAACCAGTGGAGGACCTCAGTCCAGCGTGCTGGCTTGACTCTCTTAGTTCCCAGGCCAATCCGTCACACGAAAGGGGGGAGGGGGGAGGGGGGAGGAGTGGCCTATGCACATGCTTCATACACAAGAGGCTCCCGGCCGGAGGCTTCCATAGGCCGCCCGTATGGGCCAGGCTGGCCTCGTGCTAGCGAGCCGCTGCACGTGCAGAACATCCCGCAGACGTTGACAGGTGTAGCATGTGTCCTTCTTCACTACCAATGTTTGGTAGGAACTGTCACAACTGTGTAATCAACAAAATACTGAAGGAGTTTCCACCTTCTACGCCCATAAAGCCCAACCCAAGCTCCTGTCAGGCGCCCCCGGCCTCAGCGCAGAGCTGGGCAAAACCTTGGTCAAAACATAGCACACGGTTTCCCCCAAGGATTGAGTGGGACTCCCCTTAGATTCCGTCGTTGGCCGCTGTCTGGTACAAAACAAACGGACGCCGAAGCCGTACCAACACGAGGTTGAAGCCTCCACGGCCGCCATCCTGCCCCTGGCAACTAGCCTGGGTTATGAGCCATGACGCAAAGAAAACAAGCGAACCCTTGCAAACGGCTACGATCAACCAAACTCCCCCCCCCTCTGATAAGCGAAAGAAAGCAGGCACACGACTGCGTTGTCAAGCTGCTCGCAAAGTCAATGCAGGAGGAACGTGGCAGCGCAATCGCGAATACACGGCCCGAAAAAAAACGACTCAACCCGAGCGTCCCCGCAAGGAGGGCCATTGAGGGGAGCCGGGCCAAGTTGGGTGCGCAGATGCCCTCGACAAGCAAAGCTCGTGCCGCCCCAAGCCTTGGTGTGGGGGGGAGTGCATTTGCCTAAGCGGTGGGACACGCACCGTGACGCTTAGGGGAGCAGGTACGAGGATGTGTGGGCGTGCTGCAAAAGGGGTAACCGCAAACAGGCGTCACCAAGGCGCTAGGAGCTCGCTGAGGTCGAGCCCAAGACCGCCAAGAGCCGGCCAGCCCTGAGCCTCAACACGAGGAACGCAGCTGACGCAGCAGCTGTGGCAAAGCGGGCGGGAAGAAGCATTACGCCCCTGCCATCCACTCAGCGATGCGGCGACACGAGCGTAGTCCGATGGCGAGCGACGCGCCGCTCCACAAAGGCCATCTAGCGATTTCGAAACGTGCGCAGGCTCCCGATGGCACCAGCCTCCCAGCACACTTTGGCGGCAGCTTGTTCGAGTGGGACACTGTGCGCGCCCCGACGCACGGCCGCAGCCGCGGCAGCATGCCGCCGGCGTTCCAAACACGAGCCGTGTTTTGCACCCGCGTTTCCATTTTTTCTTGCTGATGGTCCAGTGCAAGCAATCTCTGTGCTACCTGGGTTCCTTGCTGACGGCTTCGGGTTTCACCGCCCCCGTGCTGAGCAAACGTATTGGCGCTGCAAGGGTCAAATTTCGGACAGGCAAGAAGATTCATATCTTGCATCGCCTAGAACGCCGGAGCGTGACCCCAGAAGCAGTGTGGACCGAGCGCGCCGATTGGTGCATCACGGCGGGAGCTGCCACCGCCCCCTTAGCCCCAGGGAACGAAGAGACTTTGGCCGAGCTCCAGGGCGGCGCCTTACGACTTGCTGCGCCTGCTGCGTCGGGAGGTTTTCGTGGCAAACCTTCGCTGGGCAAGGAAAGGGGCTGCGGCAGGCCCGTCTGGGCTCACCGCGGAAACCGCCCGGCTTGCTCAGGACAGCCCAGCTCTTGGCGCGTCCGAAATCCCAGCCTGTTGTTGCTCCTGCGCTCGACCTGGGTCGCTCGAATCGCTGCCTTCTTTTCGTGCGTCAGTTTTACTTTTCGCCTTCGGAGTTCGTGTAGCACGATGCGGCTGGTCACCCACACCACGTTACCCTCCGAGCATTCCTCAACGTTACATCAACTCATCTAGCGTCGCGAGCGCCATGGGCGACGCGGTGAGCGCAGCGCTGGCTGCCGAGAACTCGCCCAGATGGGCGAGCGCTGCGGCTCGTTCCGCGCGGCGCTGGCTGTCGTTGTTCGCCGAAGCGTGTCCGCGCGAGTCGGGGCGCGGCTCGTCCGCCTGCAACAAGCAACGACACTGCCCGGCCGCCAGCAGGGCCTCGCGCCTATCCAGCTCGTCATGCTGGACGCGGGTCTCGCCCCGCAGGCGGTGCAGTAGCATCCGCGGAGCGAGGAGGAACAGCTTCCATCCGTCGCTGGCGCCGGGGTCGCTCTGCACCTCCGCCAAGCCAGCAGCCATGGCGTTTTTCAAGGCGCCGCGCACACGGCCAGGGAGCGACTGCAGGGTGTTGACCCTCTTGCGCAGTTCCTCGGCAGGTCGACTTTTTGCATGGCCTCCAGCGCGACGCGCGGCGGCAGCGGCGCGGCGGGGACATGCGCAGACTGCGCGCCAGCCTCGCCTGGCTCGCGCCTTGGCTGGCGCGGGCGGCGGCGGCAACGGTGGGCGCGGCCAACGCGGCCGCCACTGCCGCCACCGAGTCGTCCGGCTCAACGGCGTCTGTTTTGGCACGGGCGGGCCCACCCCCGCAAGCACCGGCTGCGGTGCAGCAGTTGCTGCGGACGCTGCTCCGACAATTTCCATGGCGAGGCTTCCTGGAAGGGGGCCAGCAAGTGGCCGTCGGGGGCCTGGCACCGAAGGCGCTTCGTCGCTCGTGTCGGCAAATGCTGCGTGCGGCCACAACTAAGCAAGGTTGGGGAAAGAGACGCGCGGCGGAAAAAGGTCCAGCCTTGCCAGGATGCCGCGAGAGAGCGTTGCGCGCGTTGGTGCAGGCAGGTCTCGCGGCGACGGAACAAGGCGAACTCCACATACCCCGGGCGGCGGAGGAGCCATGCGTCGAAGCCGACGCAGCGCCGCCCGGGGACGCATGCCCGCCCACACCAAAGTCTTCGGTGGAATTGGTCGAGCCGACGCCGGCTTGGGCACTTCGCGGGCCGCCCGCGCCATTGCCTCCAGAAGGCGCGGCGCGGTCCTGGCTGTTCGTGCCCCTTTTGTTGGACGCGGCCGGTCAGCTCCAAGAGGCCGCGTCTGCGCCACGTTGGGCGCACACTGGGAGACCTGGCTCGCGCATCTTCGCAGTGCGCCTGCTGTCACCCTGGGCCAGGCTCGCGCGGCCGTTGTCCTTCGCCCTGAGCGCGCGCCCCGTTCAAAGTTTCACGAGTGGCTGGCTGCTGGCGGCTCCTCCACATGCGCCCAAAGAATGTTGCTAATGCGTGGCGCAACACCGTCCGCGTTGGCGGTGGGCTGGACAGGCGTGGCCAGCAAACTAGCGGCATGGCCCCTGGATGCTGCGGCGGCGAGCAAATAGCACCATCTCCTCACGCAGGTCGCGGTCAGCGAGCGCACTGCGCAGCCGCTCCGGGATGGAACGGGCCCGTGCCCTGGCGAGCAGCCGGGCAAAGTCCACGGATTTGGCACTCCACCGCCCACCCACTTCAAGGGCTAGAACGACCAACCGGCAGCGAGACTGCGGCGCCGGGGTATGCGCGCTCCTTGGCCTGGCGTGTAACGCGCAACGCTGCTCCGGCGGCTTGGCCGGTGACACAAACGTCGCGTCGACGGCGATTTGCGCACCACGTTGGCTATGACCTCAATCTGGCGCTCATCGCCCGGGGCGGCGCCCACATTCAAGCCCCGCACAGGGGTGGTGTCTGTGGTGACCAAGACCCCTGCCTCCCGGCACACTCGTGCAGCTCCAACGATTACCAAGAGGGTCATGCAAGCTGTCACGGGAACAACGGGCAGGCGCGCCAGCAAGTGAAGGGAAGCACCACTGCGGTCCGCAAGACTTTCACTGAGATGTGGTGCGGTATTGTGGTCATCGACGCACGACAAGCTGGCGGAAAGCATGGCACACAATCTAGGGGCAAAAACCTGCATGGCAGCTGCCCAGGATGACCAAGCAACAACGGTAGGTCCGTTCCATGCATGAGGGGCGCGATGGTCGCGTCCTCCTCAATTCGCCTGTCATCAAGGCCAAGTCGCGCACACGTTGGTCGTGACCCAGGCGGCGGTCTCACGGCAAATCCGGGCAGCGGCGCGATCAAAGCGCGCGTCCAAGATCGGGGTTAGGGTGGAGACGGCGTGGTCCGAAGCATGGAGAAAACCGGCGTTATTATGTGTCGGAAACACGCGTGCATTCACTCAACGGCGTAGCGTGCCAGAGTTCGCGCGTCCCATTTGTCACGTGTCACCAGACGCGAGGCCGATGAATGAATGACCGTTTTGCGGCGCTGCGCATCTGAGCCTCAAACCCCCTCCCCCGCGCAGCAGGGCTCGCAGGAAAGGCTATTGAAGCCGGACAGCCTGCATGAAGCACAGTAAGGGGGGCCCTTCGCCGGCCAGGCAAGAGGGGTCGGCGAGCAAAGTGCTGTAGGGCAGCAGCGCCCCGTCCACGCTGCGGCCTTCCCCAGCTCGCCTGGATGACGCAGCAAATAGCATGCGCACAAGGGGGCCACCAGTGGATGCAAATGCCCTCCTAAAAGCCCTTCCTCGTAAAAACGTTGCCTGCGTAGCCCGCAAAGTTTGGCCCCGCGGCACAAGCGCAGGCAGGCACCAGACACAAGGCACTGAGAGGCCGGGCATACACAAAAACTATTCCAAACGCCATCAGCTCGGCAAGCGTTGCCCATGACAAGACGCACGCGCTGTTCGGCTTCTGTTCGCTGGACGGGCCAGGAGCTGCTCCGCACCGTGCGCTCCGCAAAGTGGACACCAAACAGACGCGGGGTGTTCCGTGCCGGGCGCCGAGGCCGCTCAACGACTCTGGCACGCTGTGATCCCCAAAAACCTCCGCAGACCTTTGCCGCCACGCCGGTTGGAAGCGAAGCAGAAGCCTCACCCCACTTGGGACCCGAGAATTCAAAAGCGACAAGGACGGCAACAGCACGCAATCGCGGCACTGTATGTCGCGCATTAGCGACACGTGGAACTGCCAGCCGGTTGGGGGTCCTGGCCGCGCGCCAAGCAGCGGAGCTCGGAAGCTGCGTCTCACACAAAGGGCT